CCCACACAAAACTTAAAAGTGGGTAAGAGTTGTCTTTCCCGGGAAATATTATTTTCACGTCATTTTAATAATTACTTCTTTCAAAAATATCAATAAATGTTTACCAATTCATGGAAGAAATTGATCAGGATGTTATGTTCATATTTTTACTATCAAGGAAAAGTTATATTTTCCTTTAACCAGCACAAATATAAATAAATAATTTAAAAGGAAAGAAACTGACGGGGGAGTTAACAGAGTTATCTTTCCTTGGGATAAATTATTTATATTTTTTTATTTCAAGAAAGATCGGTCGTTTCCGTATATGTTAATAAGTCACGTGATATCCCACATTTGCATATCAAACATGGTGCTCTGCGCAAGATGCTATGTAGAAAGCGTGAAGGACAAATGAGATGTGGTAGAGCGCAAATGTAAAGTGTAATGAGAGAAATGTTAATATGTAGAAATGTCAAAAAACAGCATTTTGCAATAAAACATTTGTCATTTGACACATTACATTTGCCGTTTTAATTTAACTTTGGCCTTAGAGGTATTTTGACTTTATTATTACCGGTACTACAGAATTAGATTTAATCAATTCTGGTATAATACCGTCCTTGCCAGCAATTTTTCTAGCCTTGAGTACGTTTATGGCACCGTTGATATCTTGTACAGAAAAAGGCGCGTCAAGTTCCTCAACGATTGTACACTTATCGTAACAAAATTTAGCATTGGAAGTATCATTGGCAGATTTGAAAACATCAGAAAATGAACATAAAAGTTTTGAAGGGGTGTATAATTGGATTGATCAGAACATTTAGTACGAAAAGCATCTTAAGCAGATCGGGTGACATTATTATAGTTTGTTCTGGAGTGTACCAATTTAATTCTGTTACTGGCATCCCGTGTGTTACTATCAATATTTATATACTTGACGAAATCGTTCCTGGCATTAGCACATTTTGAATCAAACCACCTATTAGTAATTTGCTTTGGAGGTTTTTTGATGTGGGTGCCAGTTTTTGTAGTAAAATTGTTAGCCATGTGATTAACACTTTCAATAACACTTTCAGAGTTTGTGTTAAATTCATCAAGAATATGTATTTGTTGGCCTGTATTGCCATATAGTGTATTATGTAAAAGTGTTGCACTTTCGGGTTCCCATTTTAAAGAACGAATGTTAACTCAATTTTCCGATTGGTCTCTACCGTTACTTTTACTATTGACACAAATATCACAGTTTATAGATATTAAAGGGGCGTGATCTGAATAAGGTCAATGCAGCTTCTATCACAAAGTGGTTGATGACACTAGATCCGTTAAAAGTAATACAAGTAAATTTTCCAGGTTCAAGAATGCCATTTAGAATATATAGATCTGTATTTCTACACACTTCAATCAATCTCTTCCCAAATCCGTTAATAATCGTGTCTTCTGATTTTCGTAGTCTTTATATTATCAAAATCACAACAAAAACTGACTTTGAAAGCGTCAAAAGTAATATATTCAGTAAGGTTGGATATTCTACTATTAAAGTCGCTACACAAGATGAATTTTCCAGTTGAACAAATATAAAAAAGTCTACATTCAGTAATAAATTAGATAATCCCATAATTATGTTGCTCTATAATACTAAAGTTTGAGTTCAAAGAATTTTTACTAAACACAACAATACCACCTCCATTTTGACATTTTGATCGGACCATTAAGTGTTTGTCATAATCTGGTAAGATACATCGCTTCACGTTTTTATCGGAATGAATGCAAAAAATTAAGCTTAATTTGCTTACATATTCAGTGAAAAATTGGTAATTAAGTTTTCCGGACAATCCACCATTAATATTACAACATAAAATTGTAAGCTGACCTCCAAACCTGTCCTATCTGGGATTATATAATTCACCATTTATATACAATTTATCCTGAACCAAAGAAACGCGATTATTTCTAATCTTCTCCCGTTTTAACATTGGTTATAATTCCTTCCGTTTTGCCACAACCTCCCTATAGGAAATTGTTCTCCAATGCCGAAATCTGTATCTTTCAATAGGTACCTACATTTACGTATTTTTTCTCTCTCGGGGAAATAATTAAATTTAACGACGATCGGTCTGGAATCTTTGTCAGCAACCAATTCAATGTGCACGATATCATGGTTATTTTCATCGAGGGTATTTTGCCTACAGTTTCCCCTTTTTCCAAGCCTATGAACACGATCGAATTTAATTCTTGTTTCAGAATTTGGTATAGTTAGTTTGATTTTAATGAACTCGTGAACTACCGCTGCACAATCTTCGTGTGGATTATCCCCGCATCTCTCTACACTTTAGGTCAATGACACTTTGTTTTAGGTCACGACTATCAGACTCAATACTACTCAATTTTTTAATGAGAATTTTATTACTATCCTGTAACTTATCAATAGAGGTTGACTGAAATTGCAGTCCATTTTCAGTACTATTAAATTTGTCCTTGACATCTTTGATTCGATTTGTATTAGTGGTTAATTCGTTCCTCACTAAGGTAAGATCTTTAGTCATGTTTCTGATTTGTCATTCAATAGGCAGAATTTAGCTCTTACTTAATTTAGCTTTAAAGCGTTAATAAGTTGTGTGAGGCAGAATAATTTGTCCTCATTATATAATCAGCTTTAGACTCGTGGTTCAATATGCCCTGTTCCTTGCAATATTTTTGAATAAGTCCCATTGTTCCTGTCTATTGCGTCACTTACTGTAGCCTATCAATTTAAGATTTTTAGTTTTCAAACATTGTACTTGAGAAATGTCAATGTTTTGTAAGATTCAATAACTTTGTAGATGTCTGTAATAATGTTTTAACTCTATACAAAGACTGGGCTGTTGTTATTTATTAACTGCTAATAATATTGCTACTTTAAACAAAATATATTTTCGTTACAATTTACAAGAAGAATAATAATAATCTAGAAACTGTGTTTTTGGCCATTCTTCTATTGGATAGTCGAGTCTAAACCCCATGCTAAGAGACGACACACTCGGTTGTATGGCCGATATCCGTAGAGTGGATTAGCCAATTCGGATTACAAATCCCTAGGCAATGACTGGGCAGCTGCGCAATCGAATATTATGACAAAGGATCTTTAACTGAGTATAAATGGGACTTGTTTTTTTCATTCCAACCGGACGTTTAAACATTTTTCAGGCCCTCCATTCAGCACCACCCCCAAGAAAATCATTGGTGAAAATCCGGAGGAGCCTTCTCGGCGAACATTAGGATCGAAACCTTGACCCCGTCTTAGTCATTCGGCTAAGGTGACTGCCCCTATCTCTAGGCACAAACAAAATGTCTTCTGAATCTGCCCCGTAATCTGGCACGTCGTTGCATTTGAAGTCCATAATCTGCATGCTGTATCAACCCCCGTGGCATTTGATCTACAAGCCCCTTTCCCCAACATCTTAGCTGTAACTGTAAGTTCGATATTAATTTCATTCCGATGATTTTATATTTTATAACTACAAAGAGTCCTGATAACAAAAGCTTGAATTTGGGGTGATTATCTAGCCTTTTGCCACTAACAAGTACAATCAGTTCATGAATCATAGACATAAGAACTACGACTGTAGTGTTATTATTGTCTTCGTACCAGGCAATCTTGTGAACCTACCGATTAAAATCACCAGAAATGGGCAAACTGGCTATAGGGCAGTCATCTAGTACTTGCAACTGACAGGGAGATGACCCGGGTCCTGGAAGGCCATCAACAGCAACCATTACCCGGGTGCATGACATGGTGATGGCTGATCGACGATTGGCTACTCGACATAGTGCCAATGTTGTGGCAATCTCTCAGGGTTGAGCACATTATCGCCAACGAGCTAGGAATGACAAAATTTCTATAAATTGGAACCAAAGCTGTCGACTGCGGATCAGATTCTTGACATCCCGTGACAACCTGTGCCGTTTATTTTTGGCCAGATTTGTAACCATGGATGAGAACTGTTTCCTCAAATAAAAAAGGAACTAGTCGGTCGTCATTTTCCATGGTGACGTTATGTCAGCTGTGAACTAAATTGTTTAGGGTGGCTGAAGAAAATTTCTTCCTGACCGGCATCCAGGCCTTCCAATATCGTTGGCAAAAGTGTGTACACCTCGAAGGGGGCTATGTAGAAAGATAAATGGAATCCAATGACTCTGTAGACCTACACATCTTTCACAGTTAGGCTATAACTTTTCAGCAAAATCTTGTATCTGCACAAGTTCGAAGAGGTTTCCCTGACACAACAACAGTGTTGACTGTTATCGTACTAAACTGTTGCTCGAACACTAAATAATACGGAGTTCTACTTTCTCCATAGGATCGGGTTTCTATGTTCAGAATGGACTGCTATATGTGCATGACATGAGAACGCGTTGGTTGTCCTACTTGTCTGTGGCAATCGGGGTAATGAGGACGGGCATACGCCAATTAGTGAGCTACGAAGGACATTTTTACCGGACACCGGCACTACGGCCTACTCTTATTTCGAATTCCAACTGTCAAGGGTTCTTTTACGTACAAGCGAACATGTTAAATGGGCCTCGAATTTTTGTTTCAACCCAAAGATTATCCATTGTTCCTTGCTAGCTTCTGCACCACTAACAAATGAATCCAAATTGAAAAGTTCCGGGGAACGTACTCCGCCAACACCCGGGTCGAACCGCAGATCTCTTGGTTAGTGAGCCAGCGCATTATTCACCAGCCACTTTGACTCCAAGCATGTCAGAACATTTACTACTACATGGACACGGCATCTGAGAGAACATTGACCATGTTTTATAGAAATTAGGCTTATTCGCTATTGTCGGAGTTGGAATTGACAACAACTCGCATATGGCGATTTATAAAGTCGGCTGGCAAACACAGTTGTCGTTATCAAAGCAAGGATATTTTTGGAGGCAGAAATTTGCCAGTAAATATCAACATTCTTACGGCAAACATATTTAAGCCAAAATAAATTTATAACACGTACTTTATTAATGTGCTACTCATCTGGTCAAAGTTTCACAAAACATTCTTGAACTTAAGAATATTGTTTGCCTTATTTTAACTAAAATATAGACCTTTATAAAACTTTTGTTGTTTTAATGTATCAAATACATCATTAAGAAACTATGTGCAAAGATGTGTGTTTCTGGATCAAAGATATTTCTCATAAACAGTGATTGAAAGATGATTAAATTCTTAACGTAAGTTTGAGAATGCTTTGTGAAACCAAGGCCTGTTTTATAATATACAACAGAGTACAAAATTCATTTTGAGGTAATGGACATTTTGAGACCTTCAGTATAATATGTTTTGTTATTAGCACGATTGCCAAAAGTATAATGTTGCGTCATGTCCGGTGCATATTTACTAGCCACTGGTTTCCGACCATAAACCTCCGCTACTTCACGTAGATAATGTGACGCATTACCACAACACAATCCTACATACTGTACACCAAGTTGTTTAACTTCTTCTGCCCAGTGTCTAATCTGACTTCTACTACAGGTATGGGCTGGTAGATCAAGCGGAAAATCTTGTTTTCCTAGAAATATGAGCCATATATACAAAAGTTGAGCAAAAATTATAAATGAGCATCCCATTTTTAATGTGGAGTGGTATATAGTGTCCTAGAATGTGTAAGAACGCTTCAAGCACGATAACAGTCATTGATTTTAGGTAAGCTAAGCAATGTTTGAACAAAGATCTTGTTACCCATATATACTGAAGTAGCCTTTCAAGGTATCAACTAAGTCGCTACTATTTGATATACATAATCAGGCTACAACAAATCACATGTTTAAAATCGTACGCGTTTATTTAGTGACTATAAATTTGCGAAACTGATTTAAAGCTTGGTATATATATATATATATATATATATATATATATATATATATATATATATTGTGGTGTAATTGTAGAGATATTTGGAGATATTTATTTATGGTGGGGCATCCAATCAATTATCAACAATCTGGCCCCGAGTTTACAAAGCATTCTCAGGCTTAAGTTATAAATTTACTCAACTTTCAATCACTGGTTATGAGAAATATCTTAGATCCAGAAACACAAAACTTTGCACATGGTTTATTATTGGTGTATTGTTTACATTAAAACAAGAAAAGTTTTATAAAGGGCTATATTTTAGTTAAAATAAGGCGAACAATTTTGAGTAAATTTTTAACTTAAGTCTGAAAATGCTTTGTGAACTCGGGACCTGAAGCTCAAATTGAAAATCTCCTTAACTACCTCTTGGGGAAAATGGTACTGACTTGTTTGTCATTGAAATGAGCTTTAGGGGGGTGGGGATTCTTACCTGTATCTGGATCTGTTAGTGCTTGAAAGTTTGGTTCTTTATCTGTTGTTCTATACGGTACTGGTACAGCTGCTATTGGACCCTAAAACATAAAATATAAAATACCAGTAGTGTTAGAAATCCTTAATATCAAACATGTCAGATATAGGGTTCGTAAATAAATCAAAGCAGATTGAAAACTTAGCTCTGTCACAGTAGGTTGCATCTCGGTCATAAAGAAATAAACATCTTATTATGTAATTTGCTCGACTGCACCCGTAGCTAAATTACCGGATATGTCGATCAGCAGTATTGTGAAAAGTGGCTTTCAAGCTTTCAGGGGCGATAACTAAGCTTAAAAGGGATGAATAAGTTTAACTCTGTATACACAATGGGCCCTCTTTAGGGTTGGGTTGTATGTCTATAACATCATTTTTCCTTTTACGTTTATAAGGTTAAAGTTCTCTTTTTAAAGAACCCGAATACACATGCTACACTGTTATTGCGGTTTCTGAACTTACCCTCTATTAATGACACCCAGAACAAGTTCACGCATATACAGACATGATTTACTAGAAAATGCTGGATGTGGTGTTCGTTAATTATGTCCTGCCCCAATTTTCGGAATTATAGTACTCCTCAAATATATCATATTTTAAAAACAGTTACGATTTTAGAGTTTTAAATTTGAACTTCCTATTCATCAAATCAACAGATTTTCAATAATTACTTAAAATGTCTTACTTTGCAAACCTGCCTAATTTCTCTGAGTAAAGGCATCATGGTAGCGGGTCCTCGTCCACAGTTTAAACCAACAACATTTGCGCCCGCGTCTTCTAGCTGTTTACACGCATCACCAAATGACACCCCGTCAAATGTACGATCACTTGCTTTCGGTGACATTGTGACTACACTGGGTAGACCTGTAAAGCATAACGTCACAGGTGTGTTATTTAAACCAGTTGGGCAGCGCCTTTAAATTCCTTCTTTTTATCTCTTTTTCTGGTCCATCACTGGGTCATGGACTTTAATTTTTAACATTTCTAAGACAGTAGTAATTAAGACTTATTTAAAAGCGGTTCTACACTTTAAGCACTTTTGAAAGAGATTTTCAACATAAAAGCGCCTGTAGTTTCAATCAAATCATGACATATTTTATATATTTAGAAAATTAATAAAACTTATATTTGCAATTATAAAGTATCATTTAATGCGCTTGGCCGTCCCCTGGATTCAACCATTAATAAGGGCCAAGAAAAGGGGAATTACATTAACTTTCTAATAATACCTTTCATGATTTTTGGCTGTGGATAATTTGTAATTTCAAACATGACGTCTTAGTTGTTTGTCGGAAAGGATATACAGATTAGTAGAGCATCACATTTTATATTTTATCATTGCTTCATAAAGCCTATATGAAACAGTAATTGTATTCCATAGAATTGTGATCGTGTATTAAATCTTCTATTCTACATACCATTGCCATATTTCTGGATACACTGTAGAGCTAACATGGCTTCCCCTAATTCATTGAATGTTTCAGCTACAATAAAATCAGCCTTTTCTTGTACAGCCCATTCTATTTGTTCCTGAAAAGATGATTCGCGCCACTTCCATAAAATCATGAAAAAAATGTACATGATACCTTAAAACTTCATTGTCTTTAATGTTACACGCGTGGGCGGCCTAAGTTCATACATGTGAAGCGAGAATCACAACGGAAAAACAAATAAAGAAAAGAAGATCTAGATATCTATTTATAAAGTCCGAAGAGGGCTGATGGTAGTCATACTCCTGCAATATCAATAGGCAATCCCCCGAATTGGCGGTTCTTCGACATTCATGTTAAAGCAAATGGAAGTGAAATGAAATGGATTCTAAAGCCTTACTTTTCTACCCCTGCAGGGCGAATGGAAACGAAACACCCATCATATATTATGTTGTCCTGTATTTAGATTTCCAACTGCCAGGGGATCTTTAACATGCTACCAATGGTGTGCAGATGACTTTCTCACATAGTATAATAGAGTCGGTGACTTCCCTTGCAAGGGGCTCCAGCCTACACCACTGAGTGACAAGGGTCCAGGGGCTCCACCCTACACCACCGAGTGACAAGGGACCACAGGCTCCATCCTACACCACTTAGTGACAAGGGGCCAGGGGCTCCACCCTACACCACTGAATGACAAAGGTTCACCACCCTCCACCTAGAGCGATAAGGGGAAACCAGATTGGAAAGTCCCAAGGGAACCTCTTGGCCAACATTGCGCTCGACGGCCGCAACTCCTACCAGAGTGGTCGTGGCTCCCAGTCGAAAATTGAATATAAGACTTGGAAAAGATGCTCATGGAATTTAACGTCTCATCAACACCATACTTCGGTCATTTTGTAAATAAAATACAGTTAATTTTATTTAATATCGGCATGTTTTGCAATGCCAATATAGAAAATGTTGTCCGGACAGCAAGGGATGTGGTTTATTGAATGTTACCTTAAACATAGCCTCTGTTTGCTGTATAGAATCTTGATTATTTCTTTCATAAATTGTAGAGTTACTGATATTTCCTGCCATTAGTGTATTTGTATTATTAGCAACTTCTCGGGCAATCTTTAAAGCATTTATATTTAATGCTTCAAGATCCTGTTCTCTCCCAATAACTCTTAGTTTTTCTCTGTGGCCATAATACTGTTTAAATAGATCACACGGAATTAAATAATTTGCAAACATAAAACCGTCTTTGACCATAAGATTTAAAAACAAACACTAAACAAATCATATTTCTAGACATATCTAAACAAAAAAAGTTCAATCTGCATTTTGAAAACAGTATATATAATATATGCCTCTGTAAAATTACAGATTTTAAAAAATCAAAGAAACTTTACTATAAAAAATAATGCTTGCATGTTAAAGCCATGGAGATCTGAATGGAATGAGTGGATTTTCCAAAACGCTCTGGGTGTTTTCCGTCATAAAATTTCATTTATAAATGAAAAACTTTTTATATACAATAACAAGACAAACCATTTTAGTAATGATAGTCTTATTTTGAGTAATGGCGTTCTTATTCTGAGCAATGATGATCTTATTTTGAGTAATGATAATCTTGTTTTAAGGAATAATAATCTTATTTTGAGTAATGGTAATCCTATTTCGAGTAATAGTGATCTCATTTTGAGTAGTGATGATCTTATTTTGAGTAATACTTATCTTAATTTAAGTAATGATAATCTTATTTTAAGCAATAATAATCTTATTTTGAGTAATGGTGATTCTATTTCGAGTAATAGTGATCGTTTTTTGAGTAGTGAAGGTCTTATTTTGAGAAATGATGATCCTATTTCGAGTTATGATGACCCCATCACCAGACAAAACCACAAACCTATTTAAAGAATTATGACACATAGATTAGTATTTCCCATTGCGAGTTTGAGTAATAACTAAGACAGTTTGATCTTTTATCATTTTTTGACCTTATGATTAGAGATAATTGGAGCTCCGAATTGCGCAAAGCTCGCTGGTCGATGGTTTGTCATTAAATTACCGATTATCTAGACTTTAAAAAAATATATCTCACTGTAAACGCAAGAACAACGTCACTTCCAGATCTGACGAATTCCTCATGGAGTTCACGAACCAGATTTGGTTTCTCTAAAACAACTTCCGGGACAAATGCGCCGGCTTTTAATAAACCACGTCTCTCAAATTCAAAGAGATATCCTTCCGCTACTATGATAACGTCTCCGTCTGTCAGACGTTGCTGAAAACCTGGAAATGCAATGGAGAAGTAGTGAAATATAATTTGACCTAATCCATTTTCATTTAGGAAACAAAATGTGCTTAATGCTATGTTCTCACTATCACGTGCTACGATTGAAATCGTAGTTTTAATCGTTGAGTAATCGAGGTGATCATATCAGGTCTTATCATATATTGACGTCAGTCGTAGCGAACGGGTTGGTCATACCCGAGCGTATCTGCAGGTACCAGCTCGTGGACTCAATAGGAACAATCATGTTGTAAAGCATCGCATTACAACCAAACTGTGTTAGCTGAGTGAAGTAATAAGGGGTGCTCTAGAAAGGGTAAACAAAGTAAACATCATTATTAATAGCTAGGTTTTCAAACTCATTGGGGAATATTCACTTATTCATCTTATAGGCTTAAAGTTTACTCAACAAAGATAGAGGTTGGAGGTAATGTCAATTCAACCCAAACTATGGGTCATATTATCGTCATATGCTACATTTTTGTGTCAATTATTCACGTGTACTTGTATGCTGGGGTCCTTAGCAGTGTGATTGATAGAAACCCCAAAAGCCCCGAGAAAACATGAAGTTAAACAAGCGATTATATTACTGGTAAGGAAGACCTATAAGTGTGGGCGTATAGTAATGGTTATTTAACATTAAGAAAACAGAGCCAAATAGCAACGGGTCGGTAGGTGATCTCCGGGCTTAGATTCAATCGGATTAAACGCGTATACCTAACACGTATAGGTGACACTGGGCTTTTTTATGGCGTCTGCAGGGATTGCCGTGAATACAGTTCATTAAATCTTTGTGAATACTGAACGGAATTAAATCATTTTTTGGGTTGAAACGCCTCAAATGGCGACCAGTGGCCTAAAAGTTATAAACATTATACCAAAACAAAAACAGTATTATAATACCACTTGATGAATTGAATATTAAAACTGTTACCTTTCGTTGTAGTCATCCTGTTGAATTTGCGCTTCAGAGATGCGGAGATTGCGTTTTATCTAAGCAGGCGCAGTGCACGTCCTTGAAATGAAACATGCGCCACGGTAAAATAATCTTTCTTAAAAGGGTATTTATAGGTCTGTGAAACTTTCCATGAATGAATTTATAAAATTTGTCCCGTCTTCATTAGCCCAGGTTAGGAGCAGAACAGTAGGACGTTAAACCCCATTTCATTTATAAAATTTGACACACGACCTTGAACGTAATAATGACTACCAGTTAAGAATGCGTAGGAAAATGAAATGGAGTTTAACGTCCTACTATTCTGGCCAGTTAGATGGAAAGTTTTGTTTTACTCACACATAGGTCCCCAACACGAATGAAGGGTCGAATTGGGGCACAGATAAGTGTACACATGAACCTCCTCAGCTGATAAACTAAACTGCATGTACTGTCATACAATTATCTGTCGATTGCGCGTTGTTTATGTATAATATTATACAAGATAAAGATATTTAAAAATATAAGTCAACTTTTGTTTATAAATGGAAACACAATATGTAGTTGCATAATCAGTGTCTACTTTTAAATCATATTTAAAGCAGTGGTGAATAAGGGTTGCGGCGTGCCCTGGGCGGCAGGATCGGATTAAAACCAACAAATGCCCCAAGTACTTAAAAGATTTTGGTGCCCCCTTATGTATATGCAATTCAAAATATAACCGCCAAGAACGTGATTAAATTCTTACTGGGATTTAATACACGTCGAACAGGTAACAGTATGAAAAGAATTAAAAACTAATTGAATGTTCGTAATTAATTTTTGGATTAAATATTTTAAATTTGGCATCTAGCAAAGCAGACATTCTATGATGTTCCCATTTCCATGATGCCCTAAGCATGTTCTTATTTTGCTTAATCATCAAGCAGACTGGTCCACTTCCCTTCCCACCTCCCTATCTTTCCTGGGGGTTGAATGGCTGAATGGTTAGTGTGCGCGCTGTATCATAAAGTCTGTCATTGAGTCAACTGGCGTGGTTTCGAATCCCCGGTTGTACGTGACAAGGAGTAGGGTCGCTTGTCCAACCTCGTGGGTTTTCTCCAGGTCCTCCGGTTCCCCCCCCCCCACTGCTAAAGACCCCTACGCACAAGCGAATTATTGAAATAAAATTAAACCATATGTTAGTTCCGAAATGAACTAGTTTGTGTCGAGTGGATGTTAAACCCCATTTCTCTCTCTCTCTCTCTCTCCCTATCTTTCTGCACGTGATCCACATGGCAGAGATTATATTATAGTACACAACATTAAACATCCCAATAAATTACTTCTCATATTAATTTATCGCTTTTGTCCGGAACGTCCACATTCGTCTCAAATCTGCTCATGAGCCCGACTACACAACATAAGTTGAAGATATTTTCGGGAATACAGATTATCAGTATAGTCACTAGCCAAGTGGTTTAAATGCAGGAGTACAGCAAAATTGTGTTAGCAAAATACAGCAAAATAGTGTTTTAGTGAACGACACCCATTAGAAACTAAAGCTAATTGGTAAAGGACAACCTCTAGACCATCCTGTCCAGTTGTTTATAGTAGCTAAGTCTGTAACTCAATATCATCAAAAATCTTCGACATTGAAAACACGAATTATTTGTCAATTGAAATCAACATTGGTCTTGTGATCTTACAGGGAAAAGATGGGCTTCTGATATCCAATATTCAAGACAAAATAAACATTTTACCATTGGTACACAAATCGTGTACCATAATGCGTTTCCGCGCTATTTGGAACAAGAGACTCAAAGAACGCGGCTAGACATATTCCACAAGTCATGACAAATGGTGACGCTATATTCTTATCTGGAGAGCATGCGCAATAAATATCTTCGCTGTAGACTGGAATAACCAGACGCTAAAGAGTGCCATTCAACTGAGACTTCTGGCGTATTTCGCCGAACATAACTGATTAGAAATTACAGTAAAAACAGAAACAGTTGAATGTAAATCAGTTTATATACATTCATATTACATTATTATATGCGTTGTGACCCATTTGTGTCAATTTCTAGGTCCCAAATATTAGCGATTTAGCTCCTTTAAATAAAGTTGTTGTAACGATTTGAACTCTTAAATGAGTATTATCGAGAACGCATCGCCCTGAAAATTTAAGAAATTGTTATGGTGTAATACATAATTCAAATTGCGTTTTAGAATTTTATGATTTGCTAGTTATTTGCATTATATAATGCGAAACGGGTCTAATTAGAATCCAGTTATCGTTTTGATAAATTACCAGATGCCGTTTAGCACGAGGATAGGCACTCATCCATGTTTTAATATAATTATTACTGATCTTTACAGTTTTCTTATCAATCTGTGTGACAAAGGATTACGAAATTCTTCCAATATCTCTGTAAATGATGACTGTCTTCAATACGTGACGTCACATCACACGGCGTGAATCATTGGCTCAATGACGCCTGTATTGTTTACACACGATGTTACTGGTTCGGGCAGAATATGGTGCCTTTTACTCATTTTAATGCCCATTTACACTAAATAGGAAATAATTTTTACCTACAAATACTTCGGAGGAAAAAGTTAATATTTGGGGCTCATTAAGTCTCATCGATGTGATCCTTATCAGTGATTGTAGAGGTCTAGCGAATATTCACTTCTGATCAGTGTGCTTTCTTGTAGTATCAGTCCGGGCATAAAAATATCACGTACTCTATATAAAATAAACAACTGCTATTTATCGTTTATCATTTAACATAGAGGACAATAAACTTCATGTATTATTAATCATAGATGAAAGGTAACCTAACGGTCGACAATCACTAGAAAACTACATCATCCCAAAGAATATCGCCCGAATTAAAATAAAAAAAGGAGCAAAGGGTATAAGCAAAATCTCACTATCTCTAATCAAACAAAGCATTAATAACTATAGTGTCAAATAGTGGGACGACAAAATGATAGCAGTGCATATACATTAAGGTGGCCGTCCAAAATTTTACATGTTGGGTCATAATATCGATCGGTTCAACAATATAGCTAAATTGCTTTATGGAGATTGGTAAATGAGCTTATAAACACGACTATCAGACACATTTGTCAAGTTCGAAGCTATGCTGGTCCATAAGCAAATAAAGCGTTGATTTATAAAAGGTGTCACCAGTCACCCATGAAACCTTTATATTTTTAGAAAGGTTTTACGTAATTCTAAACGGATTATATTTTTGGGCGTTCTAACTCACGGCGTCAATTATTAACAGACTATCACCTGGTCTATCAGCTGAGGGTGGTCTTGTGTACATTTTTATGTGACTTCAGTTTGACTCTTGAATCATATTGGAGACTCCTGTTGGAGTAAAAAATAAAACTTGGGTGACAACGCTGAATCATAGAAAGGAAGGGTGAAATTCAAGATGGCGTCCAAGATGGTCACCATTCCAAATAAATGATTCTGAGTGGCCACCCAATTTTTTTTTTTTTATCTCAACACTGCCTTCATTTATAGACGCAGTGCACTTTCTTTTTGACTTAGATAAAACAGGGAGTGCCATTTTAAAGAATCTGATACAAACAAAACTAGTCACATTTCGTGTATATGTATAAATAATAATTTATTCCACCAAATGTAGATTGGAGAATATGCTAAAACCCCATGTAACCCCTCCCCTATGATACAGATATATACAATACAGTATTAATAAATATGTACAAACATAGACCAGTTATCACTGTAAGGTTATTGACAACTTCCTAGGCAATTCTAAACTTATATAGGGATATTTCATTGTTTTGCGGCGGTCAAGTCTTGTTTTATAGGAATTATATCAACTGTAAAATGTGGTATTTGGTGATAAAAAGAATTGTCTCATGTGTATCGTATTCACGTGGTATGATCAGTAGTGGTCCTCTGTCTTCAGTTCTTTGCTATGGTACCTCCAAATGACAGATGACCACAAATGAAGAATGCACGTTTCTACAGAAATCTCTTGACTTCTGTTGTATAATATGTTTTGTTATTAGCACGATTACCATAAATAAAATGTTGCGTCATATCCGGTGTATATTTACTAGCCACTGGTTTCCGACCATAAACCTCGGCTACTTCACGTAGATAATGTGACGCATTACCACAACACAATCCTACATACTGTACACCAAGTTGTTTAACTTCTTCTGCCCACTGTCTAATCTGACTTCTACTACAGGCATGGGCTGGTAGATCAACAGGGAACGCTTGTACGCCTGAAAGGAAGGGGAGATCAAATGTTTTTAACACGTATATGCAGGCCACGAATCTGAATCTGGCAGTCTCTTATTTCAGAAATCATGCTCTCCATATTATTAAATCTGAATATGGATTTGTGACTCCCACTAGTTTAGCTGTCATTGATAATTTAGCTGTCATTGATAGTTAAGATGTCATTGATAGTTTGTATTTCTGTAAAATACTGATTGTTTAGAGACTTGGCAAACAAAATCAACCATAAACGTGAACTGATTCGGGTATCGGAAATGGCCCTTATGGGTCCTTTTATTCAAAGGTGTTTTAAAAATAACACATTTTTTAGAAGGATTAAGGCATTTGCTTAGGCTTCATTTCATAATATTTAAAATCAATTCTTACCCGTGACTGGGTCAGTCAAAGATTGGAAAGTTGGTTGTTCTGTTGTCGTTCTGTAAGGCACTGGTAGAGCAGCAATAGGACCCTGTAAACGATATAAATCGATTAGATTTTGACATATTCATATTGTAATTCATGACAATTTCGTTGTAATTCCCTTTTCATTGTTAGTCCCGCGGGCTCAACAACCCCGAGATCAGCGACGTCTCTGCCAACTTTTCTTCAAATTCCAATTGGCTCGTGTTACTTGTAAAATATGAATGATATAAAACCGAAAAAGAAACGAACATAAGGTTTTAGACAGCAAACACGTTTTTTTTATTTCCGATACCGTGAATACAGTGGTCCTAATGGCACGGATTCTGCAATTGGTACTGTCTACGTTGAGCGATGTTAAGCGACTGAAACAAAAATCCCATCCACCTCTGTGTTTGAACCACTTACTTTACATGAGTGCCTAATTTCCTTCAATAAAGGTAATGTGGTGATTGGTCCGCGTCCACAATTTACACCGACTACAGCAGCTCCAGCATCCTCCAATTTTCGACAGGCCTCGCCATATGTTAGTCCATCAAATGTTGTGTTTTTGGAGTGGGGAATTAATGTGACAACTGCTGGTAAACCTACAACAACAACCAAGACAACTTATCATTTAAAAAATCTGGAGAAATCATAAGGATTGACAAATGACAGAATAGGCGATGCTTTACATTTACTGTCATCACCGATGCCAAATAACTAACAAAATATAACAAATACAGCGCCAAGATGTAGATTTATATCAAATCACAGAGAGTGTAGATTTCTAAACTATCCCAAGGTTTTCCATGCAGAACATTTCCAGGTTAATGAACAGAGGATTGGTTGATTGGGGAGTCACAACGACTCCAATAAAACTTTTAAAGAAGCATGGCCATATTACAGTTACTCATGGAAAATATGAACTAAAAAAAAAAAATACCGTTGCCATATTTTTGGATACATTGTAGAGCTAACATTGCTTCGCCCAATTCACTGAATGTTTCAGCTACAATAAAATCAGCTTTCTCCTGTACTGCCCATTCTATCTGTTCCTGAAAAAAGAACGCGGGTAGGAAGTAAGCAATTAAACACAACTCGTTATATTTATAGATGCATTGTAATACATTATAACGCGCTATATTTAAAGATGCATTGTAATATAACACGCTATATTTAAAGATGCGTTGAAATATAACGCGCTATATTTATTGATGCATTGTAAAATGAACATGGCTTTGCCAATTCACTGTATAATTCGGCTACAATAATATCATTTCCTTGCCATGAAAAGTCCACATTATTTGTTCCTGTAACAAAAGCATAATCTAAACATAGAGTTTAATATAGTTTAATCTGTAATAAGTGAATTGTAATGAATTCAATCTAATGCTTCTATATCATGTGGTCCTGAGAGCCGTTGCATGCAGTTAATGCATTCATTGTAAATAATTATTTTAGTGCGTAACTCTATTAAACTTCGGCAAAATTAGCCGCTGCTCCACGGAACTCTGTTAGTATGACCATCTTGAAAACGAAGAAGACATATCATCGGCGTATTGTATGACTAAATGGGTGAATAATTTACTAATGTCTTTAATTTAAAACTTCGAGCATGCAACGTGTCACATACCTTAAACATGGCCTCTGCTTGTTCTATAGAAGCTTGGTTATCACTTCGATATACTGTAGAATTGCAGATATTTCCTGCCATTAGAGTGTTAGTTTTATTTGCCACATCACGGGCGATCTTTAAAGCATTTATGTTTAATGCTTCTATATCTTGTTCTCTTCCAATTACCCTCAGTTTCTCTCTGTGGCCATAATACTGTTTAAAATAAAATTTACTTCATTAACTTCGAATACTAAATGCTTTCTGTTAAGAACCGAGAATGCACAGAGCCTTCGTATTCGATCAGCAGATGTTAATTATCTAATTTATTTCCAGCGAACCCTAAATCAGTATAGAAAATAAAGGGCATTTCAACGAACTGTTCCATACTCAAAGCGTATCTAGTGATTGGATCTAGTGTGTGTGTGTGGGGTGGGGGGGGGCATCCCGCCGCAATTGCCTAGTGCTAATTAAAGTCGCAATTATCCAGTACTAAATTATAATGGGAAATACCTAATCGGAAACTACCCGTTTTTATCGAGGAATGTCGAAAGGGTTAAAGCAGGCGGGTGGGGCTACCAAAGATAAAAGTATCTCTCACTGTAAAAGCTAGCACAACATCGCTACCAGCCCGGACAAATTCTTCGTGTAGTTGACGAACCCATTCCGGGTTCTCCAGAACAACTTCCGGAACAAATGCGCCAGCTTTCAACAAACCTCGTCTCTCAAACTCAAACACATACCCCTCCGCTACTATGATATCTTCACCGTCTTTCAGGCGTGCTAATAGACCTTAAAAAGACAGTTCCAATAATTACATGGCATTAAACTTTTAGCATTTAACAGGACATGTTAATTGGTGTGCCGTAATTACGAATTTATGAAAGAGGGATGCTTTTGCATAAAAATGTATTAATATCACAATTGCCCCCAAAAGATTTTGATAGAACGGTGTCTTTGGCTAAAAGAAAAAGGATTTTACCAATTAAACATGAATTTGGAACTGCGAAAGTCCAAATACTTCAGAAAGGTGTAAATGTGTGTCTTTTTAATTATCTTTTAAAACACAACGTTTTGTGATGTCCATCGATCGTGCTATGATTGTCAACTCATCAGTGGCGATCGGATTGTCATCCTCAGTACCAATGGGCTACAAGATATTCCTCTTGGATGGTTTCAGTGGTGATCCCGTGATGCTTCTTCGGGTACCACAGGTTTCTCGACTATATTAGCGGGGACAGTGGTTGTATGACTAAAAACTCAACTTTCAAAATTAGTACGATATGCTGAATTTCAAACTGGTTCAAAAACAATCACCTCTTCACCTTCGATTGAGTATAAGGCTTGATATGGAATTGATTTGAACTCTACAAGTTGGCGATCGCTCTCGCAAATGTATTTTAGAAGTATAACAAACTTGCCAGATCCTCAAAATAAAAACTTGCTATTTGGTGGCCGAAATATTAATTAAAGTCACTCCAGTGAATTTAAACCTACGGTGATTGGTTAGTAACTAAAATAAATCCGCGTTCTGAGGACATCACGATAGCATAACAGTACCCTTGTCTTTGATTAGACAACTTATCAAATGTCTACATAATCAACAGCTTTCAAAGGAATTCGTGGAATTGTCGCTATCACAAGCTTTATTTGGTAGCTTCATCTGCAGTCTATCAATCACAGACTGTGCATTACTAAACGCACCTTATAAGGTTGTCACTTCTGTTTTAGTTAATAAAACAAAAGTAGGGATTTTTGAGGTTGTGCCATAATTGGCTGACTACCTTAGATGATTTGCTATAAAAGGAAAACCAAGTCATGATAACTCTATAAAAATGCCTAGAATATAGCAGGAAACAATTAGATAACTCACCTTTAGTAGCCACCATTTCATGTATTTCACAAATTGTTGGCACTCTAGTATTTTCGTTCCAGGAGTTTTTCGTCCACTTCCACCAAGGGTGATATCGTAGAGAAGTTTGGCACTCTAAGATTAGCCCGCCTTTTATAGATATTAATATAGGCCAATGGGCGAAATCTCACGCTCCACAGAGGCCTGATAATTGAACTTGACTTATCTATTTTTTACACACGACAGCACATGGCATTTGTTTTTCATTCTTAAATTTCATTGTATTACGTCAGTTTAGGAGAACTTTTCTAATCAACTAATGTCTGACTTTATTCAATTTCATGCAATTTTTTATCCAATATTCAAAGCCACGGACCCATTTACATTTAATGTGCATAATATGTAAATATGTCGTAAACTAATCCGAGGTAATTAAAACATTATAAGATGATTATATAATCGGCAAATAACAAGTCTAAAATATGTACATATTCTGCCATTTTTTTCAGTAGTTTTAAATCGTCAAGTTTCAATGGCTAAATGGTGATTACCACAACTAAATGGTGATTACCACAACTAAATGGTGATTACCACATCTAAATGTCGCCAGATCCATCTTCAATTGGCCGTTCTCACCACTCTTTAATGGAAAATTTTTGGTTTGAGCTTGTCGTCTGCTAACCGATCAAGCTACGTTAGCTGTACCATACTTCACCGATATATAAAATGCCGAGTGCACTTCAGCAAAGAAAAAGTTCGGAACGAAAAAACTAAAGTGACCGTAAAAGACCACTCGACAGTAGGAATTCCATGAAGAGTAGGCGGAAACGCCTTGTCCGATAAAATTTGCCTTATTACACACTGCATGGCGTATTCTAGTCGTCATTAGCTCGATTGGTGCAGAAAAGTAGGAAGTTAAACCCCATTTCGTTTATTTAAATTATATACAAATAGGGGCTACAAAGTATGATTCAATATCACCACCAAAGAAAAATCTAGGTTAGACAATCTCCAGTCCCTTCATTCAGTGGTATTTAATTTTGAGTATCAAGTGTTTATTTCTTTCTTAGATCTATTTGTTTTATTATGTTGTCTAATATAAAACATAAAAATGCAAATGTCCTATAATTAAGCAATGTGGTCTCTTCTGCTCTCCATAATTCCTGTCTTCTTAATTTAATTTCACTATCAGTAGTAAACTATATCTATTTCTTTTAGTATTAGCACATGATGCAATCGGTGTTTTTTTTTACTAATCTATATACAGATATAAATAAAGATAACAAGATAACATATCTTACATCATACAACTTCACTTTAAGTTTCCCCGTCTTCATTACTCGGTCATGGCAGAAAAAAAAAGACGTTAAGCCTCATTCCATTTCTTAAAGTTTCGACTCATCGATCACAGTTCAGGTCAAAAATGATCGCCAGAATTGCTTAGCGGGATGACTCCTATAATATGGTAGTGTTTTGTTTTTTTGTTGTTTATTTTTTTCGGGGGGGGGGGGGGTACTTTTAACCACTTTATTTTCTTCAGTTCTTAAAAATAATATTTTTTATACATTCAACAAAATAACTCGAAAACAATAACAAAGTGTTGAGGCAATAGACAATTTTATTATTGATAAAAATTATTGTATATTATATACTACGAATTATACAACAAAGCAAAACCCCTAACAAACTACGTGGATATCACAAACCTTATTAAACGAAGGCGGTTAACAGGGAAAAACTCAGATGAAAAGACCTACAAATTGATTCCATCTATCTTGAACTTTGTCACCGAGTTTAATTTGTTCTTTTTCAAAATAGTATAATAAATCTTTTTTAAATACATTCAAAATTTGTTTATTTTCTCTAAGCCATGAGTTTTCGGATTCATTTTTTTTTATTATTTTTTTTATCTAAGAAATGTGTATAGAAATGTTTTTGCACCGGTATCAAACATAAAGTTAATTTCAATACTTCATTTTCTTTTGCTTTATGGTCAGTGTTTTATATCATATCAGACTTAACGTTAAGTAACATCAATGTCATGCTCTTAGTTCGGTACTGTAAACAGCCAATGAAAACGCAGCTGTTTTAACCGCAAGACATTGTCCCTAGTAGTAGATGGGGAGACATAAACTAGGTAATTTCGAGACCAACATATGGTTCAATCCCATTTCAATAATTCGCTTGCGCGTCGGGGTCTTTAGCAGATGTCCCAATCTGATTAAAACACAGATCCTATTTCGTTTCATTTGTTTATAATTCAAAATTTTGAAACGAAATATAGATCTATACATGTATTTTAATCAGATTGAAAGCTGTCCCAACTTTTCAGGTTTCAGCCAAACAAAATCTTCCATTAATGTCGTTGATGCAGTGTGATCTTTTGGAGGTTTTACGAAATAATCGGATAAAAGGAGTCTTATTCTTAATCAAATTATAATTGTGATTAACAATAAAGTCTGTCTTATCTAGACCTGCAGATTGCCATTTAGTTTAGCTCAATGACATATTTATTATAGACGTCATTGGTTAAGATATCATCATGGGGATGCTCGATGCCCAGTCCAGAACGTGCCGCATTGACAGCATTGCAATCGAGTAACGCGGAATTCAGTTCTGTCATAGTTCTATTAGTCCCAACAACGGAGGTGGTGTGAGTAGAATCGTGGCGTAATTAAAGGGTTTCGGCTGCATGGTTGGTTGAGATATTTACTTATTCAGTCCACGCATGCGTTGTAGCCCGATAGCCACCTTTTCGCTCGATTGTCACTATTTTTGGAATTGAAGGAATTCAATTCCGGAACGTTCAATCGAGTACCCCCCATGGGTATCCACGGGTTTTGTATAAAGAGAGATAACTGTGTTTTAACATATGGATGCAGACCGCTACCCTTTCCTTTTATCTTTAATGTTAATTCTGATCTCTTTGCTCAACCCAAATTTTCGTTGGGCTAAAAGCTTTTCACTACGGGCAGATTAACAATTGATCATATTTCTGCTCCCAAATTTGTATAAGATTGATGAATAAATTGTTGAGATGCATTAACTTGAAATAGCATAATAATTGTGTAACTATACGTCGTACATATCACCGTAACCTATCGCTTAGCTCTGTTATCCTTCCGCCTCTATGCAATGAATATTTACCAAAACTTGTCAGAAAATGTTAATTCAAACCCTCTTCTTCGATTCTAGAGCAGAAAGTCAACAAATTGACCATACAAATGGATAAGAAAAGAAAGGGAAAGGAAAGGGAAAGGAACGACATTTAGTATTCAAAGAGTACCGGTGTACGAAAATTCTAGGAATGACATGTTGGAAATTGTGTCCAAATTGTGTACCAACAGATTTTCGGGGGCCCAAAGATCGGTTAGGCAATAAAATTAACTAAATTACATAACTTAGAGGTTCTACCAATCAATAGGTCCTAACCAGTTCCGGGGACCCCATCCAGCGATGTGATTGCTGGAGCCCAACCAATCCCGGGAAATTAACGTAATCATATATAGTATAGTAGTTCAGACAAATGTATAATCTGAACATGTTTCCTGCCTAAATTTTACGTCTTTTTTCTCCTTGTCTTTTGTTTGGGAGTAGGACGTTAAACCCCATTTCATTTCATGTATGTCCCGGGCCCCCCACAAGGTTAACCCGGCACTGCAAAGGGGCAATGTCCGATAAACGTTTTATTGTGTTGTGTAATAGGATATTTTATGGGTTTTCAGTCGATCTGATAACTTTCAGCGTTTTCACTGTTTATGTGTTATTGTGTCGTGTATTGGGTAGTACATTATGTCATTTTGTACCTTTTCGGGGATGGCTGAATAGTTAGGACGTGCGCACTGTATCATAAGGTCCGCCATTGAATCAACTGGCGTGATTTCTCCCGGCTGTACGTGACAAGGAGTAGGGTCAACTGTCAAACCTCGTGGGTTCTCTCCGTGTCCTCGGGTTTCCTCCCTCTGCTAAAGACCCTACGCGCAAGCGAATTATTGAAATTAAATTGAACCATGTGTTAGTCCCGAAATGACCTAGTTTTACCGAGTGAACGTTACCCCCCCCCTCTCTCTCTCTCTCTCTCTCTCTCTCCCTCTCAGGGTGCTGAATACGAAAATCGTAGCTTTGTGTCAATCCAATGAATATTCGCCTTTTCAGATTGAAAATAGCCATCAAATTGGGCAAGTTTTAGCATTTATATTGTCTCCGATGAAAGTAATCCATCGTCATTTTGATTTACATGAAGATATGCATACTTCATTTCGCACGCAAAGCGGAGTTTCCGTCTATACCCTTATCGAATTCCAATTTTCTGGAGTTATTTTACGTGCACACCAACGTTCCGTCCGAACGACTGTTGGATCTTGACACCGGTAAGGAAATGAAATGAAATATAGGGTTTAGAGTCCTACTTTTCTGCAGCGACTGGGCTAATAAAGACGGGACCCGGGACCTCGGTTTGTTGTCCTATCACAATGACTAGACACTGCTACTTGTCAGGCCATCGCCACTGGTATGAAGAATTTGTTTAATTAGATCTATAATAAGAAGGTTATAAAGTGTTTCAATGTAAGGAATCCGGCGTGGGAACGTTATACTGATCCCGGCTAATGTTTAGAGTTCAATTTTAAAGCACGCGCAAAACTATATTTGGAATAACAAAAGTTCGGACTAGAAGAAAACCGACGGGTGTTTAATTTCTTATGAGAATTTAAAATACCCTAAACAACTTTACATCTTTTAACAAGTATATTATCCCCTTTAGCCGAATTGCGGTATAAGCTCCATAATTGGATACTTATGTGAAATAAGTCGTTAGCCACGAAAAAGGGTAAAAATGGCGGCCATTTTTGACTCAGCTGAAAGAACATTCCAGTTATAAAACAAAACAAAGAACAAAATATTTACTATTGGATTTAGTCAAAGTCTATTACTAGATTTTAGTTTTTAAAAAACCAAGATTTCTTCGGTTTTGCTGTGGTTTTGGCGTATCTTGCTATTGTTTTGACGTATATTGGTGTGCTTCGTACAACATATCCTTGTGTAGTCTGTCTATATTGGGCTGTTGGGGACGGACCATATTTCGTATTAACATATTTGTTTGTACCATAGTTTGCCGTGGACAAATCATATTTAGATGTATAGGAATTAGATTTGGATGTTGTTGGGTAACCAAAAATACCCTGCAAATAAAAAAAAAGAATAGATTAATGTAAATAAATATTCTTACATTGAGCACCCCACCTGCTCACCCATTTGGGTCCGCAGATTTTTTTTTATATTTGTATTTGTTTAATTACATATTTATAGCGCACTTCCTCCACGACTAAGTACTCATGCGCGCTTTACAAAACAAAAATATACCATTTCTTAATTCCGAAATATACCATAAGCTCTTTTTATCAGTATACTGTATATACACTTTCAACAGGACAGTGTCTAGTCGTTCGGATGCTACGAGAAATCGATGTCCCGTGTACACATTTGGGGGCACGCAAAAGAACCCTTGACAGGTGGAATTCGATAGGCCATAGCGCCGCTGTCCAGGCAAAATTCCCCTTATAGCACGTTGCTTCTGTAGTTGGTGCAGAAAAGAACTTGGAACCCCATTTCATTTTGTAATCAACCCAACAATTTCACACTTCGTGTAGGATTTTTATTTTAAACTGGTTTACTCGATGATGTCGGTATACGTTAAATCCCATTTCATTTCTGTGCCGATTCGATAATGGTGCGGTCGAATCTTGCCACGTAGTAGGTGGGCAGGTGTGTTCTCTTCCATATCTATATAATACAGTGTGGTTTCTCGGTTTCTCACCTCCTGCAAAACAGAGAGAGGGAGAGAGCGAGAGAGAGAGAGGGAGAGGGAGAGAGAGAGAGAGGTGGGGTTAAACGTCCACTCGAGCGGGGTAGAGAGAGAGAGAGAGAGAGGTGGGGTTTAACGTCCACTCGACACAAACTATGTCATTTCGGGACTATCACGTGATTCAATTTTATTTCAATAATTCGCTTGCGCATAGGGTTCTTTAGCAGTGGGAAGGAACTGGGGGACCCGGAGAAGACCCACGAGGTTGGACAGGCGACCCTACTCCTTGTCACGCACAACCGGGGAATCGAAACCCCATCAGTTGACACAATGACAGACCTTGTGATACAGCGCGCACGTGCTAACCATTCGGCCATCACCGCCACCCCCACTCCCATCCTGCAAAAGTGCAAACGAATTGTTTAAGTAAATAAATTACCACTTTAAACCGAAATAACCTACATTTGGAGAGTGGACGTCAAATCCCATTTCCTTCGTACCAAATTGAAATAAAATAACTCACATTAATGCACAAGCATACGACCAGGGTCACGAGCAGTGTTGCTATGATCTTCATTTTGATAGATTATCAGTCTTCTCGTTGAAGAGATAATCCATGGGCCATGTTTTATATACCCATCATGCCTATTCTCAGTTACACACCCAACACCACTGTGTAAGCATAAAAACACCCCAATATTGAATCAGGAATATAAAAAGACGTAGATAAGGCCAAGAAAAACTACATGTGTTTAAGACTGTTTGTCCCCAAAAATCTGTTTATTTTTTATTACCATTTTTTTCGTTGGGTTTGTTGGTGGGTTGGATGGCCGAATGGTTAGCGCGTGTGCGCTGCATCATATGGTCTGTTATTGAGTCAACTGACAGGGTTTCGATTCCCCGGTTGTACGTGACAAGGAATAGGGTCACCTGTCCAACCTCGTGGGTTTTCTCCCGGTCCTCCGGTTTCCTCCCACTGCTAAAGACCCGTCCGCGCATGCGAATTACTGAAATAAAATTGAACGATGTGTTAGTCCCGAAATAAAATAGTTTGTGTCGAGTGAACGTTAAACCCCATTTATCTCACTCTCTCTCTCTCTCTTTCTCTCGGTTCTTTGGAAAGAATACTGAAATTTCAGTGTTGGAATTTGTATAGAGAAAATCACGCCAAGACCGAGTTAACGGGCTTGGGAAAGCAGAGAGGAAAAAAAGGTTAGGGTCCTCGATTTTGGCTAAAAAAATAATTAGAATCGGCCGGGTAACGGTAAACATAGATATTTGTTATTTTGGCCTTATATTAAATCCATTGATTGGTAATAGATTATATTACTTGGACAACGTTCAGGGAGCCTGCTCAAATTTGTGACAATATGTCTGTATTTAATCAGAGTACAAAACAACTAGACTTTTATGGTCTAGGTGTTTTACTTTATTCAGCTGACATATTTTGTAATTAATATACACAGTTAATATTCAGAACAATAAACGATAATATCCAATTCTACGGCATTGTCATTTTCTACCGTCAAGATTAATGAGCGTCAAGATTAGTAAGCGTCAAGTACATTAGTCCGGGGCAAAAAATGGTAAAACAGTAAGTTGATGTGCCAGTAACTAATACGGTGACGTATGCATTATTCCTGGAAAGGATGAGGTAAAAAGAATTTAAGTTACTCAAATCTGTCTGCCTGAGAATGCCTGTTCCCTTTTCTGGGTGTCTATGACAGAGAGGTTGTCAATCTTACATGGGTTTGGATAGTTTTGCTTATTTCGGTATTTCTATCCTTCAATTCCTTTACGCGGCCATATTTGGCAACTCAAAATTCTGGCGAAAGAAGCCCCTGAATTTTTGAATTGGGGGTTCAGGATGTTTGGCATAATTCCCGTGTTTTCCTTACTGAGAAGCCTATTTAATTCATTAAAGGTCTATATTCTGGCTTTAAATGTTATTTAAATCATAATGTAGGCATTTTTCACACGATAAGCACGTAATCGACTCTCTAGGCCAATGGATGTCTTAGATATTAATTGGATTAGACCACCCGCGCCATTTGACCGGTTAACGAAATAAATGGATATCGAGACTTCGTATATTATCGCTGCAATGACAATCTTGACCACGATATTCTTGTCAAAACGTCAGTCATAACTTTGGTAAGAATAAAGTAAATTGACTGAAATTTTAAATATTTTTTCAAACTATTATAGAATGAACGACCATCTCCGCATAATGCATCTTTAATTGCATTTAAGGTTGTGTTTGCTGTTTTCGTTGAGATGGTTGTGTGGTTTTCGTTGTTATGGGCTTGTTAGACACATGGACCGTAGCCTCCGATAGTGTTATACAATATTCGTCTATTTATATTATATTTCGGGCTCTCGTCTTGCTGTCAACGACCAGAATAGCTATGAAAAGGGTTAAGGAAAGAGCCCGATAATTTGTAGGTAACGGCTTTACAAACCAAACTAACTTTAACATTCAAGGCAACTACCAGAAAATCTTGGTCTTCAAAGATGACTCCATTTCATCTTTCTACCATATATGTGTTAAATAAAGCATATCGTCTCATCAGGACCCGGGGTCCAACTCAAATTTCAGTATCTCGTTTTTTAGAGCAAAATATGCAATTAATAACAGTGTAGGTATTTTTCTTTAGACATTTTACATCAAAAATGTATACTGGGGCTATTGCTTTCAGGTGCAGAACTAGTTACAGATATGAAAAATTATTAATTAAATTCAGTAGAAATATGCTTTATGACGTAATATATGCCTCGATAAATAAAATATGCTGTATGGCCGCGGGTCGCATGCGTATAAGATATGATATGATAACTAAAATGATAATAGCTAACAAATTTTCGTTGTGCTTTCGAGTAATTTATGAGAATAAATTTATCAATGAAGGTGTCTGTAATAAAAATAAAATGAGGTTTAAAGCCTTTGTACAGTTGAACTTCGGTGCACGTGTGAAAGAGCGCATTTCATCTGTATTGATGAACCGGGTCATGGTTTACTGGTAACATGCGAAATGCGCACTACCAGAAATATGTTCAAATCCGTTGGGGCAATTTATAAAGTAAATGTGTGTGTGGGGAGGGGGGGGGGCGAACATAAATGATGTTCATGATTTTCGAGTGAATCAAAGCCACAATATTTTAATGCTGAGATGGTACATTGCTATTACATAAACAATATATCTTAAATGTGAAGGGTACGACCGATGATCAGGACAAGGTGACAATCCGTTGGCACTTATCCTTGTTAATCCATGGTATGGGTGACAAAATCCATGTCCACTGATTAGAAGTAAATTCTTTAGTTGGATTATTACAGATAAAGCTCTCCTTTATAATATATTTATAAAATAGCATATACGTATTCAAATTTGAATAATATCAAAAGAAAATAAAACTATTCACATGTAAAATAATTCGAATTAAATTGAATGTAAATAAACATAAATATTCACAGGTAAAATGCTTTGAATTAAATTAAAGGTAAGTAGATATTAAACATATTCACATTAAAGATGCATTATGTAAGAGCTAAATCGGCCTATTACAGGTTTTTTATTTTGGCTTCAAATGTTATATAAATTATTATTATGACAAACCTATAATCAACTCGCCATCATCGAATGGCGCAGATGTAAACGGATTAAAATACGATCGCCACTTAATGATTTAATTTAAAAATGGAGAAGCGAGGCCGAGTCTCGATTAGCAAGTAACGTTGCTGCGATAATAAACAATCTTTCAAAACTTCAAACAGTGATATCGTCGCTCAGAACAAAGTAATTTGAATGAAATTTTTAATGTATTTTAATTATGAATTATCTATTTTGGAACTTTACTATGGCAAGAACGACCAGCTTTTCATCTAAATTATACATAATTCATCTTTAACATAATATCAATTAAATAAAAAGTTAATAAATATATTAAATATTTACATTAAAGTTATGTTTTTAATAAATCGGTTGAATATTTGTCTGTTGTAATGAACTATTAGTCTTGTTTCGACCTTTTCCAATTCCGTCTTCATTGTACCTGGGGTTTTTTCCAGAAAAATGGGACCAAAACCCCATGTCATTCATATATTCCCTTTCCAATTGACAGCGACGCCCTGTGGGTATTCGTTGATTTATTGGGACGTTTTTAAAGTTTATTCTGGTCCCGCCATCGTTATTATATTATACCTGCCTGTTGCTACAATAGAAATAGGTGAATTATCGGATTTCAAGACCTTGTAAATATGTTTTAGACGTTGATTCTAGAATCTGTCAAGGTTATATAGTCAGATATAGAAATATATGAACCATTTTCATTTAAAGCGGCTGATCATAATTTGGGATATTTTGAATCCTTTGCAAACTTCAATGAATCTCAAAAAGCAATTTCAAGCCAATTATGGTTTAGTTCCATTCCACATTCACAGAGATACAGTGTATTGAAAATTTAGCAACATTCGTCAGCTTCTGCTGATGGCGGTGTTCTTCAGCAAGGTCTTGAAAAGTGTATTTTTAACCTTTGTTGGGTCTTTAAACATGCATTATGCAAGAGCTAAATCTGCCTATTGCAGGTCTTTCTTTAGGCCTGAAATGTTATCTAAATTATTAAAGATACATTATGGGAGATAAGATAACGAGATGGCAGTTCTCGATATAATAGTTAAAAACTAGATAGTGTAAAGGTAATTTGCTGAAAATTTCAGTCAAATTGATCCGCTATGAGCCGAGAAAGAAGCGGGTGAAATTTTGGCATAGTCTCGGTCATCATTACTAAAATCATTAATATAAACAGCTTAGTCTCGATTATCCACTTTTATTGATTTAATTATCAAAGGCCGTTAGCGGCATATAGGAATCTAATCCAGCCAACATCGAAGGCTAGCCTTGACATCGAGAGTTTATTATGGTCTGGATAAGTTAATTAATGTCTAATTGATAATTTAGATAACATTTCAGGCCTAAAGAAAGACTTGCATAATGCATGTTTAATTCCAGACCATAATGAACTCTCGATGTCATCGCTAGACTGCGATATAAACTGAATTAGGATCCGATTTGCTGCTCAACTTTTATTCATGATGAAATGGATAATCGAGCCTATGCTTTTTATCATACCGACTTTAATAATGATCGAGGCTAGGCCGAAAATTCAATAGCTAAATTCTCGATTCAGAGTCGATCAATTTGACTGAAATTTTCAGCAAATTGCCTTTACATTATCTAATTTTTAATTATTATAGTGAGAACTGTCAGCTCTTACCTAATCTCCCATAATGTATCTTTAAGATACATGTAATTGATACGTTTTTCGCATCGATGATATTTCCTTGTTGGAAATTAGTATCTCCCGGTTGTTATATTTTACAAAATATTACGAAAAAATTGATACCATTCGTATATGATATCTGCAACCTTTGGGGGGTTGGATGGCCGAATGTTTAGCACGTGCGTGCTGTATCATAAGGCCTGTCATTGAGTCAACTGGCGTGGTTTCGAATCCCCGGTTGTACGTGACAAGGAGTAGGGTCGCCTGTCCAGCCTTATTGGGTTTCTCCGGGTCCTCCGGTTTCCTCCCACTGCTAAAAGACCCCTACGCGCAAGCGAATTATTGAAATAAAAATTAAACCATATGTTAGTCCCGAAATGACCTAGTTTGTGTCGAGTGGACGTTAAATTCCATTTCCCCCTCTCTCTCTCTCTCTCTGAATTATTTCTGAGTGTTTTTAATGGGGTTAGATGGCCGGGTTAAGGTCTGCCGCATTGACTTATTATCATAAGGTCTGTCATCGATGCAAGTGTTGAGAATTCGGTCCAAGTTTAGCTGCATGCCTAACTACGTAAAATTATCTCAGGTTACTCTGGGTTATCCGTACTTGTAAAGATCCGCGCGCGCAAGTGAATTAAATACAATATACCATAAAATATTAGTCCTCAAATTGATTCTGTCTTAGTGGACGTTGAAACCTGTTCTCTATTACAATATGGACATAATCAACCAAGAAATCTTTCCATTTGTCTTCAAATAAGGTTTTTCACCTTCACGAGGGCTCACATAATGCAGCGTTCTCGCACGATATTCACGTTCCACACAAACTCACTTTCCATGTCAAATGCCAGATTATCACCGACCACTGACCGCAGCAGTATGGGATAGAAATGGGGTTTAACGTCCACATAAACTAGGTCATTTTGGGACTAACGTATGGTTCAATTTTATTTCCATAATTCGCTTGCGCACAGGGGTATTTAGCAGGGGAGGAAATCAAAGGACCCGGAGAAAACCCACGATATTCGGGAATCGAAACCACGCCAGTTTACCCAGTGACAGACCTTATGATATAGCGCGCACGTGCTAACCATTCGACCCACCACACCCCGCAGCAGTATGTAAATATAAATATAGAAATGGCAATTTTGACAATCACAAAACAAAAGTTACACCCTACTCCCTTTAAATAAAATGATAAATGATTTCTTCTTATTAATGATGTTTGTATTCCATCGCCATGAAAACTAACGACAAAACAAAAAATTAATATCATTAGGAAAAACAAGCCAAGGTAATTAGATTAGTGCTTAATTATCAAACTAATAGGTTATGTTTTCTTTCATTTGGAATGTCATCAATGATAAATACGAAATGTACTTTTGTATCTTTTGATCTTTATGCCAACCCAATGTTTAAAATTCATATTCATATGTCATTTTTAGTTGTTTCCTGCACAAACTAAAATAAAGAGCCGCGGTAGCTCAATGGGTAAGACGCTGGTCATAAAACATTAGGTCTCGGGTTCGCTCCCGGTGTTGGCCGAGAAAGTTTCTCGAGATTTTCCAGCGCGGTTTTCCACTTGTCGGTAGTACAGGATGAACGCATCACAAGGAGTGTCTAGTCGTTCGGATGGGACGAAAAACCGAGGCCCTGTGTGCACATTGACATGCACGTAATAAGAGTAAACCGTATCACCACTGTCCTAGGTCCGTCTTTATTAGCCCATGAGTCGGTGCAGCAAAGTAGGACGTTAAACCCCATTTCATTTTATTTCACGAACTAAAATGTAGCGTAAAAACCGTGGAAGAAATAAATGAAACTAAATGAAATCTGTCCGTATTTTTGTATACTACCTTGATCTTTTAGCTCTAGTTTAAAATTCATATTTGTAACATTTATGTTTAACTAAAATGTAGCGTAAAAATCGATATGCCGCCTCGTTGGTTTTATCCCTAGTTTTCAAAATTTATTCATTTTATGTGTTTTTCTCCTTTGAAATTGTACAATTTATATAACCCTTGACTCCCAAATTAAAAATCCAAGTACTATCGCCATTGAGGGGGGGGGGGGGGGGGTGGTGGCTGAATGGTTAGCACGTGCGTGCTGTATCATAAAGTCTGTCATTGAGTCAACTGGCGTGGTTTCGAATCCCCGGTTGTACGTGACAAGGAGTAGGGTCGCCTGTCCAACTTCGTGGGTTTTCTCCGGGTCCTCCGGTTTCCTCCCACTGCTAAAGACCCCTACGCGCAAGCGAATTATGGAAATAAAATTGAACCATATGTTAGTCCCGAAATGACCTGGTTTGTGTCGAGTGGACGTTAAACCCCATTTCTCTCCCTCTCTCGCCATTGAAGAGACGACAACTGTCAAGATCGGTTGCATTATGTCTGTTACGTCTTTTTTGGGAAATCATTTTATTTATTTATTTCTTATTTTTTTTTTTTTTTTTTTTCATTTTAGTGAAGCCGCTGTCATTACAGGCCCGGAACTCTACAGCGCAGTGACGCTTACGACGGGCCCGCGTACCCATTCACTTGATTTGATATTTGTTAATGTCTATATTCTGTCTTGTCCGCAGTTCTATCTTGAAGATTTTTTTTTTTTTTTGCGTGTATTGTGCTCCTCCTGCACTTAATAATAGGTAGGTTATTTTGCGCCATCGTTGAACGTGCACGTCAATCACATAGAAAAAAGAACCGAAAATCTTTGAAAAAAGAATATTTACGACTACAATACTATTGCAATGTAGACACTGAAACTGGTCGTCTATTCTCGGGACTGGTCAAATGAATTTAATAATATAACATCAAAAGTTCAGGCGGAAACGCCGCTATCTGGGCAAAATTAACCCCTCGCATTGCACACGGTAGCATTGAAATAAATTGTTAGTCTCAAATTATCGAAGCATTGTGTTGGCGAGATGTTATATCCCATTCCATTATATTAAAATTCACCACTCTAGACTGGGTAGCCTAAAACCCATGTCATTTCAAAAACGAAAATGAAAATCAATCTAAATAAATAAATCGGTATAATGTACAAATTATTTTATTATTCATCTAATGCATACAATTTCATCAAAACTTGTATATTATCTGAACATGTTTATTCACGATAGACATTAATTAAATGGCGTGTTAGCCTAATATAAAGAGCATCCCATTCATTCACCCTTTGATAACATGATCATTTAACATAGCGAGATTTCGCGAGATTTGGCTGCAGGTGCCCGTTACATCCGGGCTTTTTCTTCAAACGCTTGCAAGAATTTTGCAAATCAGACGGATGAAGCTTTCGAATATTGAAGTCTGTTGTTTGGAATTTAGATTCACGTAGTTCAATATATGGATGTATAAACCCGAATATATTCAGGTTATTCAGTATATTCCGGGCTTGTTTGTTCATTTGATTTTGTGAAGACTGTTGTGAGCTAAATTAGCGATCCAACATGGGGTGTGTAACGAGTTCAGAAGACAAGGTGGCTATGGAGAGGTCCAAACAAATTGATAAAGGACTGAGGGCCGATGGTGAAAAATCTTCTCGAGAGGTCAAATTATTATTATTAGGTAAATATTTAGTTAATCATACATGATGGTATATTAGAATTGATGGCACACCCCTCTCGAATCGACGGACTGTCATCTTTTTTAGCAGTCTCATCGTAATAAAAATATTTCCGTCGCGGACGCATACAAACACTAGCCTAACGTTCAACCCATTTGCGGCGGTCTAATTTCATTTATTGACATAAAAATTGTAATCTCTTTACACTTCCTAGAGCTACAGTACATATTTTCCAGTCTCGTAACAAGGATAATTCCTCGGCGTGTCGTTTTAAGCTCAAACTTGTCAAATTAGTCGTTTATACTTTATGTACGACACCCATTTCCGGAAAAACTCGCGTGTTTACAGTGGATGGTATTAAAGGCCACACAGCCGTTTTAAATCGGCCCCTTTTTGAAAGTGACTCAGTGGATTGGCTAATACGTTGTACACAAGAGAAAGCCTTGTTATGCATGAGATGCTGTAAATATGTAACTATGTATATTTGGCCTACTTTTCAGAATTCAAAATAAATTTAGGCAACACTGAACTTCCCATGGTATTTAAATTTATGTAAATTATCTTAGTTTATTACATGAAATGGTTTCGGCTTATAAGTTATTCATCAGTAAAAACTAATATTTCCCTTCCGACTCCTTCATAAGTTCATAATAATGATAGCATAATACTTAACTGGTTTCACAAATCACAATACTTTAAATTTTTCAAAATCCTTTATGCAACACATTTGTCCAAATGTCAGGCACATTCTTTTCATCGTTTTTTTTTTTTCTGGTGCTGATACTAACATCATTTCTAAACAGTACTAACAGTCATAACATGACATCAGACAGTGCTTGTACAAATGTTTGTATGCAAATAGTTTTGCAAGGATATTCGGTGTGATTTGATATTGATACATATTTTGTCTTCGTAGAGTATACATATACATTGTACATGTACGTATGTATTGATGATAGAACTCGAATGAAATCAGGTGATAATGAAAAGTACCAGTAGTCAAATAGCTATGATAAAATCAGTACCACTACTCATCAATATTTATTTAACATCCTGTAGCTATTTCCTGGAAAATACCAATCATTTTCCTTATATTCACCTGAATATCTATATGTATTAGCCCTGCACACTACACACAATTTTATCAATGCCAATTTTCGACATCTCTTGAGATCAGTAAGGACTAAGTAATACATATGTTTTAGTGGTCATAATAACCATGCAAATACATGCAGCACATAGAACAACTGCGTAGCCAATGTGTAAATGTATGCACACCTGTTCCTAATATAAAATTTATGTTGGTGATTATATGTTTATCCGCTAACATGTCTGTTACAAATTATTAAATCTTTTGCATGTAATTACCCCTTGTCAGTGATACAGGAGTTTGGACAGAGCACCTGGCAAGGGACAATGTATAGTCATTCGGATTGGATAAAAAAACAGGTCCTGTGTACACATTGGTGTGCATGTAAAAGATCCCTTGGCAATTGGAATTCGATATTGGAGTAGGCGGTAATGCTGTTGTCCAAGCAAGATTTCCCTCATAGCACACTGTATGGGGTATTCCCGTCTTCCTTAGCTGCTCAGTCAGAGCAGAACAGGACGTTAAACCTCATTTCTTTTACTTACCTATATTTAATACAGTTGATAATATTGTTTGATTTAAAACTGATTGTCATCAAATTATTCTGGTTGCTTTAACAAGAATGATTATATTTATATAACTAGGCTGTTTATACAGAACTTGTTCACCAATTGTCTAACACTTTAACTTTCATTTACATGTACAACATGCTTGGGAATTAATTAATGATTGATATATTCTCAGAATTCGAGTTGTGATATGAAATGAAATGGGATGTAACATACTACTGTTCTGCTCCAACTGGGCTAATGAAAACAGGCATACACCGCACAGTGTGCTATGAGGAAACTTTTGCCCGGGCAGCGGCACTATGGTCTACTCTTATATCGAATTCCAACTGCCAAGGAATCTTTGACGCCAGGGCTGCCGAGAACCAGTATCGCAGCGCAATTTGCGATACATATTTTGTCCGTTGCTAACCAAAAATTAAAATCTAACGTTTTTGATTCGCAGTTACTGCGAATCATTAATATGCCTGTCATTTTGGATATTGACACAAGAATAATCCACATTTTGAAGACTAGAAGGCTTACTCAACACTTTCAACGTGTATAAAATGTTGAATAAAATTTTATAAACAAAACTGAATTCTCCGTGTGACATTTTCTTCTCGAACTGCCCTGACACAATACTATATAACACAGGGACATAACTCTATGAATAGGGACTATTAAACCGGAAATATGGATTAAGTAGTACCACTCACGTTGTGAGACATCAAGTAATTATATCATATTCATTTTGAAAGAAATAAATCCAGTGTATCTCCCACGTATTGTAAATAAAATATAAAAAAAATAAACACATGTTAACGTTTTGTAAAATGATAAATCAAAGTAAAAATTCCCGTAAAATATTATTGTTTATATCGCGTGTGTCTAGTTAATCGAGGTGCGCCCGATTGAACAAAAATAATAATACACGATAAAAAGCAGACAAAATTGTTTTCTAACGAAGATTTCTAACGTAACAATAAAATTACAATTAAAATGAGTTGGGCTTCGGAAGTCACTGTCAAGAATTGGCTTCAGGCGTAAGACCTAACTAAATGTCTACATCACATTCACAAACTGTCACAAGTACTTGTGGCAGTGCTAAAAAATCTAAGAATAGTCAGAATGGAATCTAATCATATTTCAATTCGTTATGAATTAAAGTAATATCTTGTTATTTAGGTGTTTTACGTTGAAACTGAAAAACTGCTAATCAATTTTTAAATTTGCTAATCAAATTTGGCAAAATTGGACTTTTTGATTAGCAGTGCTGCTAATCAACTGTGAAAAATTACCGACAGCCCTGTTTGACGCCAATGCATGTGAACACGGTATCTCAGATTATTTATCCCATCCGAATGACTAAACAGTTGTCCTGCACCACCAACAGGGGGAAACCACGACGCATAATCCTGATGAACTTTCTCGACCAATGCAGGGATCGAACACACCACACATAGCCACTGTGGCTCCAAAAATTAGAGTTGTATAATGTTCATTTGTAAAAACCCAATATTGATATAAAGCAATGGTAATGGGCAATGAGAGCGACTCATTTGTGTGAAAAAAATCTTGGCAGTTGGTGTTCATAAAAAGGGTAGGCTTAACATGTTTGCCCGTCTTCATTAGCCCAGTTAGTGCAGAAAAGTGGGTCGTCAAACTTCATTTCACATGTACATGTAATTTAATAGATTTCTGTACAGTTTTATCCACACTACAAATGTAGTAGCAGTTGGTAATCTCTGACAAGATGACTTTTAACCTTGAATTGGAATCCCTGTCCCTTTCATTGTGCATGTACATGTATTAAGCAATCTTTTCTTTGTTTATCAGGTGCAGGAGAATCTGGAAAAAGTACAATTGTAAAACAAATGAAGTAAGTACTGTATGTTATTAAGTACAAGTATAAATGATAATAGTGATGATATATTTACATGTAACTCGTAAAGCTGTCAATTTTTATTGTTTTGTCCTTTATGGAAAATACAGGTGTACATTGTAAATCATATTACATGTATATTGATTGATACATTAATTAGCTACATTGTAAAATACCTGATTTCTAGCCTGGAGCTGTATTAAGAGTTTTTAATGTACGTAATCTATGTATTTACCATACACAAAAGAATTTAGAAAAATTATTTAGATGTACATGTGATCTGTTGACTGCATCACCAGATAAAATGAAAATCAGAAAAACTGGGTCCTACATGTACATTTACTAGAAGAAATGTACCCTGTAGTATTGTATCAATAGGACAAACTGTACGGTATACATGTATATTGGTAGATAATGATTCAACAACAAGCAAGATACATATATGTAGCTTTCTATTAATAAACTAAAACAAAAAAATCGACTTAATGGGCCTTACTTGACATCAATTGGTTTTGAACTCATGAGTGATTAAAGTTTGAACAAATGATGTTAGACAGTAAAATACAGGAAACATACATGTAGCATGTTCTGTGGCCTTAATGTGTACTTACTATACATGTAAATGTACATTTATTAATACAAGTGTGTAATCAGACAGACACAAAAATAATTACATGATGTTGATCTGACTACGGTTACTTGAAGAAAAGCAGTTTTAAGTATTGTCCTTGTACATTTATCATTAATTTATTTTATTTTAACTTAAGCATAGATGTACAAGGTACATGCATACTTAACTTATTTGATTTTAACATAAGCATACATGTACATGCGCAAGGTACATATATACATGTACATGTTATGTATTTTTATTCTTCAGAAATCGTACACGGCTAAAACACAATATTTGTGACAAGTGTCACATCAGGGTGAAAAAATGAATTGCCTTGCAGTTCTAAGTATCAATAGTTCAATGTTTTAGTCATGAAAATTTATACTTTTATCGCTTATGCAGCTGTTACAAATACACTTTTGTAAAGCTTTTTATGTATGGGTCACTGCAGTGTCACTTGATGGTTAATTGTATTGCCGTAACCTTTAAAAAACGAAAAAAATCAAATTTTATTCAAATGAATAAAAATATTTTAGATTTTAAAATTACACATTTCAAACGTAAAATAATATTACTGAAGGTCACATTTTTATTGTAAGTTTTCAGTTTTTTATGCACATGTGCACAGTGATTGTGAAAATTTTACAGAAACGTGTTTTTGTAATTTAGTCAAACTCCCTTAAACATACATTATGCAAGAGCTAAATCGAATCTGTCTATTGCAGGTCTTTCTTTAGGCCTAAAATGTTATCTAAATTATTAATTAGACTTTAATTAACTTATCCAGACCATAATCAACTCTAGATGGCATCGCTACCCTGCGATCTTAAGTGGATTGTGATCCGATTTACAGCATAACTTTCCTTCTCGATTAAACGATTAAATGCTGTTTAACGTACTGACTTTAGTAATGATGACCGAGGCTAGGCAGAAATTTTATTCGCTTAGTTCTCGGTTCATAGTGGATCAATTTGAATGAAATTTTCAGCAAATTGCCTTTACGTTACGGTATCTAGTTTTTAATTATTATAGTGAAAACTGTCAACTCGTTATCGAATCTCCCATAATGTATCTTTAATGCACTGTCTATTTGTATAATTCAACTATCAAAATTTATTATAGGACATGTTCTATTAGCATGCATTTATATCATTTCTAAAAAAGTCACAGAAAATGTATTAATTTGAGTTATCAAAATATAATTTATTGAAGTGAGGCAGCATGCATAATGCATAAAAATTGCCATTTTTGGGGACAAGTATATTGCCATAACTCAACAACGAAGATATATATACATGTATTTACTTGAAATTTGGTGGTCCAGGAGAGATCATTATTACAAATGTTGAATAAAAGAAATGGACTGTAAATTCTGGAAGTTGTTTCCAAACTAAGTATACTGTACATGTACATGTAACATTATAAAATTGAAAACTAGACAAATATTGTGTTTTAGCTGGCAACAATTGTATCAAATTATACATTGTACATGGTCTCACTTTTACACATCAATGTACATGTATAATGCAAAGTCAGTACAACATCGACACATAATCCATTCCATTATATACTGTATTTAAATGAATTTGAATAAAATTATTTTATTTCAGAATTATACACGAGAAGGGATATTCACAAGAAGAATGTTTACAGTATAAACCAGTTGTTTACAGTAATACTATTCAATCTATGATAGCTATTATTAGAGCTATGGGACTTTTAAAAATTGATTTTGGTCACCCAGATAGAGCTGTAAGTAAAACATTTGTAATACATTAGCATGAATTGTTCATTTGGTCATAAGGATGAACCCAATGAAAATTCCGAACTTTTAAATTGCAAATTTGGAGTTACATGTACCACCAATGCTCACACTGTCTATCGCCATTTCGGCCAATTGCTACAAAAATATAGATTTGGTGATTCCATTTTTAATATGGCGAATTTTGGGGCAATAACTTTTTCGTGTTGTTCATTCTCTCCATTCATTTGTGCTTGCTCAGTCAATTATCAATCAATTAGGTATCAATCATAGTGCTATCTTTTGTCTATCAATTTCGGATTAGTGTTGATTAGTATTTGGTGTAAGAGTAGTAATGAAGTAAGAAACAAAGGATTGAATTAATAATTGTCTTCAAATATGAATCAAGGCTTATTGATTCATGTAGTTTCTATATCAAATCAAGGTGGCAGAAACTATTATTGGACTACTAGCAGGATACCCGGTTTTGCCCGTGGCCCAAGTTCGATAGCCTAAAACATTCATAGGGTTATACTAGTTAATTTGATACCAAATACATGTATGCGAGGGTGGAGAGCGGCAACGTACATGTAATGTTATTTGCCAGTGGCCCAGGCCCAAATTCGATGGCCTAAAACATTCACAGGGTCGTTCTGGTTAGTTTCATACATGTGGGGATGGATGACAGCAATGAAGCGTGATGGGCGAACATGCACACATACATACAATGTACACTGTACATACACATACAGACTTTGATTTTATCTATATATAGATTGTTTTTGTGTTAACACTGTATGTACAGTATGTCATTGTGGGACAAAATGTAACACACATATTGTAAGTTGTAAATGTACTTAGAAAAGGCAGGATTAAATCATCACCAAAAATGAAAATTGAAAAATATTTTAACCTACATGTACATGTACCCACACAAAAAAATTGTAATGTTTCTTAAAAAACTATATGATGTACAGGCTTATGGTACCTGATACCATATGTGTCATACATGTATTCACAGCTACACATGTAATTTTGTCAACTTCCTATAACCTTTAAAAATAGGTCAAGTTTCTTTTTTATAAAAATACTATTTGAACTTTTATAGATTCACATTATCTGCCCGTCCATGTTAAGTGGACTCTTTTTCTGGAATTTTTTTTTTAGGCGCACCCTTTCTGCTTAGATTCTGTTCTAAGTTGGTGTACATGTATATTTTTGTGCATTTTCTTACCAATTGACTTGAAATTTATACTAAAGAAATAAGTGTTTATGGTCACAAGAAGCTAATTTTAAACATTTTCCAATAATTACTATCACACTTTGATCACTTTGTAAAATCTTGTGGACACTCTTGGGCTTACATGTTTGTTATCCATTTAACTTGAAATTTTATGCACACCATAACGTTAAAGTAGCTAAGTCTCTAACTCAATATCATCCAAAATCTTCGACATTGAAAACACGAATTATTTGTCAATTTAAATCATCATTGATGTTGTGATCTTACCGGGAAAAGATAACCTTCTGATATCCAATATTTAAGACAAAATAAACATTTTACAATTGGTACACGAATCGTGTACCATAATGCGTTTCAGCGCTGTTTGTAATAAGGGACTCGAAAAACGAGGCTAGGCATATTCCACAAGTCATGTCAAACAGTGACGCTATATTCTTATCTGGAGAGCATGCCCAATAAATACTATCGGCGTAGACTGGAAAAACCAGACGCTAGAGATTGAAATTCGATTGAGAATACTGGCGTATTTCGCCGAACCTAACAGATTAGAAATTACAGTAAAATCAGAAACGATTGAATGTAAATCAATTTATATACATTCATATTATATTATTATATGCGTTGCGACCCATTTGTGTCAATTTCTAGGTCCCAAATATTAGCGACTTAGCTCCTTTAAGTAATAGGCCAGTCAATTTTGAATTATTTCTAATAAATATTTCATGGTTTGTTGGCGTTATTGTATTAATTTGTGGAGAATACTCCTATTACCTGTACCTTCAAAAACACAAACATACTGTCAACTGAGGCTACTTTGAGCAGTGGGGCAACTTTTAACATTTTTCAATATATCTTCTACATGTATTTATTTGTTCCAATCTAATTAAAATATACTTTCGATGGCCTACACTACATGTAGATCTAACAAGTTATAGTGGGAGTTCACGTTCTATAACGTCAGGTACCAAGCAAGCAACATTTGAAACGATTACGTCAGTCATTCGATTAACCAATTAGCGACTGCCATGTGTTTTTTTATCTACTTTTGCTTTGTTTTTGATTTCTATTGCCGCTAATGTCTATCCACAGTTCCGCGCAAAAAATCTCAAACGCTCGATTCGACAGACCATTTGATTGGCTGACCTCTCATTTCAAGCAGAACACGAGTTAAATAACAACGCTTCCAGATCCAAGTGTAGTAAAGACAAGTAAAATCGAAATTTTGAACTAGAAAAACGAAACAAAATTGGATCCGTGTTTTAATCAGATTGTATTTGTTCATATCATATACATGTAAAGAATGCTTTACTTTAAATAAATATACATCTTAACTTAGATGATATAAAAAAAATTGGTTCACATTTGATGAAATGTTACTCCCATTATGCAACTGTGGCATGTCTATTAAGGTCAAATAGCCTGTCAACTTTATACTAGAAATCTTTAAGTATACATCATTCAACATAAACACTGAATTTATATATGTAGATAAAGCATATTTGATAAATTTCAAACCGGTATTTTATGGTTTTGAATAAAAATAAAAATTTAAGTACAAAAATACGGATAATAACACCATTTTTAAAGTAAAATGGGGCAACTTTGAACATGTATAACATCTCCCCAAAGACATTTATTCACAATATTTATATTTCTTGCATTTGATTGTAAGAAATGAATTTACTGTTGCATTTTGATAGATTTATTAAATTCCATTAATTTATCCAATGTAATTTTATGAACTGTTCAAAGTAACTCCACTTTCGAGGCAACATTGAACACCTAAATTTTTTGTCTTGAAAATTGAAAAAAATAATATTTTTAAACCAAAACTTTTTCTTATTTTGTTGAAATGTTAATTCTATAAGTATTGTGATGTATTTAAATTATTTTGAATGGAAATTTATGTGTCGTTTAAAGTTAGTAGTTACCCCACTGGCGAGGCAAGGTTGAACACCCACATTTTTTTTTTAAAAATGAAAAGTTAAATACCTACACCAAAATAAACCTGAATTTATAGCTAAAATAGCAATAAAAAATATATAACAGCTTGGCAATCATTAATAAATGAAAAAAAATGTTCAAAGTAGCCCTGTTTCATGTTACGAAAACACAAACATGCAACAACCTCCAAAGACAACCCAAACAGTTCAACTGAGGGCATATGTTTTGATGATTGGCAACCTACATGTACATGTATAGTATCTTTAAAATTCTGCACGCCACTGACAGGAGTACCATACTCATGCATACATGTACCTATTCTTTACAAATGAAAATGTAAATAACGAACAAAAACAGCACATTTCCTCCATTCCAATATAAGTTATAAACTTTCTGGAAATAAAGATATTCATTTCGGAAGTAAAAATGCTGGATAATCGAATTCTGTAAAAAAATTATATTTTATACATGTAGCGCCTAAGTCCTAACAGTGAATTAACACATACATGTACTTCTACAGTACATGTACATGTACACAACATGCTTAGAAGGAAAACTAATATATTTCATCTTGGGTGACCTTTCGAAGAGTACTGGCTTGATAACATCTTTAAAACATCGTCCAAATATGTTGGTACATTGTACATGTGCATGTTACTTCATTGCTGATTTTTAATTAATTCCTACTGATTTCTATCATAAGTTGACTGACCTGGTTAATTGAAGACACTTATAGACAGTAGAAGTGAAGAGAGTTGTTCAACTGAAATATAAATAAGTGGTTTGTTTGCTGTAGCTATCACGATAAGTTATCAAGTAGTTGTAATTAGTATGTAAACTGACTTTCACACTATAATTGAAATAGTAAGAAAATATTCTTGTTGCACAAATTATCAGTAATTGTGAGTGAAAGATTTCACTGTATTTGCGTAAAGCTCATTTGTTAAGATGTGGCCTACATGTACATGTACATTGTATAGGGCCCTACATATTTATAAGGCCTGGGCGATTTTATTTTTAGTTTTATGGTCTTGATAAATAGTCACGTTTTAAATTACGTTTTTTTTTTTGCCAACATGAAAAACAAAAGAAAATTGTAATGGGTGTCAGATAAACAAAATTTAAATTGGTGTGGCCTAAGGATATACATGCATATTGTGAGCAGTACAGCTGTATGTAGCTTCTGGAGTATTTTTACCCACTGGCTAAAATGATCAAAATAGGAAATTTAATAAGCTATAAAAAAAATAAAAAAAATTTTCCCAGAAAGAGAAATACTTACATGTAAGTGGACACATTGAATGCTGCCTATACAAATCAAATATTATGTCTTTATTCAAATGCTATTTGAATATTAGTTTATCATGTAGTGCATTTTCAGGAAATTGGGAATCAGGCTTTTGTTTATTGAATATATATCTGTTTATTGAATATTAGTTGGTTCCATAGAAGTCTGTCAAAATGTATAAAAATCCTTTACATATGTAGTTTTAATGGACGAATATAAAAAGATCAGTTTGAACTTTGAATGGCCTGAATAAAATTATCTGAATCAATTAGATTTGCAAAGGAATCAGCATATAGATCGATAAAATTTCAATTCCACATAACTTTGTACTGTAAATAATGAATGGAATTGAACCGTTTTTGGATTGATAATCCTATTCGAGATTCATCTTTCACAAGATTGTAGTATGCAGATGACTCACAAGGGTGTGGAACTGGGTCTTCTTGTTTCATTTGTGACTTTGAACTACATACATGTACATGTAAAATTAGACTTTAAAGTTTTGGAAAGACACAATTTTTTGTGAAAAGTGAAATAATTAATAGGGCATAACATGTACATGTATGTAAGATAAGATACAGAGCTGACAGTCCTTGCTATAATACATTGTAGCTAAAAATAGATAATGAAAAGGGAATATATGTATATTGAGCCAAATTATCACTTTTAAAAGAACAGTGTAACCTCGATTGTCATTGCTACCGTTAAGATATAAACAAAGTCTTGATTATCCAATTTTTTTAAATTAAATCATTAAATAGCTGAAACATTCTAATCTACTTGAACTTTAAATTGGACTTGGAGCCATCCGATGACATTGAGATTTGAGTATGGTCTTGTCATGTTAGTTATTGTCTAATTGATAATTTAAATAACATTTAAGGTCTAAAGGAAAAACTTGCAATAGGCAGATTGAGCTCTTTGCATAATGCCTGTTTATATGTACATTAAGTATCATGTTTATCTACATGTAAGTTGAAAAAAATAATGATTTGGTTACATGTATATCTGTAGGAGGATGCTAGAAGATTTTTCTCCCTGGCCGGTAATGCAGATGAAGGAGAGTTATCCCCAGAAGTGGCTGGAATTATGAAGAAATTATGGAAAGATTCGGGTGTACAGGAGTGCTTTGGCCGATCTCGCGAATACCAGCTCAACGATTCAGCTGAATAGTAAGTTAATTTCTGTTTTTATGAAATTGTTTTCTATTTAATGATATTATGATGCAACATGTATTTAGATCTTTTCTTTGGAATTAATTATAGTTGTGCTAATATTCAATGGATATTTATTAATATCTTTTAGCTATATTAAATGGATATTTTTGATTTCCTTTAGCTATTTGATTGAATGGATATTTTTGATTTCCTATATCTATCTTTGAAAGGCATTTAGTGAACGGGATATATAATAAACTGACAACTTTATGGATAACATTCATTAGGTTTATTAACTGCAACGTTTCAATGAGAATACTCTCACCGTTATCAAGCAATGATACATCTACATGTACATGTATCTGAATGCTATAGATAGAATATTTCATGCTATTATTAAATGGATATTTATGATTTCTTTTAGCTATCTGAATGCTATGGATAGAATATCACACGCTGGTTACATCCCAACAGAACAAGATGTATTGAGAACTCGAGTTAAAACTACTGGTATTGTAGAAACACATTTCACATTTAAAGATCTTCATTTTAAGTAAGTAAACAGAAATTCTGCAGATATTAAGGTGTGTTACCTGTGCCATTAATTGAACTGTAACACCTGAATCTCGATCCATTCGAGTTTTGTGTCACGCTCATTTCAGCTGAAAATCATCATTTATATTGACAAATGGTCAAAGGTACTTGAGTATGCTACTTAGAATAAATCTTGCCATCTTAAATCTCTCTTGTATAAATGAAAGGAATCACTTTCTGTATAATACATGTAATATAACTCCCCTGGATGAGGGTTTTGAGAGAACTAGGTTTAACTTGAAATTACAAATGTTGAAGAACTTTTTTCAATTAAGAAAACTGTGACTGTTGATCCTTTAGTCGATTCCACACTTTGAAGGAGTATGCATATGGTCACCATCTTAACATTCAGCATATTACCTAGATCTTAAGGTTTTTTAGAAATCATCAGCCGTGTATGTGCAGGAAAACAGGACGTTAATCCCCATTTCACCTCTCACAAATTGTAAGAGCCTCGTGTATAAGTGAATGATTGAAATAAAAATTGCACTGAGCCTTGTTTCTCTTTCTGTTGATTTGTAACAAGCCATGTCTGATAAATGAACTGATCATTCTATTAAGAAATTACTGCCTGTTCTTGTCTGCGGTATAACAATGATGTTATTAATGGTAAACATATTTCAGCTATGGTGATAGTAATAGATACATGTAATTTCTTACTCATGTGGTGCATGCATGGATGATTGATGTTTTCATCTTAGCAACTTCAACTATGGAATTTAAAATTTAATTTGATAATGCCAAATCAAAGACCTCGTAAGAACAATGACTACATGTAGTTTGTTGAGTGATTACTTTAAGTTTTATAGACCATTAGTCATCAACATCATCGTGTACAGTAATGTCCTGTTGTAGTCTAATGTCCTTTGTTAACACAAACCTTTAACTTCCTACAGATATAACACTACACAATCTGTCACTTAATATAAGCCGGAAGTTGCCATGAATGAAACTGAAGATAGACCTAAAAATAACTAATGTTTTTTTTTATTAATTAATATTTAATGCTATTAACACAGAAATATTTTTCTTATGTAATTATTATTATGAAGCTTTTACAATAATTAATTGGTTTATTAGAGGAAATTAAAGTTTGCCAAGACCAACACAATAGAATCCGCTATAATGTTTTTAATAATCTTCATTCAATTTCTTTACTGGGTTTTCTATAAACAGAATTTAGTTTACTTTAGTGACAAATATCCAGGACAAATGACAAATAATTTCCTTATCTCTTATTAATGATATTATGGCTGAGTAAACAAGTTATGACAGATGACGATGATCAAAAATAATAGTTTGTGTCAAGATTTGTCAAAAGAATCATGACCCGTCAAATCAGTGATGGCAATGAATTATTTATAAATGACATCTTATAACTTAAAGGCACAAAAAAATCCATTTCGTTTAGAAGTATCTCAGAAGTAAAAAAATGTGTACTATTTGAATGTAAAGATTGTTGTTATTTAACTAAGCACATCCAAGCATAATAATAATATACAAAAAAACTTCAAAAAAGAATGGGCTGGATTGAACAAAACAATAGCAAAATTATTTGTTTAAAAGAAATAGAAAGATGGTAGTGTAAAATCACTGTAAACTTTAATTTACCATTATTTTGAGAGTTGATATTTGAATAATTTTTTACCAAACTAATTTGAAAATGCTTCCATATACGTAAACTACAGGGGTACATGTTAGTTGAATATCGGAAGAAAACAGACGATTAAAAAAATCTGTACCTTGTTTACCAAACCACGGTACCATGAACTGAACCATGGCATGTACAGTATGTCACAGTATATCGTTGCAGCCCTAATTCACAGATAAGATTGTCGGTTCACCCCTGCGAGAAATAATGTTTCTGGTAGTCGGAAAATGACCTAATCAAAGTGTTGATCATAACAACATTGGGTGTTGTGGGTGAAGTAATGTATGCTGACACCCCCAGAAAACTTGTTAGTTTGGTACTACTAATTTGGAATTCTTTGTTCAATAACGTTTAATAAATTGTATTTTACATTACAGAATGTTTGATGTAGGAGGACAGAGATCAGAAAGAAAGAAGTGGATTCATTGTTTTGAAGGAGTAACAGCTATCATCTTTATTGTTGCTATGAGTGAATATGATCTTACTCTTGCTGAAGATCAAGAAATGGTAAGTAATTTTACAAATCTTGAATTAGATAAATTTTAAGAAGGATTGCAAGCAGTTACAGTATGTGTTAGATTTTTCTGAGTAATGTAAGCCTTAATTTGAAAAATTATAATAAGGAAGTAACTTAAAGCCGCAGGACTTAGTTTTTTTGATATAAACACAAGGAAAAGGGGTAGAGAAATTTCAAATTGAGTATAAAGTAATAATTAATAAGAAACTATACAATATAACTTTATTTGTTGAATGTTTTTCACCTTTTTAGTTTATAATATTAAAGATACATTATGGGAGATAAGATAACGAGATGTTAGTTCTCGCTATAATAGTTAAAAACTAGATAGTGTAAAGGTAATTTGCTGAAAATTTCAGTCAAATTGATCCGCTATGAGCCGAGAAAGAAGCGGGTGAAATTTTGGCATAGTCTCGGTCATCATTACTAAAATCATTAATATAAACAGCTTAGTCTCGATTATCCACTTTTTTTTATTTTATTATCAACGGCCCTTGGTGGCATATAGGAATCTAATCCAGCCAACATCGAAGGCTAGCCTTGACATCGAGAGTTTATTATGGTCTGGATAAGTTAATTAATGTCTAATTGATAATTTAGATAACATTTCAGGCCTAAAGAAAGACTTGTAATAAGCAGATTTTGCTCTTGCATAATGCATGGTTAATTTATTATTTTTATATCTTTTTAATCATTAATGTCATTTTTATCTTGTGTTTTGTTTCCTATTATGGCTAATTATATTTTTATGCCCAGAAGTTGATTTTATGTGAAAATTTGTCATTTAAAGGTGCTAAATCTCTTTGACATAGCTTAACCCGTTAAGTGCGTAGGGCGTTATATAAAGTCCTGGACAACTGCCACTCACTGTGTGTAGGGCCTAATATAACGCCTTGGAGGTATTTTCCCCAACCTACTCTAGAACATAGTACATAGTTCTTCGTCAAATTAATTACACAAGGGACTAAAATCCCTTCAATGACGATTAGAGACCTCAAAACTAAAACTTTAAATTGGAGGGATGACTTCGACTTTTATCAGTTCTCTATATTTATATCCAATCCCTCAGTTTTTATCTATACTTTATATTTTTAGAATCGTATGATGGAGAGTATGAAATTATTTGATTCAATCTGCAACAACAAATGGTTCACTGACACATCTATCATTCTCTTCCTCAACAAAAAAGATTTATTCGAAGAAAAAATCAAAAAGTCCCCACTTACTGTCTGCTTCCCAGAATTTTCAGGTAAATTGGCATATTTAAAGTAAAGAAACATTGGTGCTATTAAGATCTTGGCCAGTCAATAAAAAGAATAATTTTTGATACATTTTATTGTTTACTATACTTTAATTAGATTGTACATGTATGCAGAATTTGAGACAAATTTATCAATCCACTGATAGATAAGTTTTAAAGGAGCTAAATCGCTATTCTTTGGCACTTAGAAATGGACACAGATGGATCGCAACTCATATAATAATGTAATATGAATGTATATAAACTGGGTTACATTCAGTCGTTTCTGTTTAAACTGTAATTTCTAATCAGTTATGTTCGACGAAATACGCGAAGAGTCCGAATTGAATGGCAGTCTTTGACTAGCCTCGTTGATCGAGTCCCTTCATACAAATGGCAAATAGATTGACTTTGGTGCCTCTTTAAGAATATAGCAATGTCTCACATTTAGAATCTGTGATAAACGTGAATAACTAGTTATATTTTATGTTAATAGGAGCCAACACATATGAAGAAGCTGCTGCCTACATTCAAATGCAGTTTGAGAATCTCAACAAACGAAAAGACACAAAGGAAATCTACACACATTTTACCTGTGCAACTGACACAAACAATGTACAGTTTGTCTTTGATGCTGTCACTGACGTCATTATTAAAAACAATCTCAAAGATTGTGGTCTTTTCTAAATGTAAGTTTTAAGTTAGCATGATTTTGTTGTGACTCAATACTGCAAGCTATAAAGTATTCTGCTATACTTCAGTTACATTTTGTCAATTTCGATCTTTCAAACCATGCAGGGGAGTCACAGTGACTAAGTGGGTAAGACGCTGGCTCGCTAGTCTGGAGGTCGGGTGTTCAATCCCAGCATTGGACAAGAAATTTCATCCAGATTTTCCGGCGTGGTTTCCCCTTGCCAGTGATGCAGGTCGGAGAGCATGACAAGGACAGCTGTCTAGTCGTTCAGATTGTATGAAAAACCAAGGCCCTTTGTACACATTGGCATGCATGCAAAAGATCCCTTGACATTTGGATTTTGATAAAAGAGTAGGACGTAAAGTGCTGCTGCCAGGGCAAAATTTCACTCATAGCACACTTTATGGTGTATGCCCGTCTCCATTAGCCCAGTTCGGACCAGAACAGTAGGACGTTAAACCCCATTTCATTCATTCAAACCATGCAGCTAGAGAGTGACAAACAACTGTTCATGATTTTGGAATTTAGACCCATCAAATGTCAATTCATGTTGGTATTCACATTTTAAAAAATTGTAGACGTAATCAATAGGAGACGAATCCAGTGCCAATATTCATTGGGCACTAGTTTGTACTGGATGATCAAGTATGTGTCTAGTCCAAAGGGAGTTAACTACAATGACTTATTGGCTTGTCTTTTGATCTAACATTGGCTAAATTAATTCAGTGTCAAGAAGCATTTGGGTAGTTAAATTGATCACTTACGCACTATGTTTTTCTTTTATTGCAGTTCTTGAAGTTTTTATGGTTGAAGTTTGGTAAAAGAAAATATGGAATTATCTCCCTTATGTTTTTAAATGTTTTTCTGGAGCAAAATTACCATCGCTTATCTTGACACAATTAGCTGGCGTTGGCACACAATTTGAAGCTAATTGAATTGTATTGTTTTCTCGACATAACAATGGGTTATTTGAACCTGGATAATTGTGCTGCGTTCAACACCGCTATCAATTGGTGATAGGGCAAAGCGTGACTCAACAGATCTTAATTATTATTATAACATGGACTGTTGAGGATTGATCCTGTGCTGCCTTGGCGAGTAGTTTTTATGAAAGCAAGTTGGTGAAGGCCTGTTTGAACGCGGTATTTATTATAAATTTTTTTTTTTTTTTATATATAGCAGGTCTTGTAATGACTTTGATTTGTTAAACTTTGAAAATTATTGTTTGCATTAAAAAAATCAAAACCACTTTGTCATTGTTACGAGAGCTTACGATCATGCAGTATTGTTACGTATTGGGGTAAAGGCTTCAAATAAAATGAGACTTGGGGGTTCATTTTACGGGAAATTAGGTCATATGAGTTTTAGGTTAATTATTGCAACATTAAATGCATGATTATTTTGATGGAATAACAATTTGTAATGGAGAATTATTTTGTCAATATTTTCTTGAAGTATATATTTGATTGGTGATATAATCCTTTCAAACCATAAATTAAATGTAATGAAGTATATTTTAGCGAGAATTTACATATGTTGATTTTAATTGTGAATATTATTTTGTGACCAGAGGCATTTTAAAAATTAGTTACGTAATGTATCATTTGTCATATATGCTGCATTTAAATCATGTCTAATAAGTATGAAAATAACCAAAGAATTAGTTTATTTTTTTGATTAGATGTAGTTTATAAAATTGATTTTGTGTGGACTCAATTCTATCATTAGTTAAATATGTAAAATTGAGATATGCAAAAGTGGTCACCAATAAATTTTTGGTATTTCAATTTTATATTTTTCAATCAAAATATTGTTGAATCCTACATTGAAATGAAATAAAATCAAAGGCTCACAGAGAATTTTACAACTGGTCAAGTTTGTGAATTACTTCCCTTTAAAATAGTGTAACATGAATCACAAATACTTAGCTGTTCTTTTTCTCCGTATATTTGATGCTTCACTTAGAAAGAGGAGAAAATCTACCTCTAATTTAATTTGCATGTCTGTCTCAAGCTGTTTATTTGACGTAGTTTAGAAATTATTGATGAATCTAAGTAATCTTGTTGATGACAATTTCTAGTCCTTTGTTGCTATAGAGACCACAGACCCTCGCGATTTTAAAAGCTGATGTCTTTATATTCTCATGGCTGTAAGTTCGTAAGACACCAAGATAAGACATGCGGGGAGCATCGCTGAGAGTTTGGGAGGGTCTGGGGTATGACAATTTGTATGAGATTGTATATATATATATTTCGTAGCTACATGTATGAAACAATTTCAACAGGTATGTCTAGTATGTTATAGTTCACAAGTCTATCTGATTTTATTTGATGGGGATATTTTGATTCAGTTTTTAATTTTTCTTTGATAGTATAGATCTACATTTGTACGAATTTCCTCAAAAAAAAAAAAAAAAAAAAATAGTAGGCCTACTGTTATACATTAAATTATTATCTATCTAGCATTTATAAATGATATTAATGTGACAGGTCATATTAGGATTACCATCTAATGAATCTGGATTGATAGGTTTTATTTTGAGGGATGTTAAAGTTGACTATATCACTGATTTAAGTGGTAGCTATTCAATACCATACACCTGTTAAAATCAATCTGTGATGGCAGTGTGTCCTTTTATTTTTAACAATTTCTTGTCTTGCGGTATAATCAGTAGACTTGTGAGCCATACATGTAGTTATTCCTTGATGGATGTACACATAAATGCTTATTGTTGTAAAAAAATAAAGGTCCCACAGACAATTGGTGCAAATATTCCAGCTTCTTTCAAGACCGCATTTAATTATGTTTTCTCATTTTTCTTTCTCTCCCTTCTACTCTGTTCTATTCTATGATCTATATTGTATATGCACAAAGAATAATTAAAATGTCTGGTCCTTCTAGTGCCTAATACATGATAGGCCTCGACCAGGTAGATGATTATAATCAGGGAGGTTTTTAAAATAAGCAAGTCTATTTAAATGTATTTGACCAATATTTGTAGAGGTTCCCTATTTCTTGCACAATTATGGGCGATTCCTGCATATATGAGCATATGTCTTGAATAATAGTTATGTGGCTTTGTACATGTATTAGTTTCTGCATCAATATCCAGGAAAACTTATTTTGGACCATGTCAATAATACAGATTCTATTTTAGAGATTTTGTTTTGTTTATTCAACACTGAAATAATTCTCATGATATCCCTCCATACCTGTCCTTATTTTGTATTGCTTATTGTTTGTATTTTGTTTTTTCTATTATTCTTGTGCTTTTGATTATATTTTGTGCAATCTTAATGTGGTATTTACTTGGAATATAGAAGTAAAGCTAGACCTCTATTTCGCTGAGCCTTTTAATTTTAGACTGTTCTATGGCTGATACAATTTTCCTAATTTTAGTTAACTTATTAAGATATAAAGTCAGAGATTTCGATTCAGACTTATTTGCCAATCTTGACGAGCAGTTATTTTGACTGTGGGAGATGTAGAACTTACCTGTTAGTCAATATACATGCTCTGAAATTAGAATTTAACCTTAAAGCGCCATAAACACAGGTAAATTATTAGTTTTTATGTGTAAAAACATCAAAAAAATTTAAAAAGTAATAATAATAGGATAATTCTTGCTGATCCAAGGTTGACAAATGACATGAAAAAGGTGAAAGCCCTGGTCATAGTATTCTTGAAATATTTTCAAAATTGAAAACTAATCTGAAATTTTAGTGAAATAGGGGTCAGAAGAAAAACTATTAATGAATAAAAATAATTAGACATGTAAGTTGATTATAAATATCTGAAATACTTGTCCCCAGGAATAATTATGTAGTATATCTCTGTAATCATTTATTATCTATCTATATATACACACATGTATATGATTATTGTCTGGCAGTGTATTAATATCTTTTAACTGTTAATTCCAACTTTTATTAGTAATGTCTTGTTTTTATTTGTTCTTCAATGGAAGAAATTAGTCGTTTATCTGTCTGTCAATCAAGTTCAACGAATATCTCTGAGATTAACAATTTAGTATGAATTTGTTCATTTTTGTTATCCCATGTCGAAGGAAATGGAAATAATATGTGATCGATAAAAATGCTTTCAAGGACATCAAAATCAGTAGATATTAACCATATGTCCAAAATAAGCAGGAGAGGTGGTGTGTATCCTGAAAGGGGAGATAACTCATTTGAATAGATTTGACAACCGACTGATTTCTTTCAATAATTATAATTATATACTGTACACCTTAATAATGGCAATTAATTAACCAAGACATTTTATGTAAATATAACAAAAAACCCACTGATGGCCTTGATGTTAATACCGGTTTCATAATTATTATTGTATAACATTCATGATTGTTAAAATGAATGAAAACATCTTGCCATGAAATTTGATCAAAGCAGCAGTTGTGGTTGAATCCTGGGAGAAAAAATTGGCCAAATTTGGAATATATGTGTCTTTGTGTCCGATTTTAAGCAAAATGTACCATGCACCCATTTTGGTTAAATGGTAGCAGATCTCCAAATGATATTGGGGCTTTGGTCATTCCCAAAAAATATTGACTAACATTTTTTTTTAAGGAACCACAACCATAACTTTACAGTATTTGTAATAATAAAAGGAATTGTCTCAATTATAAGAAGATATAAGTGTGGTATTATATGTTATGTACATATGAATCTGTCTTTGTTAACTATGTTTGTATTTATTCAGTCGGTCAATGATACTATCTGACCATGTGTCATCTTGTCGCGTTGTAAAGTGAAAATAAATTTTAGATATAAAGTGCAAATTCTTGCCTTTTCATTTCTTTTTTTTTTTTAGACCTTATTTTTAATGGTGGCTGGCTATTGTTCTGTCTAATCTACCCTACCCATATATTCTTCTAAAAGTGTAGGGGGGTTGGATGGCCGAATGGTTAGCATGTTAGCATGTGAGCGCTGTATCATAAGGTCTGTAATTGAGTCAACTGACGTGGTTTCGATTCACGGGTTATACACGTACAAGGAGTAGGTTTGCCTGTCCAACCTCGTGGGTTTTCTCCGGGTCCTCCGGTTTCCTCCTACTGCTAAAGACCCCTACGCGCAAGCGGATTGTTGAAATAAAATTGAACCATGTGTTAGTCTCGAAATGACCTAGTTTATGTGGAGTGGACGTTAAACCCCATTTCTCTCTCTCTATCAAAAGTGTGCCTTCTTATCAGCCCACATTTTCATGTGGACGTATATTGTCGTCGCCCCTATCCGCCCGTTCACATTTTGTTTGTGAACACTCTACAGGTCACAGATTTTATCCAATTTTGACAAGAAACTGAAAATATAGGTTTATATCCCAAAGATATTAGCATGTATCGGACTGTAACTTGATGAAATATGTCTCCTGATTGTACGAAAAATCGCAGTTTTATACAGCCACATTTTCATGGTTGAAAGATAGATTTATTTGGCACAAAAGACATACAACATAATGATTAGATCTAATCTTGAGCCCCCCTCCCCTCTCCCCGGTAGCTAATACAGTTATCAAGCGCGGGTCGTGAGAGGATTTATGTTTCATTGCCTGGTAACCTATCACATTCCCGATCGGGAAGCCCAGAATTAAAATATCTCTTTATCGGGATTATATGGAATCAACAGGCGACTGAACAACAAAATTGATTTCAGAAGTAAATAACCTTTTAAAAAGAACAGTTTTGTTTTATAGTCCAAGTACATCCACCGAGATTAACCAAATCACATTATTAAACCACTTTATAATCTGGGACAGTATTCATTTGATCCAAGGCTATTTCTAATTTGCATTTTATATACGCCCACTTTGAAACGTTGTTGTGTATTGTCATCCTCGTCCGTTCTAATGGTTTAACACGTGCACGTGAAATCATTAGGTCTGTCATTGAGTCAAGTGGCGTGTCCCCTGTAGGATCGCCTGTCCATCCTCGTGGGTTTTCTCCGGGTCCTCCGGTTTCCTTACACAATTAAAGACCCCTACACGCAAATGAATTATTGAAATATAATTGAACCATATGTTAGTCCCGAAATGACCCAGTTTTACCGAGTGAACGTTACCCTCCCTCTCTCTCTCTCTCTCTCTCTCTCTCTCTCTCTTCGCGTACACCTATACATGTACCTATATTTATCAATACTTCTATTCCTCGCGCAAAAATATTATGGCCATATACTTTGATTGCTTTTATATGTAAAGGTCTATTATGTATAAATGTTATATTTACACCGGGTAATTGTAAAAGACGTGTTGAAGTAATAGATGTTTAATATACATTAGTTATGTCAAGTGGTATTCAATTCGTTGACCGGTACGCAAACGACTATCTTTAAAGGCCTGCGCACATGTAATTATAAAAATCACCAACTATTTGTCTCACGATGTCCCCATTCCTATACAATACCAGTATTAGTATGCTCACTAACCAGCAAGTTCTAGAATTGCAGGATGGGGGACCTGGCAAGAACAAAAGTCTGGTCGTTCCGACGGGAAGAAAAACGAGGTACATGCGTACCCATAAAATAACCCCAAATGTCTTTAGCGAGATGTTAATGGTCTTTATAAACCTGTAACGGTAAATCTCTTTGATCTCTGGGGTATATTCTATGCCCGGAATAACTTTCGGTCTGAAAGTCGGGGCGGCTTTGGATATATACAGGGGTTAATTTTGAAAGTTTTACTTTAAACCTGCAATGGGTTATTCTTCTAGGGTAGTTTTTTTTCCCATAAAAAAACATGTTATAAGGTTTTTCTTGCGGGAATTCTGGGATATTCTCATCTTGGGTACATGTAAACATAGACGGTTTATAAGCAAGATAAAGTCCTCGAATTCGGTTATGCTGGGGAAGAAAGACTTCAGAAAAAAACTATCGACAGAAAAACCTCGGCCTATGGCCTGTTTTTTTTCTCGTGTTATTTTCTTCAGTCTTTCATTCCCCAGCATAACCTCACCCTCGTGCTTTATCCTACACATAAAGGACACCGCCTTTCCCTTCCGATCAACTAGACGTTTTTTTCATGCCAGGTGATCCATTCTGCAACACTGACAAGAGGAACCAGACTGAAAAATCCCGAGGAACTGTCTTGTCTAACATCGGCATCGAACCCGGGTTAGTGAGCCAACGCTATACTAATTGATCATCGTGGCTTCGTGTACAAATGTATAATTGTCTGCTTTATAAAGGGTTTATATTTATGTCAATAGTATCACACCTACCTCGACAAAAGTTGCCATTAACGATTAACTTAGGCGGAAAATTATGACATGCGACTCAGTCTGGATAGGGTATTAGGCCTACTCATTGAAATATCCGTCTGAATACAGTGACACGTTATTTGCAAGTAATATAGCCAATCAAATATACATTATTGAGACATTTCATGACTTGGAGAGGGAAAAACTGGATTTAAAGTCCACTCGACACAGACTAGGTCATTTATGGTTCAGCTGTATTTCAAGAATTCTCTTGCACGTAGGGGTCTATAGCTTTTAGCTGTGGGAGGAATAATCTGACGAGGTTGGACAGGTGACCCGGGCCCGTATCTAGCGGAGTGGGGTGGGGGCAAGGGTGGGGGGGCAGCCCAACTAATGTCACTCGACTCTATGGGGCACCCATACTGATATGGGCACGTTGGTCGTTGGCTAGCTACGCATCTTGTGACCCCACTCCTTGCCACGTACAAATCAAAACCACACCACTTGACTCAATGACAGTTTTGAAATAGAATTGAATAATAATATAGTCCCGAAATGACCTAGTTTGTGTCGATATGACGTTAAACCCGAGTTCTCTCTATCTTTTAGCCGTGACATTTTATTTTAGACGCGAATTTTAGAAGCCCCTTCGCCTTTAAACCGAAACACACATGTATATATAAACACTGACACGGGATCACTACCACTTATAGTCGTTCAGCCATAATTTGGTATTTTAGACATGAATAATTATAAAACTTTAAGCTGTGACATATCGATATCGTTATTAACAATCACACAGGATTCCGTTAAATCCTCAAAATATCGGACCACTCCCACTAGTCGTTTAGTGTTAACATGGTATTTTAGACACGAATACTTATAAAAAAACAACTCCTTTAATCTGTGACATATGCGTATTGTTGTCGTATATTACCTCCATAGAGACAAGTTTCCCAATTATTACACGCTCCATTTAAACCCTATTCGCTTTCTGTACTCGCTATTGGATTAATTGTACATGTCAGAACACTGTATTAATATAAGAATAATTCAGATGAGATATTGAATATAGTTATAATATGTATTTATAAAGGTGCATTAATTAATATACGGGTGGGCAGGTGCGTGTAGTGTGTTTACAATACCGGTTTTATTGTCTCGATGCGAATGATATTATAAATATAGGAATATTAATAGAAAAAGTCGGACAATTGTGTGACAAAGTTAGGGTAAAAGGGACGTATTTCATATCGGTGAGGAATTCATTATACATTTCGCCATCTTGAAAGTTTAATATTACAGGTAAGTTGATTTACTTTATTGTGGAAAGGTAAAGCGCCACAGCAGTCACACTGACTGAATGTTCAGCGCTATAGAAAACGATTATTATTATTATTATTAAGAGGGGAGTTGGGGGGGGGGGGGGTCGAAAGTAGGAGAGGCGGTTTCCTATGGGTTTTCAAGTTTTGCTCACCATCCCTATTTTAAGTCACCCAATTGTCGTCACATTTTGGACACTTATACTTTATTTCGGACAGACATCAAGCTTATATTCCTTGCTCGCAGGATATTAACAGGAATCTATTGAGTAATGGATGACTTTTTGTAATTCTACATTGCCGATCGACACAGTGTGATCTTACATAAGTCAACCATAAAAAAATCATCGGTGACTCATCTGGCCTTTAAGTTTCAAAGTTCTCGCCTTCTAAACTGATTACTGTTTACTTTCTGTTTATTCTGTTTCTAAGGCTTGAAAATAATGATTCGTATCAAGACATGCCTTTTATTAAACATTATACAAGCATATTTTAAATCAATGAGTTATCCCGTGGCAGAGAAGATGACAAAATATAAAGTTATGTCCCAAGTATCTTGCATATCACAAATGGTTTTAGTTTTACGTTTCCCGTCTCTAAATTACGTCTTGTAATCCTCAACCAGACATAAATTTAAGCTGATTGAAAAAATCCGAAAACCTTTGACCATAAATCGAATTCAAGATTTCGGTAACAAGGGCAGTTTGAGTTTGAAACAAAATATCTAATTTGACCTATTAGATGGACTGACAGAGTTGACGACAATGTAGTCCCACATAAAATGTCTATGAACATTGCCAATTATTGTTGAGAGATAAAATGTCTGCGTATAAGGAGTTTTAACTATGAACATTGGGGATTGTTGAGAGATATTGTTTAAGTAACTAATTTACAAGTATCCATTAGAATATAGCCTATATACACAAAATCTAAACATTTTACTGGAGCTACCCTTACTTTAATTTACTTTATAGATTTTGTAATCCGAGTATTTAAGTTGTGAAGTCAAGCAGGGGTATTATAATTATTGTTGATTTCGCCCAGATAAAATTATCGCTATTATTATCGTCAATTTTCAGACAAGACGATCCAATAAATAGCACTATCATTACATCGATCTCAACTGATTACACAATAAATATATTAAAGGGCCATCAGCAGATAAATCATTTTTTTTTTTATCTTGCTACAATCCGTCATCGCAGCCTTGATGACTCGGTGACGATGGCACCGACTCACAAATCAGAAGGTCCCGGGTTTGGTCCAGGTGTCATCAGACAAAATTCCTTGAGATTTTCCAGCGCCTACTCGTTCGGGTGAGACGGAAAACCAAGGTCCCGTGTAAGCAAGGAATTCAATGAAAAAGGGCAAGCGCCGCTGTCCGGGCAAAATTTCCATCACAGAACAATGAAATTCTAAACCCCATTTCATTTGCTTTGTGTCCAGTCTAAGCCACCGTGGCTTAGTGATTATGACGATGGCTCTAAAGATACCATGGGAAATCAAAATGGAAGTATGTACGTATAGAAACGCCGCTGCCACGACAACATTCTCCTACCTTATATCGCACACATCGCATTGTAGTTGCACACATAAGAATAAAAGATACCACATGTTTGGCTCATTCCTTTAATATGGGTTTTGGATCTAGTGGTCCTTTAATATAAAATTTATCCTTTCAGACAGACGAAAAAAAAAGTAACAACACTTTCATGTCTTCTGTGATTGATTGAAATAAACCACATGACTGGAAATAGCTAGAAGCGTTTGCGGTGATCTACCATAGAAGTGTTTAAATTTTGGTATTAATATTGTTAGAGAGGGGAGTTTTTATTAAAAAGATATTGTAACACGGGGATCAGATTAATTAATAGTCATGGTGGACACCTTTGGTGTAATCATGTACAGTGAAACCCCGCTATCTCGAGCATGAATAAATGGGAACTATAAGCAATGTGTGTGATCTAGTTAGATTCTGTCATCTAGAGGGGAAATATGTTCTACAGTCGGATCTCACTATCTATAACATGGTTACAACAAGAACTGAACTAAATCTGAAGTAGAAGAAGATAGTGTGTTTAAGATAATTTCTCTCAACCAGTCGTGGACGGCTAGTAGGCAGGAAAACTAAACAACAAAGAAATAGACAGGGCATATGACATAGGAAAACTGAGTGACGATACTATAGTAAAACCCCGTCTTCGAAATATAATTTGTCAAGGTGTAAGTTTTACGGTAAAAAATGTTTTTTTAAAAATGGATAAAAAATAAAATTCGATAACGACGGATTTATTTCCTTCTGTTCTTTATATAACACAGAATTGCAATTTAATTATCCCGTTATAATTACAGCTTTCATATGAATCGATGATCAGGAAGTCTAGAGCTAATACACAAAGTGTTGTAATAGGGGACTTTTGCTATATTTGAATGACGACATGGAAGCGCAATGAATATTTAAATCTATTTAAGCTTGTGGAAAACACGTTGTTCATTAGCGTTCAAGCGTATTAAACCTACGATCGGATTATGATATATGTAATATTATTAGATGTTGAATACCATAATTACAATTAATGATATCCATCAACGTGAATATCTAGATCGTGCAAGGTACCATCTGGATTTGTGTTGGTCGTTAGTTCGTTAGCTAGTATAATATATTATATTAGTTGTCTATGTTGTCTATTTTAAGTCCGATTGTAGACTGGGGCCACCAGCCCGGTTGAAGGAAGGGGAGGGCGGGGTGAATCTGGTTTGGGAGGTCATTCCCACGAGGAAAATTCATCTGTCGGAAATTCTGTGTTAGGGTCAGGGCCTCAGGGGAAGGTTATGGTAACCTTCTCATAATCCATGTGGTGTCTATATATCTCGGCGTGTATATAGGGAGTTTCATATCTCCTCAGCCAGACTGGTTATAAACTTACTCGGATTAGTTACACAACTTCATCAATCCTGTAGTTTGCTATAAAGGCTTATTAACGCTCTCAACATGTAGTTGTTCGTGTACAGTATTATGATAATTATTAGTTAATTCCATGTCATTAAGTCAATTTTATCGGGTGTGACGGTAATTAATGACGATTTGTTACATGCCAGGAACCGTTCATGACACATGAGATTCTGATTTTATGATTAGCATATTATATACTACACTATACTCTTGCTTGATAAAGACTAGAGAAGCCTAGTCGAAACGTCGCTCAGTATAAGTAATTGTATTCCATAGAATTTTGACCTGCATACACTATACTCAAGCAGGGCATAGACGACTTTCAATTTGCAGTAAGTTTCCTCTTAACTTGTGACATTGAGGTGTGGTTTTGTGAATTATATTTCCCTTATTAAAACAGTGATATCCTGTCTACAAATTAATTTCCAGATCTTAAAATTATACAGTAAGGGATCAAATTTAATACTGCTTGGAATGATGGGTTACAGAAAAGTTTTAACGATTCATATCTGCACAGTGTCGTGAGGGTCTGTATAAGTTATAGAGAAGATGTGAAAATATGGAGAAATGAAATAGGCTTAATGTTTTACTGCGTTACGACCTACTCTTGTTGCGATTTCCAATTGTTAGAGAATCTCTATCGTGTTGCCAATGATGTTCAAGAGACTTCGGTTTGTCGTCCCATCCGAAAGCTATGTTATGCTCCACCGACTTTCCGGGTTCGTACCCGGGACCAACATACTAACCGAAACGCATTTGGGGAATCTATTGATAGTCTTATCATTTTATTTGTTATCAATACTAGGATACCCATTAATCTATGCCTTTCTTTTTATTCAGATAGCCTGAGATTGTCCATAAATTCAAAATGAATACAGATGTTAGTACGACAATGCGTGCTCGTCGCGTAGTATATGATGATTACACCAAAGGATTTTATGTAGAAAGTCGCGTGGAAGCTCTGCACAGACAGGTTGACACTAGAGCTAAATTAACCAGTGTTTTAAATCGTTCCCAGGACTGTAAGTTGGAATATTCTAAAGGGAAGGTCGAAGCCGCTCGAGGGATTTTCACCAGGAAAACGGAAAGTGAGATTGATCATCATAAAGGTAATCTGAAGGACTACGTTGCACATAGACACATTTTGGATAGAATGGCGGCCATCAATAAACGCAAGGGTGTGAGCAGTGCTTTAGGGAAGTATGGTATCGGATGCGCCAAGGTTGACATTCAACCTTTGATAGATAGACAGGTTAAAGAGACAACCCCGTCAGCCACAAGGAGGCGAGAAGCTAAAAAACTAGTAAAAAAACGCAAAATGGTTGAAGTGTGGGATCGAAACCTGAGTACACCAGAATTAATTAATGCCGGAAAAAATAACGTCCAAAACTCCCGCCAAAATACGAAAGATTGTATTCGCACGCGTAAATCACCGCATATAGTTCTCCCTTCGTTGATGCCACGATCATTATCGACAGACCTGGTTTTCCATTCATCATCTTCGCCAGGACAATCACACAAAAGCCCAGAACTAATATTACCGTCAGTTTTCGTTACTCTAAAACCTGAACGAGAGATCTGATAACCACCATTTTAGAAATAACCCCATTGTGTGTTATAAATTTTCGCATTCTCAATTCGAACCTAGTTAGGCTTGTGCAGGGCCGGATAAAGACCCATAGAGTCCCTAAGCACTTACAAAATTTCGGTGGCCCCATGTATAAGTAATTCAAATCATAAACAATAATAAACCATAAACAAACCGTCATGCACGTGATTGGATTTTTTAAAGAGGTTTTATACACGCCATTATTAACTGAGATAAAGCAGGTAACAAAAACAAAAAAAAAAACATTTAAAATATATATTTTACATGTGACATCTAACAAAATCGAAATTCTGTGGTGCTGATTTTGCTTTATTGTTATTCTAGCCCCGAGCCTTATTAACTAGACGACGTCCATGAATGAGAAGTGTTATCAGATGTTCTAGAAACGGTTGTTATTTTATATAGATTTTGAAAACTATTTACACAGGCGCGGAAGATTATTTTTAATATTTTTGTGTTTGCTTTTATATTTGTATTAAATTATAGTTATTTATATTTGCTCGTTGATAAATTGTATACATATACATGCTTGTTTTTTTGTTGTGTGTTTTTTTTCTTACCGTTTTAGTTTTTTGAATTATCTTTGACAGTAAATCATACATTTATAATCGTATAGCGATTTGTTGTGCTGGATGTGTCATTAGACGGGATATTGTGTATAAAATTTGACATTATATTATTACGAATTTTTCATTTCTTGGTAATAGTTACAATTTTATAAATTCCGGCCATAAACAGTTGTTTCCCCTTAGATATAGTCGAATGATCTTGTTCATATCAGTTCATACGGATGATGTGGTCTGAATTATCGGTACATCTTTAACAGTACCATGTTACTAAAAAATTCCTGAGACATTAATTAACCCAAAACGGCCCATTTATATGCGATGCTGCTAAACCATCCATGCACATTAGCTACAGCTAAAAATTTAAAAAAATTATTTAATAAATTACAAACGTTTATATTTCTTTAAATGCAATATTATTGATATAAACAATGTCCTGGTTTCAGTTTTATGTTTGGAATAATAAAACGGCTCTTTCTCCATAATTAGCATGGAAAAAAGTAAATCTGCAGAACGTCACTTGACTGCCAAAATCAGTTCCGACCACACAATGCCAGTTCGGTTTGTAAACTTTGTCAAATTCTTTTTTAATATAGGTGGCTATTCCTTTATTGGTTTTAAACTTTCGGAAAGCGTAACGAACACTTCCTAAAGCTTTCTGTTTCATGGTCATCTTCATATCAGATCTGATGATATGTGGTCCATCAATCGTTGACATTGTATTCTGAAAACTACAAATAAAAAGCAAACAATTAAACCATTGAAGTGAAATGAAATGGGGTTTAACTTTCTACTCCTCTGCACATATACAGGCTTATAAGGAAGACATGCGCCATAATGTGTTATAAAAGACATAACTCTGCATAATATTCCTTGAAAGGCTTAAAATTTCTAAATCTGAAAGTAAATCCACACACCCATATCACATCCAAACATACAGTATGATAGCAATGGAATTCGATATAAGAGTAGAACCGCTGTCCGGTCATAATTTCCCTCATAGCACACAGTATGGCGTATTAGCCCAGTCGGAGCAGTATGACGTTTCATTTATATCCTTGATGCGTAATGCGTTATGTATCCATGATGCGCAATGTGTTATATATGTTCAAGATGGGGATTGATACCCATAAAGGGGGGGTTGGATGGCTGAATGGTTAGCACGTGCGCGCTGTATCATAAAGCCTGTCATTGAGGCAATTGGTGTGGTTTCGAATCCCCGGTTGTACGTGACAAGGAGTAGGATCGCCTGTCCAACCTCGTGGGTTTTCTCCGGGTCCTCCGCTTTCCTCCCACTGCTAAAGACCCCTACGCGCAAGCGAATTATTGAAATAAAATTAAACCATATGTTAGTCCCGAAATGACCTAGTTTGTGTCGAGTGGACGTTAAACCCCATCTCTCTCTCTCTCTCTCTCTGATACCCATAAATTGCTCCTATTATCCACCCCATTCTTTAGTGTGCAAGCGTGCAGCATGCAAATTTGTTCGGAGCAACAATTCGTTTCATCTACGTGAATGCAACCTGTAAAAACGTCCTGGTGCTATGATCGCACTGCAGTCAAAAGCGCGACTAGCAAACGTGACAGTGTGGCTTTCTTTCTTATTCGTCAGTGTCAGTGAAGAAAGTGGCACCACTACGGTTAAAGCCACGGACTTTAAAACTTAAAGATATATTATGGGAGATTAGATAAAGAGTTGGCAGTTCTCACTATAATAGTTAAAAACTAGATACTGTAAAGGGAATTTGCTGAAAATTTCAGTCAAATTGATCCACTCTGAACCGAGATTTTAGCGATTGAATTTTCGGCCTATTCTCGATCATCATTACTAAAGTCAGTACGATAAAAAAAACATAGTCTCGATTATCCATTTCATGATTAAATTATGAATGGAAGTCGAACAGGGGATCGGAACCTAATCCAATAAACATCGCAGGCTAGCGATGCCATCGAGAGTTGATTATGGTCAGGATAAGTTAATTAATGTCTAATTATTTAGATAACATTTTAGGCCTAAAGAATGACCTGCAATAGGCAGATTTAGCTCTTACATGATGTATGTTTAAATAATATATCTATATCTCTAGCAATATTTGATCTTAATTCAATCTTTTGAAGTAAAAATGGCACATTTTGAAGTCATGCGGATAGTATTTGGCACATAACACGTTTTAAGGCTGGTCACACTTGATATATTCGATGCTTCCCAAATCATTTGATCCAACGTATAATACTAGTATAGTGATTGTTATTCCTTCGCTGAAAATATATAATTCAGTCTGCGCATGCAAATTTACCAAGATAACATTTCAGCGGATTCCTCTGGACACTTTTGAGAAATTCGGGTTGACAAGTTTATTAAATATTATCGAAAGCTTCCAACCTAAAGTAAAGTTACTATAAATAAAAAGAACTTACCGGGGTGTTTGTTCTAGCACTGGTCCTTTCGTTCTACTCATGTCGAAATATATCGGCGCTATATCTATAGTATCTCTAGACATCTAGAAGAATCACTACTTCAGATTTAATTGGGTGTCCCACTTAAACCACTGCCGTATATAATACCAGTGGCGTAGTTAGAATTTCCCAGAGAGGGGGAACGGTGGGTGACGAAAGTCCGGTGGATCAATCCAATAAAAGCGAGAAATATGTATGCTGACTATTGGATTTGTTATGGATGGATATATTGCTATTTACGATTCGAAAGAAATTATTGTTGAAAATCTCAATGGTTTGGAGGCTCCCAAGGTAACAAAAATTCCCACATACGGACAAATTGTCACACAAGAGTACTATTCTGAGTGGGACTGGGAGTGGAAGTTCTATAGCCCTCGGACTACCCGTGATGCTATTTAATATGGGCCAGACCAACACGATTTGAATTTGAATCGGTGACCATGTCGGCAACATTGTTCAATTAGCACATGGACGTTCATCGCCAATGTAATCTACGTCAACTAAAACAGGTTGTACAGAATTTACTGAATAGCAGTAAGAATAAGATACCAACTTTAAACATGGGTGTATATGTGTTGCGTGACGTAGCGATGGTGAATTCAATAATAAACTACCGTAGGCTACTTTAAAAATCAAATATTTATCTATATTGATGACAGACTACATTGGTTATAAATGTAGCCTACATTTATTATTTACTAAACAGGTTACGGACACCACAACACTATGGCCTATAGTTCTGCTGTAAATGACCCCACTCCCACCCCACTCCACCACATTTAGTATCTAGTTTTTTCGGGAGCAACTGACTCGCCAAACAGGAGGTCTCGGATTCGCAATGGTACACGGCGGATGAAGGGTCTCCGGGATTCTAGTCCTTCAGGTGGTACGAAAAAACGAAACCCTGCGTGTACTGGCGTGCATGTAAATGAACCATTGACTTCGAAATTAGAGTTGAGCGCAGCTACCCGAACAAAATTTCACTCATAACACACGGGGGCCTACTGAATGGCATATGGCCAATATTGAATTCTAATTCGTATGACCCCATCAATGTTTTAGGCCTTTGAATTTGGGCCCTGGGCGAATTTGGGCGCAGGGCGAATTTGGGCCCTGGGTGATTTTGGTCCCCGGACGAATTAGGCCCTTGGCGAATTTGGGCCTTACTAGGGTGATTTTGGTCCCCGGGTGAATTTGGTCCCCCGGTGAATTTGGACCTTGGGCGAATTTAAGCCCTGTGCGAACTTATCCCCGGGGGAATTAGGGTCCATGCGAATTTGGGCCCCGGGCGAAGCCGGGTATCCTCTAGTAATAAATATTAAATCAATTAAGGATATGCTGAAAATTAATTAGCTCGAATTATAGACACACACAGTGACACACAAACAAACAAAACAAAAAGACAACTCATTAGCACTACATACTTCTAGCCTCTGAGTTTGACAATTAGTAAATAAGACTTGAATTTAACATTCAAACATATCTTTTCATAAGATGAGGTACAATAATAATGCCATCGAAAATGACACAATGACTTCTCCATAATTGCGTTTTTTGGATTCTCCCTGTTAAAGCGCCACCTATGTTCAGGTTAAGACGCGGTTTGGGAAATGAATGAAATGAGCATATAAAAGAGGTCTTTGTTAGACCGAAATAGGTTTGTTTACAAACATTTAATTCGTGACAATATGTTCTTCACGTAAAAGCAAAGAAAACCATTCATACTGAATCTAACTTGATGCAATATGACTTGTAATGGCATGTTATTATTATATTGCCAAACAATAACAAGCATGTGCGGTTTATTTATTCACTCTTTCTTATTAAATTTAATGTGTATCATCTGTCCACAATAACGCATCATTGAGATCTCAAAACATGTAAGATTCAATACAGAATCCAGTGATTTGCTGTTTGGAAACTTGTTGTTTCCTATCACCAAGCTTTGCATCAAATAAGGTTATTGAATCCCCTATAATTTTTACTTTTAGGTCTGTTTCTTGCAGCATATTTTCCAGAGACACTAAATATTACTGTATTTAATAGAAAGCTCCAAACAACAATAAACAGGTGTTTCTGCAATTATGTAATTATAAATTTGTTTTTGTTTACATGTGTTTTTTTTTTCCAGATCATTTTCACAGATTTGTGAAACTGGTAACAAATGATAGACATCATTACTATTATTTAACAATTATAAGAAGAAGAACACCGACATTTTTTTAGCTAGTAAATATGAAAAGAGGTTTTGATGAAGTTTCAGTATGTAAAATTGAATATTTTAATTATTTTCTATCGATCATTTAAACTGCTAATATGAAACTTAAATACACTATTTTCATTCAGATTCTTAGTAATAAAATAATTGATATTATTCATTGTGAAATTGAGATTTCAAACTTGAGTTTATGTAGACCCTACGGTAGTAACATAAGTAAATAAAGATTTCACGTACTGTATGGATCGTGTAGGGCGTAGGCCACATGAAAAAGCATTTTCTACAGTGAGTGTATTGACTGTTAATGGGCTTATGATACATTGACCGTGTTACTTACAGGACCCAGAAGAAGAGGTTGAAGAAGAAGATTTAGATGTATCAACATCAAAACGAGGCAGAGGGAGACCAAAGATTCCAGATGAACTGAAAAAAACGGTGAATATTGTTTTCATGTTAAAATGTAAAAATTTATACCATAGTGTTTACATTAACAGAACCTTGTATTATGTTGTTTTTTTGTCAAGCCCTTCTTCTGGAAGTACATGTACCAGATTTGAAAGACTAATTTACTAAATTAAAATTGACAATGTATTATGCCGAGTCAAGGGAAATAACTCCAAATTGCAATACGGTCTCAGTCTAGCAATTATTTGCCCATTGACTTCAATGTTAAATGGCTGTAACATCACAGGCTGTAGCTTTTTTTCTCAACATTCCGTTGGTTCCAATCTTTATAGGCACAATGGGGACAACATTTGGCAATCTCCTCATCATAATTTTGTAGGGGGTTGACCATTTAGATTTTTTACTACGCGGATTTGAAGTTGACTGGGGTGAAAATCTCACTTCCGACACAATGATTGCTCTGCAGAAAGACAGTTTACACCCCCTATCCCTCCGCAGTAATATCATCAGTATTAGTACTATTACCCAAAACTGCTATGAAATTGCAAATTTGATCCCTTTTCTCGAATTCTAGACCAAAAAGTCAACCAAAAAATGCAGGAAGAGGGGAGAACAAAATTAAGGGAAAAATTGTCTATTTATAACTCGCACTACATTCGTCCATCATGAAATAAGGGGAAATAATTACTAGTCTTAGTCCATACTAGTTATTTATTTAATAATACTGTGTAATTGTTTGTGTGTGGTGCAGTCCCCCTGCAATTACTAATAACATTTGACAAAAAATGCAGACAGAGTTGGGACCTTGCCAGCACGGAGTACAAAACTAAACATTTATTTTGATTCCTATTCCTAATATACATAGTGGTGATTTTTTTTTATCGAAACATAGTGCTCACTCATTTGATAATAATTGTAGGAATGCGAGCCGTTTCGGAACCAGGCTGTTTCATACTTAGTTCATTAATAGCTGTTTATTACCTTGGTTAATTTCAAGAGAACTTTAGCATGGACTTAAGCTTAACCCTCCTCTTTTTGCACCAGATTAAATAATTTTCAATCGTTTTTTAATCGTTTTAACAATCGATTATCAGAACTCACAAAAAAGAATGGGTTCAATAATCATTACCAGATTAAATATTTTTCAATCGTTTTTTTTTAACTGCTTTAACAATCGCCGATCAATTATCGTCAATAATCACAACTCACTCAGCAGAATGGGTTTGATAATCAACACAAGATTAAAAGCAACAAAAGGCAGGTAGCAGTGTTTGTATTTTTCTTTTTCAATCGTTTATTATTTCAATTTATTTCAACAACATACAGGTTTATTTCAATTTATTTCAACTTATTTCAACAATTAGAGATACATGTACAAATCACGTGTGTGTTCTAATTCTGGTTTGGCAGCCATTTTTATAAATTTGGTGTAGCAATTGGATTTTATCCAATCGTTTAATTATGTTTCTGCTTTATTTAAATTTATTTCAACAATATATAGGAAAAGGTACGAATCAATTTGAGATACAAAACATGCATGTTCTAATACTGGTTCCCCTTTATTTCAATTTCTTTCAACTTATTTCAATTTATTTCAACAACTTATAGGAAAAGGTACAGATGAACTAAGTACAAAACAGCCAGGTTACGAAACAGCCTGCACCCAGTTGTAGTAGAGCATTTGTGAGACAAAATTTGATTAATATCATAATATAACATTTTTATTGTAGAAGCCCAAAATACCTTCTGGTAAATCCCGAGGACGTCCTAGAAAATATCCTGCTGGACCACCAGTACATGTAAGTTCATGTTTCAAAGATACTAATAAGATAATAACATTTATTACTCTCTTGGGGAAAAAACCATTATGGTAAAGAGAAAAACTCTGTCTAACAACTTCCCAAGGTGCATTCTTGGCACACACCAGGATTGAACCCAGGATCTGATTAAAATACAAATCTATATTTCGTTTCGTTTTTTTATACTTTCGATGGCCTACACTACATGAAGGTTTGACGAGTTGTATTGGGAGGTCGCGTCAGAGGTCATAGGAGCGGCTTTTGACCCTATCACGTCGAACATTGATTAATCAATCAGCGTTGACGTTTCTAGGAGTTTACCCACATTTCTGTGCAAAGCACACCAAGCACTCATAGTAACAGACCGTTTTATTGGCTAATTCCTCACATCAACTAGAACGCCTGTTATATAACAACTCTTCCAGATCCTAGTGTTGTGAAGACAAGTAAAACGAAATTTTGAACTATAAAAAACAAAACGAAATAGGATCTGTGTTTTAATCAGATTGATTGTATTGTTGACCCTGTGACTTTCAGAACCCAGAAGAAGAGATAGAAGAAGAAGAGGTTGAAGAAGATTTAGATGTATCAATATCAAAACGAGGCAGAGGGAGACCAAAGATACCAGATGAACTGAAAAAAACGGTGAATATTGTTTTCAAGTTTTAATGTAAAATATTGTTTACTTTCAATGAACAGTGTGGAATGTAATTTAATTATTTGACAATGCAGTATAGGCAGTCAAGGGAAAAAACACCAGATAGTTGAATAATACCTATGTTCCTAAATTGTTAGTATTAACCCGTTTAGCGTTGTCTTATAGATCTAGAATTTTAAGTTATAACCTGTAGTGGCAAACTACTGCCTTTACATAGCGTCATTCGCATGCTTTCTGATTGCTTCCTTGTATTTGGCATTAGTTTTTCTGTGCATTTAATATAGAAATAAGGACTATGTCCTAACTTTGTTATTATTAATACACATGAATTCTTTCACATGCTTATGATGTTTTGATCCCCATGTTTAGACTACTACAAAGGTTATTTAGTTTTACTTGGCTTTTTACTATATATCACGAAAATTGTTACTTGTAAAGGTTTTTTCCTTCAGTGTGCCTACATTTATATTTCACGACTCACTTTAGTATGATACAAGGTTTGGGAAATATTCCCCTTTTCTTGAGCTACTACCCTTGTCATTTGTTTTTCATTTTTAGTGAAGCGTGTATGACTACAGGCCCAGGACTGTACAGCGCAATGGACGCTTACTGCTAGCCCCCAGATCCATTTACTAGATTTGATTTGTGCATTTGTTGTTTGTAATAACTGTATATTGTGTCCTGTCCATAGGTTTGTCTTGTGTAATTGTATGTGTTGCAGTCCCCCAGCACTTACTAATAACATTTGACAAAGAATGCAGACAGAGTTGGGACCTTACCAGCACGGAGTACAAAACTAAACATTTATTCCCATACATAGTGGTGATTTTATTTTATCGAAACATAGTGCTCACTCATTTGATAATAATTGTAGTACAGTATTTTGGAGATAATTGCATTAAAATTTTATAGATGTGAAAATATAACATTTTTATTGTAGAAGCCCAAAACACCCTCTGGTAAATCCCGAGGACGTCCTAGAAAATATCCTGCTGGATCACCAGTATACGTAAGTTTATGTTTCTTACATACATGTAACATTTATTACTCTCTGGAAAAAAAACAATATTATGCTATGGTAAAGGGAAACAACTCAATAAAAAAACTTTTACAGCAATAGTTGTTCTCTTTTGTCATTATTTAGAGACTCAAAATCAAGTGAATAGACTATCCTGATTGGAGCCTAATCTATTGATGTTAAAGTTATTATTTTATTTGTCTCATTTTCAATAGAAACGTGGTGTCTTACTGTTTATGTACCAACTGAGCCACAGTGGCTAAGTGAGTAAGTTGGAATTTGATATAAGAGTAGGAAGTAGCGCCGCTGTCCAGGCACAATTTCCCTCATGGCACACAGCATGGCGTCTTCCTGTCTTCATTAGCCCAGTCCGGGCAGAGCCGTAGGACGTTAAACCCAATTTCATTTGTGTAAGCCAGCCTATTCTACTTTTGATTTCCAACTGTCAAGGGATCTTTAACATGCTATCGGTGTTTTTTTTTTATTCCATATAAACGACTAGTCGCTTCATCTTGCCAGACCCCATTTATGTTCCTCTAACAAGTGGAAACTAGCCTGGAAATTACTGAGGATTTATCCTGGGCCTTATGATTAGTGAGCCATCACCATACTCAATGTGGCTCAAGATTCTCAAAAAAACATTCATTTTTAATGATGTACGAGTATAATAATATTTAGAAATTACTCTTGTCTTTTATTCTAGAGATCTACAAGAGAGAAAGGTAGAGGTCGACCAAAGAAATATCAAAGTGTAAGTTTTTCTGTAACGGTTAAATTGGATTACAGATACTAAATAAAATATCAGTTTAAGCCACTCATTATCATTTGAAGGATTTTGAATCATAGCAAACTACAATATTGGGAAAGTTAAATCTCTAAAATTGTAACAAGTCTAAAAATGTTTCAATTCCATTCGATATTTACAAAGGTTTGGTGAACTGAAAATTTCACAACATTCTTTAGATGATATAAAATAAGCCAACATCAACTATAAGTTTGAGGTAAAATATTTTGATGGGCTTCTATAGGAGTTGGGAGATTATCTACCATTGATATATTGGGCTTACTCAATTTGTATTTAGGGTACATTTTAGCATGGATTAAGTCTTGCAAAAATCAAATATTGATTAAAAAAATGCATGATGTGGATCAGCGTCTTTAACATTTTCCTAATTTGAAAGGACTCATGCTATTTAATTGACAATGTTATGGATTGATATCTTTGTTTTTTGTTTTTTTAGGATTCAGATGTAGAAGATATTACAGTAAGTAATGCAGACTTTCTGCTGGTATTGTTTCAACATATATTTTACACATTTACCTCATAATATTAGCAATTATCCACAAATAAATACTGAAATGAAATTTAATACCTTACTTTTCTGCACTCATTTGTCTTAATTAATGAAGATGTGCTTTACTACCATACAGTGTGCTATGAGGGAAAATTTTGCCCTGGCAGCGGCACTACGCCCTGCTCTTTATTTCAATTTGAAACTTGTGTTTTTTAGGATTCAGACACGGATATATCATACACAGACGATATAACAGTAAGTAATGCAGACCTTCTGCTGGTAGTTTTTTTATGTACCGCTATATTTTTCACATTTTCCTGGTATAATCAATTATCCACAAATATATACACTGGCTGCTCAATTACTAAAATGGAATGGGGTTTAATGTCCTACTTTTCTGCACCAGGATTGGATGAAAAACCAAGGTCCTGTATACACATCAGGGGTCAAAATTCATGAAATTGGAACGAAGGCATTTTTTTAAAAAAATGACACAGTAATTCCTTCGTCACTACGGCAGTTTTTATTTACACTAAGGCAAAACTTTTAATTTACTTTCTTCACTACAGCATTTTTTTAAACTGGGAAACTGACATATATATCGATATTATTACGGAATTTGTCCAGAATTAGGTCACCACAACACCCTTAAATTTACGTGCACCGCAGTCCATCTGAATATCAAAATATCAAAATCAGAAGACCTAAAAATTCTTGCAAGTCCGCGAATCTGCTTTGGCTCAGCGACACGAATATGTGCAATTCTATAATCCGTATCCACGTGAATTCCACCAAATATAAGTACCGTGGTACCAAACTTGCGTTTTAAATGAATACTTCGCCGTTGAGGTGTTGAATTCTGATTCCAAAATATCCATAATAATACCGTAAATTGATTCTTAAAACACGACTTCACACCTGTGCATGGCATTATAATAGTACATGCACATCATGCTGCGGACATGTAACACCCTCTGGATTTTTTTTCTTCTCACAACCCGTCTATATTTACGCTAACAATTATATTATTGCAATATTTTCCCGACCTAATTTTTTTATTTGGTCATATTTTCCAGTAAATTATTCATAGCATTTATATCTGGAAATTGTTTTGAACTTCTTAAATGATTAAATACACTAGACAACGAGCCATGTGTATTTCCATTCTAGCCACCAGCATGTGATGTTACGGTAGAATTAGGTCAGATAGAAAAATACAGTCACGAGAACTCAGGAAAGAAACAAAACAATAAATTCCTACTTTCCATTATGCCGTGGATTTCGCACGTATACAACGGTGATTTGATTGTCTACATCGGCAAATTGCCGTCGTGATATTCTTAAATAAATTACCACGGCTAAATATGCCGTAGTTATTATTTATTTTCTACGGCTATTTCGCTAAATACTACGGCAATTGCCGCGGGTGCCGTCGTGAATTTTGACCCCTGCACATTGGCATGCACATAAAAGAACTCTTGAAAGTTGGAATCGAAATAAGATTAGGCCCTCACGCTGCTATCCAGGCAATATTTCCCTCATACCACACTAAACCTAATGCCTGTCTACATTAGGCCAGTCAGATCAGAACAGTGGGACATTTAACCCCATTTCATTTCATTCTGCACCAACTGGGTTAATGAAGACGCCCATACAGCATTTAGGGTGCTTTGAGGGAAGATTTTGCCCTGACAGAGACTGTACTACCTACCCATATTTCAATTTCCAACTTGTGTTTTGTTTTTTAGGATTCCGACACAGATGTATCATACACAGACTATATGACAGTAAGTAGTGCAGACTTTCTCTATACGCCATACAGTATGTGGTGAGGGAAAATTTTGCATTCTAAGTGTCAGGGGATATCAATTTTTCATCCCATCCAATTGACAAGATACATTTTCCTTGTCAGATCCTTCATCTTGCAAAACTGATCATGGGAAATATGACTTGCTTTCTCTGGCTGACACCGGGATTGAACCAAGGACCCTCCTGGTTATTGGGTCAACACCATTCTCACCAAGTCAATATGGCTTCCAGTCCCCAATTAAAGGGGTTGGAAGGTTGAATGGTTAGCGCATGTGCTCTGTATCATAAGGTCTGTCATTGAGTCAACTGGCGTGGTTTTGATTCCCTGGTTATACGTGACAAGGATAGGGTTGCCTGTCCAACCTCGTGGGTTTTCTCCGAATCTTCTGGTTTCCTCCCACTGCTAAAAGACCCGTACACACAAGCAAATTATTGAAGTAAAATTGAACCATGTGTTAGTCTTGAAATGACCAAGTTTGTGTCGAGTGGACGTTAAACCCCATCTCTCTCTCTGTAATACCCAATTAAGTCAGTAGTCCAGAAGAAAGAAAACAGTAATTACTGGTTTTATCTATAGACTTTACCAGCAATAGATTGTCATCTCACAAAAGAAATCAATACATAAAATCAATAATTTTATTTTGTCACTTAAATCAGAGAGGTTTGGAATTTTAATATAAAATAGCATTTCCAGATACAAATAAACTTTATGTATGCAAATCAAATGCCAATATGATAAAGTTTTTTTTATTTTCTTTCAACATGACCATTTTTAATTCTAAGCATATGTATGTATGCCTAATCTTTTAACAATTTTTACATGCCTAAATTGAAATGTGGTTGTATATTGTCTTCATCCTCCCCCGTCAATTTGTTGTCTACAGTCCTTATCGGCACTATAGAGAAGAAGAAACCTATTGATTTTCAAAGATTTTCAATAATTACAGAAGGAAGTTGAGGTCCTTGATCATTTTTAATGTGATTTTTTAGCATTCTAGAAGCTAAGGTTATCATCAAATTGAATATTAGTTTATAAACAATGTGTATACTCATGAGATTAAGAGACCAATCAAATTTCAATGATTTGTGGTAATTATTTAATGGATTCTTACTCTTTACCAGTTTTTAGTTTTCTTTTAATGGACCCCATCACCTATAAAAGAATACAATCTGATTAAAGCACAGATCCTATTTCGTTTCTTTTTTTACAGTTCAAAATTGCGTCTTACATGTCTTTCTATACTAGGGTCTGGAAGAGTTGTTATATTACCCACGTTCTGGATGATGTGAGTGATTTTAGCCAATGACACTGCAAGTTTTTGGCATGAGGTGCACAGAACTGTAGGTAGCCCACTAGAAACACCATGCTGATTGGTTATTCAAATGCCTGACGTCATAGGGTCAAAAGCCGCTTGTTTGACATCTGGCGCAACTTTCCACTACAGATCTTCACGTAGTGTAGGCCATCGAAAATATAAAAAAACGAAACGAAATATATGGATCTGTATTTTAATCAGATTGAAAAGAATACATATGTGCTCAGATAAATTTGCTTCTGTGGGTATGTGTTTCATCGCCTGTCAACCAATCATTGATTATTATAGGAATCTAGTAAAGTTGTAAAAGTTGGTAGAGGACGTCCTAGAAAAGATCCAACGGTAAGATTGTTTATAATTAACATTAATATACATATTAGAATTATAAGTGCATTATAAACATTGGGAATATCATCACCATTATTGAATTAATAAAAAGAATTAACACTTGTTTTGTTGATCTATGTTTCACCATTAACAAAAACATTCAATGTTAATCACCAGCTTAGTACCTGACATACTTAACTTTTTGCCAGTTACATAAAAGACAAATCACTGCGGGTTAAAGTCGCAGAAATAAAGAGGGGTTGTGCCAGATAAAGCCTTAATTTGTGTCTGATATTGTCAGAAGCGGGTGCCTAATTTCCTGGATTGGTTTTTAGTAAGACTATGATTTTCTACTCTTTTTTGATGTAAAATCTTTCCACTTCCAACTTGTAAATTGTATCTTCTGCAGACCACTCCATCTACATCTAAAGCATATATTAGTACACCAACAAGAGGAAGAGGACGTCCTAGAAAGACACCCGATAGTGGTAGAGGAAGAGGTAGACCACGGAAATCTGTGGTGAGATCTAATTTGTATTGTTTTCAACACTGAAAGGGACACAGTGATTGAGCAGTGAAGGGACTGGACTGTCAACTAGAATGTCCCAGTTCATATCTCGGGGTAAACCAAGAAGAATCACTTGTCTAAAGAACTGACAAGTAGGGTGTTCTGTGGGACAAAAAAACACAGGGTCCACACATGTTAAGTGTACACATTGGTTTGCACAATAAATGAACCATGACAGTTTAAATTGAACATGTGACCATAGAATGTATATTCATCTCTAAATGATAGATGTTTATGGGGATGAGACATTAATCTCCTACGTTTCATTTTTCCACTATTAACATGCTTTCTCTTTGCCTTGTTGTTTGCAGCAATTTAATGCTATGTGAGCTCCAGCAGAGCTATAAAAATCTGTCTCCTTTTAATATTAGCATACTACATTATATCTCTGGTTGACCAAACAGATTTTGCAGAAAACAGTAAAAATCGGATCTTACATCTTTGAGATGTTTGCACTTGATCAAAATGTGCTTTACTAGAAAAAGAACATGACTGTGTTGAGTGTTCACATTATCAATATTTGAGCGAAACCATTTTATAATGCTGGGTATTGTTTAGAATATATGATAGTTGAACATTCTACAATTGTATGTTTACAGGTAGAAAGGACGGTTCCTGAATCACCTACTAGATCTCTTAGTGATAGATCACGAAGACAGTCTGTAAGTTATTATTCAGTGAGTGCAACAATCGGGTAAATTGCTGATAATTTTTTTATCTTTTTTTTTGTTGGCTTTATTCTCTTAACATTTTTCATTCATTTTACTTGGAAAAAAATGAACTAGTACTAGTAGCTGACACTTTAAACTTTGTATTATAAGGCGGTACAAAATATTCTGGTTTGCCGACAATCCTTGTGCCGAATCTGATGTTTTTATTTTTGTGTTTTTGTTTGTGATAGGATCATGTGGCTAAATCATTTGAAGATATCTCACATCATCAAGTTTATTCATCCTGTTATATTCATCCTGTTAATAAGAATTCACTACCATAATTACTAAATTTTTTGTTACATAATATCTGAAATTTGCTGTACTTTAAGCTAAATTCAAGTTTATCTACAAGCAGTAAATATAGATAACTGTATAGAATATTAAATAGTTATTTATTTAAATGTTTTACAGCGTGGGTCAATAAAGTTAGTTATTAAAGGTTAGTAGTATTATTTATAGACTAATAAACTTATATGTGTACCGTTTAAACAACATTTAATTGGAGCCACCATTCTACAACAATTCTCTAGTTGTTTTCAAGCACAATAATGATACAGTACTATGTACAATAATAACATTAGTGAAACAACTTAATTGATGAGTGCAGAACTTATAAGTGCCCTGGTTAACTATTGGGAACTATTTGGTTTATTGGTGTATTGGATTAGAAAAGGACATCCTATTCAAATTATTACAAGTTCAACATATTTCCCCTTTGTCTTGAATGTGTTTTGTTGGATCTTATCCTGCCAGCAGAAATCTCTACACTCAGAAATGAACTCTTAAATACTCTAAAGAATTTCTCAGAAACAATGAAACAAAACAATTAACAAAAGTTTACAGTTTTAAGTCCTGTATAAAAGTGTTCCTACTTCAAAACTCTGATCTGAGAAAATGGATCGTTAAAGACATTAACCATCAGAGTATACTAATACTCAGTATTAACAGACTTTATAAACCATGATAGTATTTATTATTTTAACATTATACTCTACAACTTGTTAAAGATCTTCAGAGTCTAGAGGAGGATTTTGGCAACCAGTTAAAAGAAATTCAGTACAGAGTGACCAAAGTTTTAAAAACAGAGATGGAGAATTTGAGACAGAGTTTTAATCTTCAGCTAGCGGATATCGGAGACAAAGTTCGAGATGCGGAAACCTATAAAATTGTATTCAATGGTGATAGTGAGTAGAATTGAAGAGGTAATCGGCCTTTTGACGATCGGTTGGAATTAAATTTCACCTATGAATATGATAAACATCTTTAATTATACCACACAAAAGTTTTTGAAAAGAAATCAGTTACCAAATTGTTTTGGTGGATTTTATCTTTGGTGGTGTAGAATTGTAGATCTAATATGATCTCTGTTTCATGAATTCATAACAGGTTGATGTTCCTCTTTAATTCTTCATATGATATGGTGAACTATAATATCAGTACCTGTGGAATATTGAAGACTTAAAGCAGAGGTTTTAAATTTACCGATCATCAGAAGTCTGATTGTGCCTTTAAACTTTTTAATTGTGTGAGTGTGAAATTATAAGTCAAAGTTAACTTTCAGTGCGAAACGTCAATCAGTGAAAGTGCATCTAGCTGTTTAGATCAGATAAACAGGTGATGTCCCCACAACAAAATTAAAGGGCTATTCGGATATTTGTGTAGCCAAATGGTCTAACATGCTCTCATTAGATCGTAAGTACTGTCAACTGTGTAGGTCATGGTCTAACATGCACTCATTAGATCGTAAGTACTGTCAACTGTGTAGGTCATGGGCTAACATGCACTCATTAGATCGTAAGTACTGTTAACTGTGTGGGTCATGGTCTAACATATGCTGTACTGTTAACTGTGTGGGTCATGGTCTAACATATGCTCTTAGATGGTATGTACTGCTAACTGTGTGTGTCATGGGGTAACATGCACTCATTAGATTGTAAGTTGTTAACTGGGTGGGTCATGGTCTAACATATGCTCATAGATCGTATGTACTGTTAACTGTGTGGGTCATGGTCTGACATGTGCTCTTAGATTGTAAGTACTGTTAACTGTATGGGACGTCTAACAAGCACTCATTAGATTGTAAGTACTGTTAACTGTGTGGGTCATAGTCTAACATATGCTCGTAGATCGTATGTACTGTTAACTGTGTGGGTCATGGTCTAACATGCACTCATTAGATCGTATGTACTGTTAACTGTGTGGGTCATGGTCTAACATATGTTCTTAGATCGTATGTACTGTTAACTGTGTGGGTCATGGTCTAACATATGCTCTTAGATCGTATGTACTGTTAACTGTGTGGGTCATTGTCTAACATATGCTCTTAGATCGTATGTACTGTTAACTGTGTGGGTTATGGTCTAACATGTGCTCTTTAGATTGTAAGTACTGTTAACTGTGTGGGTCATAGTCTAACATATGCTCTTAGATCGTATGTACTGCTAGCTGTGTGGGTCATACATGTGCTTTTTAGATTGTAAGTACTGTTAACTGTTAGTTATGTCTTAACACGTGCTCTTAGATCGTATGTACTGCTAACTGTGTGGGGCATGGTGTAACATGTGCTCTTTAGATTGTATGTACTGTTAACTGTGTGGGTCATGGTCTAACATATGCTCTTAGATTGTATGTACTGCTAACTGTGTGGGGCATGGTCTAACATGTGCTCTTTAGATTGTATGTACTATTAACTGTGTGGGTCATGGTTTATCCTGCACTCATAAGATTGTATGTACTGTCAACTGTGTGGGTCATCTCCTAACATGTGCTCTTAGATCGTAAGTACTGTTAACTGTGTTGTTCATGATTTTGAATTTTGATCCCAGGTTTGTAGTGACATGGCATGGAGTTTATCCCACACTTCTAGAGATAACAGTATACCACGTGTTAGTCCCGAAATGAACAAGATAATGATATGTGGACATTAAGCCCCATTTCACTCTCTCTTTGCTTTCCAACCCCACATTACATCCATAAAAGACGTTAAACACCATTATTTTTCTTTGCTATAAAATTTTGGTTATGTTTGACATTATTGTCTCCCATCAAAATGGTGCTGGTTGGTGTCATGCCTTGGGTTACGATATTGGATGTAAACAATACATGTTTGAATTATCGTGTAATGATTAATGGAAGATTCCAAAAAAACCCATGTAATGGTCAGTTACATTTCAATTACTTTTGATTGTGTATGTAAGATTATACGATTATGTGGGAATGTTAATTACATAAATGGTTATTCTATCTAATCCCCCAGGTGTGGACTGGCCATATATTTGTTGTCCAGCAGCTCCATGTGTTTAAGCATCAGAATTTTATAATATCTTTCATAATGTAATTTTGTTTTGTGTGTTATTTTTACTAGTGAATTCTCCACAAAACGGTGAAGATGAGGAAGAAAATATGGCAGACATGGAAGACTTCCAGAATGTAGACATGGATCCAGAAGTACAAATAACTAGAGTAGAAGAATCATCATGATTATCAGTCTGATTATTGTCAAGTTACATGAACAACATTATTATTTTCAATACTATTTAAAAGATTATTGTTTGTTTATTTTTCAGTCAAATTCACAATCTGACAAATACTGGATAAAAAGTAGGGTTTTCAAAATAATATCAATATATTTTTATACAAATCCTCTGCAATACGTCTCACAATACAAATTTTCGTGTATCAACATTTTCACTCTACTTTCACTTTGGAAGTAAGAGTAGACTGTTTTTCCGTTGGCGTATATTTCCATCTTCATGAACCTGTTGGTGCAGAACAGTAAGACGTTAAATCTATTATAGGCAAAATTGTTGAAATGAAGGGTTAAAGTATATTTTAACCCTTTAGTATTTGTAAATATTAACTACCCTGATTCACAGATAAAAATCAAGAGAAGTGATATATGTGTTTTACGATGAGTATTATATTCATGGAATAAAAGTGATGTATGTTATTTTAGTTGAGTTTTGTAGCTACTGCTCCTTACACCGCCCAAGTTACAGTACAAGTATATACACTTATTAAAGATACATTATGGAAGATTAGATAACGAGTTGGCAGTTTTCACTATAATAGTTAAAAACTAGATGATGTAAAGGCAATTTGCTGAAAATTCCATTCAAATTGAACCACTATGAACCCAGAATTAAGCGATTACCATTACTAAAGTCAGTACGATAAACAGCATAATCTTGATTATCCATTTAATTATTAAATCGTGAAGGAAAGTTATGCAGTAAATCGGCTCATAGTCCACTAAAGATCGCAGGCTAGCGATACCATCGAGAGTTGATTATGGTCTGGATAGGTTAATTAATGTCAAATTAATAATTTAGATAACATTTCAGGCCTAAAGAAAGACCTGCAATAGACTGATTTAGCTCTTGCATAATGTATGTTTAAGTAGTTGATATATTCAAGTAGCACTGGCAGTTAGGGGCGATCGAGGAAGCAGTAGTTTCAGACGATCCCAGAGCTAAGGGATTAAAAAATAAATATAGAACACAACACTGTGTAGGATCATTTCCAAGAAAAAAATAATTTGTATTAAATTCATCATATAAAAGTTTTCATGTTTTCCGTTTATGGTTCACATGATCACATTGTTTATCTAAAGCTTTATCATATAGAGCTAGATTCAATGTACTCATTGTTAAACTGTTTCTTCATCACAATTTTCATGTAATATAATTGCATGAACATATTGCTAAAAGCAAATAAAACTTTAAAGGATCTCATAACATAATTCACTCTTAAGACTCTCAGCAACATCTCCTTTCTGCTTTAAAGTTGCTTAAAAAAAAGAATTGCCAGAGATCTTAGTTCATGTTAAAAGAGGAACTTTTATAACTTTATATATAAAATTATCTAAATGGCTTTTACAATCAATTAAATGGCATATTTTTATCATCAATGTTTTTTTTTAGGGTTTATTTTAATTCTTTTTAGACATATCTACCTTTTGTTTGTTTTATTTTATGTTCATTTATTTAGCATGTAATGTAAGGGGTTATTTTTGTTTTAATTGTTATTTTTCACTTGTTAATATATCCAAGGCACTCATAGACACTGAGGCCCTATTGGAGGATTATAATGTTTTTTTTTTACTTTACTGTTTGCGAACACTAATACTTATCACATGCAATAATGTACATATATAGAGAAGACTTTCTCTTTCTAAAAGACCCATGGTATTATTCAAGAACACTGAAATATTTCAAGAATGCAGCTTTTTCATTGAACAAGGGCTAGTATTTGTGCTATGATTTTAATGCTCAGCCAATGAAAAATCGGAATTCTTAAAAATGCCAACAATTTTTTGTTAGACTTTTATATTGAAAAAAAAAATTGAAATTTTTATAACAAATTCACAACTTGTACGATGTGTTTAATTTCAGATAACTTTTTATGTATTAAATAGAATATTATGTATTTCTCCTTAATTAAATAGTTTAAAATAAAAAAGCAACAAAATATATATATTTTTAATCTTTAGTGGTATTTAGATATTTTCTTGACTTCAAAGGTGCCAAATTCAACTTATTCAAAGCTTTGAATATATGTTGAGCATCATTAGGGCATTATTTTGTGTGTATATGATTTAGATGAAATTCATATCAATACTAAATTCCAACTCTAAATTCAACACTTAAGACAGATTGTGATTTATAATATAATGGTTTTGATGAAAGTAAGGCACTAGTCTGTATTTTACCATATTTTACATTCTACAAAACCTTTAGTTTACTATATTTTCTAATACAATTTTTTGCTATACACGTTAACAAACGATTTATATCTTTCCATTACAAATGTTTATAAACTCATATTTTTATGATTATATTGTCACTTTGTAAAGTGCCCCAGTGATGTGAAAGGGCGCACTATAAATATGCTGTAATAATAATATTAATACATGTTATATACCTAGAATCTTTTTCATATTCTAAAAGAATCTGAATTTATTTTTTCGCTGCAAATTGGAATGAATATAATTTTAACCTGTGCATCTTATACACAGGTTGTACATGTATACCTTTACAAAAGATTTATATTTTTCCATAACAAGTCTTTATAAACCCACATTGGATCTCATATTTGAATGAATATAATTTCAAACTGTTCACTTTTAATTCCTAAATGTCCACATAAGTTTTAAAACCAGGTGCATAGATTAAATAAATATTGTATTAAGAATTAAATGGGAACGTTTATCGCATCTGACATACAGCATATCATTTATCTTTGCATATAAAAAAAAATCTTCTTTGATATTTTGTCTTGGATCAATCAGTTTTACCCAACTTTTGATAGCTAGGGTCTATACTTGTCACAATGTCCGTAAGGGCTTGGGGTTTGGGTGGTCTAGTGGTTTAACGCGTGCGCATGAATTCACAAGGTCTGTCATTGAATCAAGTGGCGTGGTTTCGATTCCCCACTTGAAGGTGACCAGGAGTAGAGTCACCTGTCCAATCTCGCGGGTTTTCTCCGCGTCCCCTGTTTTCCTCCCTCTGCTAAAGACCCCTACGCGCAAGCGAGGTATTGAATTAAAATTGAACCATGTTAGTTCCGAAATGACCTGGTTTGTGTCGAGACGAGGTTAAACCCCCTCTTTCTCCCCTCCCCCTCTCTCTGTAACGACTTTAAAAAGGTTAATATTTACAGATAGATCAAAATTCTCACCAGAAATAACAAGTCTCAAAATCATTTAATTGTGCAATTATTGTACCCGGTTAAGTTTTATTACTGCCATTGTATTTGCTAGTGTTTATTGCTGCTTTATAATTACACGGTTACTTAGTTTTCAGCTCCCCACGATATTTAGTTGTCATTTAAGGGCATTCTGAAATTTATCTACTTCTTGGTAAGCAGGAAATTAATTAATCCAGGCTAAATATACATGTTTAAAACGTGTTGTTAGTTATATATTTACTCCCAAAGCCAATAAAACCATCATTGTAACATGGTATGTGTTTGTGTTGTTGTAGCGTACTTTGCTTCAAACTACTCTGAATTGATACAAATGCAAGAAGAAAGTCAGTATATGTGTGTGGAGTGGAAGGAGTGGGTTGGAGGGCTGTGATTATCCATGTAACTGAAAAACGGTAGTTCATGACGAGCCGTAATACTTGCCTTGTTATGTGTACTGTAAACTGAGTGTATTTTCCAAGGGCGGGGTGTGCGGATTTAACTTTGAACAGTATAATGTATGATATAGTTTAATGGTACCGAAAGTTAAACAAACGTGAAAATTAAATGGTGGTTTACATGCCCAACTTTTTAGCCCAAACGGGCATAATGCCCTCACAGCAGCACTACGGCCTACCCTTATTTCGATTTCTAATGCGGGTTTTTTGACGTGCATTCAATCGAATACATAACACGCGACCTCGGTTAATCGTCCCAAACGAACGACTAGGCACTTTTCCTTGCCAGACCACCCGTCCTGCACCACTGACAAAATGAAACAAGGCCAGAAAATCCCGCTAACATCGGGATCGAAGTCGGTGGCCCCTGGTTAGTAAGCCGGAGCCATTACCACTGGGCGCCCTAAACAAACATTGCATGTAATCAAATCATAAACCGCAACAGCTGTGCACCAAGAATAATAATATTTATTGAACAAATACAATTAAGATTTTCTTATTCCATATCCAAAACCAAAATTTATCAAGAAATTTTATTTTGGTGAAATCAAGAATTCCTGTTAAGTCAGTGTCTACAGATTAATACTGGAGCTGTACAGTGATGTACCACATAATCACTAACACTTCCCATTAAGGTTCTTCTTATTTTACCCCGTCCTCTACAACCAACAATAACCAGATCTGCCTCTTCTTCTTTAGCTGCTTTTACAATAGCTTCACCTGGTGAAGATGCAGCTACACCTCGAACTCGACCTTCAATCTAGAAATGTATATAGGAAACTATAAAATGAGATACTACTTCTATCGTCCAAGCGATCTAAAGAATTAAAACATATTGAAAAGTCAGAACTTTTGAAAAAGTACCCTCGGTGAGGTGTCGTTCCTCTTGCTCTCCGCCATGTTCGCCACTGGTAGGGGGTGGCGGGCAGACAGTTGAGATAATAGAAAACATTGGAATAGCCAATGTTATATCCTTGTCTTTTCCTACTAACAGACTTAAATTAAAGGCGTTTTGAAGAAGGGTTCGCTGATCTGATCACGATATAGTGATGGATTGAAACACTTGCCGCAGATCCAACATACAGTTTGTACAATCAAATTTCAACTTTACGAAAAGCCCCAATACCATAACTATGCATCTTTAACTTTAATATAAAATTGAACATAAAACGTTAACGGTGGATATTGAAATGTGTCCGTAAACTATTATAGTAGTTGTGACTTTGGCTGATTAGAAATGTCTCGTATTCAATCATTTTTGTGTTTCCGTGGAAACAAATTTGATTCGGTGTTTGGTATACGGGTTATTGATGACCCAGTCTTTGGGGTGTATTATTCATAATTCATAATCATAAGATTTTTACAGGCGTTCTTACCCCTAAATCTGTTAATTTATGTTTATATTTAGCCACATCCTCATTAAGCCTTTGTTTTTCTTCTTCTAACATAGCAAATATTACCTCAGGATCCAGAACATAAATACCTATAAATAGACGAATTTATTTCCTGATCTAACAGAATATATATGTATCTGCAATAACGCTCTGCGTAATTCACGAATAACATTAAAAAACCTTCATCCATCGACCTATTGATATAAAATAACATAGATCTACCAAGGGGAGTTGGGGTGGCCAAATGATCTAGAGTGTCGCCCTTTGAGCTCTATCTGGTCGGCCACCTCTAGCTTGCGGTCGTGTTATGGGCGTATGTGGCTTGGAGATAGGTTTACTCCTGACACTCCAGTTTCTCCCCACAGGAAAGACCACTGCATGTTTGTGCGTTAAGATAATAAGAATGAAAATAAGATAACATGTCTGCGACATCACCAAGAACAACAACCAAACGGAAAAAAACAAAACATATTTCCATCCCAAACTAATATATCTTGACCAATCGTAATTATTCGATATCCAGTTGCAGTTGCCCCCCCCCCCCCCATCCCTATCCCCCTAGCTCGTACGCCGATGAACAATCCGAACGACCAGAAACACCTTTCTTGTCAGCCTCACGGATACCACCCCTGACACGTGAAAACCAGATTTCGATATACCATTGGTGTGCGGGCGGTGGTACAAAAAGACACATGGAAATGTACGGTCACATTAATGTGGGGGTATAAAACCATCATAGCTAAAATATGTTTTGTGGAGAAGGCGACATAGATGCATTTTTGAATCGTCTAGATAAAAATGACAACTTACTTCCGTCCCACGTGCCTTGTATAGCCTCCCCATATTCTGGATTGTTGACTAAAATCACATAATCGTTGGGATTCCTAAAATATTCATTATACCCTGGAAAGATAAAGGTTTACTTAAACTATTTCTTTCTGAATCACAGCCTTTCTTACACACACAGAGTCTTAAATATACGTCATCATTATCATTATCATCATCATCATCATCATCATCGTCATTATCATCTCTAGTCGCGATGTTTCCGTTGTGTCATCATTCTTCCACTCCGCTGTGGTCTTATGCCATCTCCCACAAAACAGACAGTTTAAATGACAGACAGATCTCTAGATTCTGTCCCGTTTCTGAACCTTTACTTCACAAGAATTTAATCCAAGCTGTGATCTCAAATACCATAAAATTGACTCAATTTTCAAAATTTTCTCGAGGGGAAGAACCCCTTCAACTAACAATTTTGGTTTTTCTCGAGACATTCCACCCTACCCTCTCGACACTGTCATAAAGGCTTGCATACAGCCAAACTATTGATACACGAGTTTAGTCCCGATATCGACGCTGAACTTTTTTTTATAATCTCACTTTCAACAGAGAAAGAGAGATATTATTTAACGTCCACTCTACCTTCTCGACACTGCCATCAAGGCTTGCACACAACCAAACTATTGATATACGAGTTTAGTCTCGATATAGACGCTCTGTTGAGCTGACATTGCACTTTATTCATAATCTCACTTTCAACAGAGAGAGAGAGAGAGAGAGAGAGAGGGAGAGCAATGGGATTTAACGTCCACTCGACACAGACTAGGTCATTTCGGGACTAACATATGGTTCAATTTTATATCAATACTTCGCTTGCGCGTAGGGGTCTTTAGCAGTGGAGGAAACCGGAGGACCCAGAGAAAACCCACGAGGTTGGACTCACTTTCAATACAAAAATACTATAAATATTATGAAAAGTGGTATCAGGTGGCATTGAAACAGTGAAGCACCATCTACCTCGTGCTCGACGCTAGCTGCGTGTAATACTTACATTCTAATGCGAAATCAGCATGTTTACTTCCATCTACAGCTATAATTATTGTTCTTTTATTTTCCTTTGATTCCGCCATTTCTTCTAAACAGAGATAACACGTGTAAAATTATTATTATAGAACGTAATGTCAACCACTTTATGATTGATCACAAGCAATTTATATGTGGTTTCTACATAGATCCCCCAAGACCATCTTCAAGGGTCCATTTTCATGTGGCTCGAGAAACCGTTTGAAACACAAACTCCACTTTTTGTTCACGCTTATTCTTATTAATAAAATCAAGAATTTTTATTTCATGTTAATCAATAAAACAAATAATTGTTATCGCATAATAAATAATAAAACAAAGAATTGTTATCTCATATTAATTAATAAAACTAAGACCTGTTAGCTCATAATAATTAATCAAAATAAGAATTGTTATTTCATAATAATTAATAAAATCATAAATTGTTATCTCCTATCAATTAATAAAACTAAGAATTGTTATCTCATAATAATTAATCAAATCAAAAATTGTTATCTCATAATGATTAATCAAATCAGGAATTGTTATCTCATAATAATTAATACAACTAGGAAATGTTATCTCAAAACTAAAAAATGTTATCTTATATTAATTAATTAATTAATAAAACTAAGAAGCGTTACCTCATAGTAATTAATAAAACCAAGACCTGACATCTTGTAGCAATTAATAAAAATAAAAATCCTTTTGATAACAAAACTACAAAATGCTGTCTCGGGTTCGACCACGATATCTTCCAGTCTGGCAAGGAAAAGAGACTATAGTCGTCCGATGGCACAAAAAACGAGTCACGCATCACTGATATCACGATGATGATCCCTGACTTTGGAAATTGAAACAAGAACCGATCAAGGAGCCAGGTTCCCTCATAGACATTCACGTCTTAGTTAGCACGATAAATTATTTCAATGACATTTAGTAACTAAACTGGAAATACACGGGACGCAAGGAATATAATTTATGTTTATCAATGAACCAAGTTTGTCTTCATCAAGCAATGGCTTCGTTAGTCAGGTTAGTACAGAAAACAAAGACATCAAACCCCATTTTAACATAACTTACCTTCTACACAACTTCTTTGTTTATTTTTCCGAGTATATAAACAGCGTCTTAAAAGGTCGGATTATTTCACCCCAAGTTCAGCTTAAGACAAGTAATATAAGATAAGTTTGATGAAAGGTCGAAGCTCTTTAAATCTGTTTTTATTAATTTGATTTATGACTGACAATATATATTATTATAGGTAGGGTATAATTACCTTTGTTTGTTTATAATTAAGACATCGGAGATTTATTACCATGTGAGAGCACGTGTGAGATATGTAGAAATTCTAGCTGTGTCAGATTTGTGACTAATGTCCAAATGTCTATAAGTCTTGGCAAAATATCATCTTGTTGGCAACATAAAGTGCCCGATATCTAATAAAACACTAGTTTTACATTTCTTTTAATTGAATACGGCGAATTTGTGCTGAATTGACTATGGATTAAAACATTTTGTCTTGAGCTACATTGCATTGTGCGACATTTTTCGGGCGTTGATTATTGTGAATGCAGCTCCAACTGTCTGATTGGCTGGTTGGAATTCAGGTCGTCAGAGTGACATTTCCGTTGCAAAACCATTGGACAACTTTGTAGTTGCTTGTCTCACGGGCTATCATAGCAGAAAAACGCACCTATGGCACTTAAATTTTCAAAATTTGCTTGGGGGGGGGGGGGAGCGAGTTCCTCATACCCCGCGACTTCCGGCGGCGGCTCCTTGGACTAAATGATTGATTGGTTATTTAGAATTCAGGACAGCCACTTAATTTAGGCTATATTAGACTACGCTGAAGTTGCTGTATACATGGGCTGGAATAGCAAGTCAAGTTTTCCAAACTTTCTTGAGGTGGCCCCCACACGATAAGTTACAAGACTTGGCGCTCGCTGACGACCGGCGCCGCCGTCTGTAAACGGGAATTTTTTCGAAAGATTTCAGGTCCGCCCACCTAACATCCATCGGGCCCGTCTAGAGACGGTTAAAACTCAAGGCTGTGCACGGGTTGGCAGTAGGACGAGAGGAGCCAACTACCAGATGGCATTTAATTTGTTCGTTATTAGGGTTTAACGTCCGCTTACATCGAGTGTCGAATCACAGACATAAGTTTCTCAGAAACTTGTCAGAATAGCCAGTTAAGATTAAAAGGCAAGTTAACAATTACAATGGAGACAAATATATTTTTGATATAATTAGTAGCGCAGAGTTTCAATGTTAATGCACTGATGTCGTGTCTAAAGCGTAATGTTGTTGACATCCTCTGGAATCTGACCTCAACCAACCGATTTGTAAGTCAGCTTTACTTTAACGCCGTCATTATTAGCACCATCGCTAATAGTTTCAACTGAGCTTTCCACCGTATTGTAAGCCGGCTCGCCATCAGAGTCCTTAACTTGCAGGACATTACCTCCAACATCCCCATCGGTATCATTATCATCAGCTTCCATAATGCTGGGATCGTTTTCTACAATATCGTTTTCCGACTGGGAGTTATTGGACCCATAGTCACCAACCACCTCCCCAACCCCATCATTCGCAACGTCACCATCCATATCATTATCACCAGATTTGATCTTTCTAGGATCATTTTCGTCCAAATTCCTTTCCGAGCGGACATGATTGGGCTGACCGTCATCAACCACCTCCTCTGCTACATCAAGATTTTCTTTAATCCCCACAACCTCAAGATCGCCACTGTTACGAGAATTGGCATCTTCTTGACCAGTGGGTACGTCTGCTTCAATCGAATCGCTTTTTATCACCGCCTTATCCATAAGTTCACATCCAGCAACCGAATAGTCATCCAACTGTAAGTTAGTATATTTTTGTGCACCATCGGATGATTCTACTGTAATATCAGTACCACCGTCTGCCGATGCAAAGTTCTCGCACATGTCTTGTCTCGAGTTGTTCTGTGATTGGGCACGACTGTGCGGCGAATTTTCCACGTGAACTGAATTGTTATTTATTTCGTCCGGAGACGTGTGTCCATGAGAATCAGCCTCCATGGTGTAGTTAATCGCCGGTACTGAATCCAAAATCTCATTTGATTTTGATATAGGATTGCTTTGACCAATGACATTGGAATTGTGTGAAGTTTTTTCGATCAAATCATCTTTACTGTTGTTAACCAGGACTGACGAAGGTGACTTTAGACCGTCTGGGATTGGTTCTTTGCAATATATCTCTGGCACACACCTGTTTTGATTTTCAATGTCTCGTTCATCCTTTGCATTTTCCATAGAAGTATGAATATTCCAGCGTCGGTTACGAGGTTCTACAATACGAAACGACGGATTACAGATTGTATCCCGTTCAATATCGTCCGAATCACATATGTTCAGAATATTACCAAAACTGTCTGGATATTTACAAACTATAACCGGTATCAGTGAATGACTTACGACAAAATTACAAACTGATCCTAATGGATGACTTCCGGTGTTGTAACCACGTAATCCCATAATAATCATGGACGCCTCTTGATGGACAGAAGTGCTAATGATAACATGACCTGGTGAGGAGTGACAGGATGTTATTATTTTACCCACAATCTGAAAAAAGAATGATTTGATTTGATTCTTATTGCAATACAAGAGTTAAGAAACATTTAAGCTATGTGAACATAAGCCTCGACCGTTGCAGTCTAATCTTTGCTGGACAAAACTGCGACTAAGCTGTATACTGTGTGGCTCTTCGCGTATACAGTTCATGCAATGACCTGTTGACTTTCGACCAAACGTAAGAAATGAAATGGTATTTAACGTCCTACTGTTCTACTTCTACTGGGCTAATGGAAATGAAATGAAATGAAATGGAGTTTAACATCCTACTGTTCTGCTCCGACAAGGCTAATGCAGACCGACATACGCGATACAGTGTGCTATGAGGGAAATTTTGCCCGGGCAGCGGCACCATAGCCTACTCTTATATCGAATTCCAACTGTCAAGGGATCTTTTACGTGCACGCAAATCTATACACGGGACCCGGTTTTTCGTCACATCTGAACGACTAGACAGCTCTTCTTGTCAGACCCTCCGGCCTGCACCACTGACGAGGGGAAATCACGTCGGCGGAAAATCCCAATAAACTTTCTCGGCCAATGCTGGGATCGAACATGCGTCCTCCAGGCTAGCGATCCAGCGCCTTACCCACTTAGCCACTGGGCTAATGGAGACGGGCATGCCGCATGCAGTGTGCTATGAGGGATATTTTGCCCGGGCAGTGGCGCTATGGCCTACTCTTTTTTCGAATTCCAACTGTTAAGGGTTCTTTTACATACAGACCAATGTGTACACGGGACCTCGTTTTTTCGTCCCATCCGAACGACTATACGTTGTCCCTTGCACTCTCTCCGTCATACATCACTGACAAGGAGGAACGACGCAGGAAAAATCCCGATGAACTTTCTCAGCCAAAGCAGGGATCGAACACGGGACCTCCAGGTTAGCGAGCCAACGTCCTGCTCGCCAATCGTAAGACGTGCGACATGGCATATACAGTGGATGCCTTTTTTGTTCCAATTTGGTTATATATGGCTGACGTGTAAATATATCATTACCATTGCATTACGCAGCATTGATTGGTATTTGACGAAATCATCTGACATTTTCATCTTCTCGTTTTCTATAAAACCTTTTATAACATCAGTATTACCAGCTTTCCCTGAAAACATATACATATAGTTCATATAGTTCTCTCTTTACTTTTCCCTGAAATGGAGAAGGGTGGAGGACTCGAAGGATCTACAGCATTGCGCTGTGGACCATGGTCGTGCTTTCCATCCACATGTGAGGGTAGACTGTCAATCTTCGTTGGTTTTCTCAGGGGTTTCCCCACAGCTAAACATCCTTGCACGTAAGTTGGCATCGTTTTACATGCCCTGGTTTAACTTTATAATTGGGTTCTACATTTGAATCCCCTCAAAGGATCAATAGTCTGGAAGAAACATTATGCGGAGTCAATAAACAGAAATTCACAGAATTTAAGCGAGTGCAATTATACGTGTATAGACATTTCTATTAAATGGGTCATTAACTCGAGAAGGCGGCGTTTTATGTTAAACTAATACAGCGATTGTACCAAAATACTTATAATTCAAAGCCACGTTTGTTGATATATAACATAAATATATGGCATTAACTCTGTAGTATTTAGTGAGTGGGGGGTGGACGTTCCAAAAATCGTCTTTAGTAGTGTTAGGAAACCGGAAGACCCGAGGAAAACCCACGAAGTAAGGCCGGTGCACCCCCACCCCCCAAAATACTTATTATTTAAAGCCACGTTGATATATATAATATGAATACATGTACATGGCATTAACTCTGTAGTCTTTAGAAAGCGAGGGGTGGGGGTTCCAAAAGACCCGAGGAAAACCCACGAGGTTAGGCCGGTGACCCTCCCCTAGTCACATGAGAGATCGAAACGACGCCACTTGACTTAATGACACACCAAATGGTCTAAAGAGCACACGTTAGACATCCAACTCACCACCATTCAAGGAAGGCGAGATGTCAAGAATTACGAAGTAGCTTACCCCCTTCATTCTACCTCCCTATGATTTTAAACCCTTGTGTCGGTTTAGTTTAATGATACATTAGTTAAGAGTTTTATAAAGAGTTGGCCATTCTTGCTATACTAATTCAAAAATAGATGATAAAAACAGAAAATGCTGAAAATTTCAGTCAAATTTCTTTGTTCTGAACGGAATTGTCACTGTTGGAAGTTTGGGCTAGAAATAGGCATCAATCGTGTCTGCACCGTCTATGAGAATCAGCGATCGTTTCATTGACAGACGATAACTCCACCCACATATTCTCGATTATCAAGTAGCATGTTCAATGGCTATGGTGGTCTCGCTTGGCAGGCCTTTCATCACCAGTTTCCGGTAATGACATCAGCGACTAAGGTAAACGTTAGCTTGGTCCGCCATTTATTGATTTAATTTTAAATGAACGACTGTTTAAATCCAAACTGTATCCAAGCCATCCGAGGGTCTACAGAGTTGATTTTGTGCTTGTCATGTGAATAAAGGTCTAATTAATAATTTCTATAACATCTGAAGCCTAAATAAAGACTTGCAATAGGCAGATTTAGCTCTTGCATAATGTATGTTTAATATCAACACAGTCACCAGAAGCCTGGCGGGTATTTATTTGGCATACAAACGCTATGCCGGTTCGTTCAGATCGTTTAAAGGGGAGCAACTCCAATATATTATTCCATTCTAGTGGACATTACTATTCTATTACATGACTTACCTGCAGAAACAGCAGCCAACCTGTCAGTCATCTGAGAACAGCTAACGATGATAACATTATTACCTGGACGATGCATATTACCACAATACCCTATAAAAATATAAATCTATACTCATTACTTGTCAAAATTTAAGTGCCGAATTTGTGAATCCTCTCTACCATCATATTCAATGTCGATAGCACAGGTAATTTTTGCCATTTGACATATTTTAAATTTGCAGAAAAAAACCTCGAAAGAAATACATATACCCTAACAATTTGTCAGTGGGTAAAAATATAATTCGCCTCCGTCTGTTGAGTTCCCTTAAAAATGTATATTTATTTTAGAATTGATTTTACCATGAACCGTGTATATACGGTCCATGATTTAAGCCTATAAATGACAAAATAAAATCATTAATCAATGTCAGGTGTGAAAAGTTTTATTTCACTTCGAAAGAAAGGTTTTATTTTACGGTTAAGTATCATTTTAAAAGGCGTAAAGCTCTATTGTTTAGAAATAAAAATGGACGACAATGGGTCTAAAGCATATATTAATGTATATGAGTGTATATAAAGTGAAATACGTGATCAGTCTTAATTGAATGACAGTCGTTTTAGCCTGCTTTGTCCATTCTTTGCTTTTTATTATTATTATTATTATTATTTTGTCGTTTTTGACCCAGCCCTGATTTTAAAATGTTCATTGTGTACTAAATACTATATATTAAAATTCCATATTTTCACATTAAGACAATAACACCAATGTTGATAGAAATGGACTAATATTGAATTCTAATTCGTTTTTTAAATTTAATACTGATTTAGTGGTCTTGCTCCTTTAATTTAAACTATGGGGTACCAAAATATGTATATCGCTTATACAGTCTTAAAATGTCTTAACACGACCCTGCTCACTCCACCTTACCCCAGTTGTCTAATTGCATAACTAAAATACTTACATTCAAAGGCCCATTCAGAATCCTTGCCACCATCCATTGCTATCAATATAGTCTGTTTCTTTAAGAAGGCCATTGTCTTCGAATATCTCTTGCGATGTAATTCTGACGTGATTATTAAATATCCAAATTTATTTGAAACATACCACGGTCATTTGTAACGTTGCTCTGTAAACCCACCTTAATTACAAACAACGTAATAGATCTACTTTCTTTGATATGAAATGTAGTTTCATTTCACTTGTCAAATATGTCTGGTAACTAGTTAGACTTGATTTACTACCATGTCCTTCGACAAAACGGTTGTACGAGACGGTGACATTAAATGTTTGACATCTCAAACTTGTACCACGAGAATGCTATTATAGACATTCTAAACATTCATAATACGTGTATATTAAGCCCTTTCATCGTGTAGACTATAATACCTTATATAGTTGTTGGATGCCTAGATAACTGGATTAACCCGAAAGCAGAGTGGGTTGGATCCGACGATTTTTGCATGATGTGTCCTGTAAGACATTTTAAAGGAGCTAAGCCTCTCAGAAAAAAATGAAAAGAACGTCTTATTTTTCTGTACAAATGAAGGCAGGCATTATGCGTACGGCACTGGTGCTAGGGAATACTCTTATTTCTATTTCCAACTTTCAATGCTACACACATGATCTCTGCTTTGCATGTCACCCGAAGGACTTAACGATTTTCGTTGTCCGTCCTGCACCACTGATACGGGAACACCCAGCCATGTATATCCCGTTGATCCGGCCGAAGATATCCTGGTTAGTGAGACACTCTCATGCTCGCCGAGGCACCATAACTCCCCTCTGTTAAGATGGTTCACTTCAGCCCCCCCCCCCCAACCTTTGTTTCTTAAGGAAAATCAGTGGCCATCGCTCCCATTGGTTAATATTGTATTTCAGTTATTTTGAAACTAACGCGTTGTTTTATCGAGGGGTGGGGTGGGAGTGAGACGAACGGCCTAATGCGTGCGCTTTAGACCATAAGGTCCGTCATTGAGTCAAGTGGCGTCATGGATCTGGGTCGTCTATCTACACTCGTGGGCTTCTCCATGTGTCTGGTATACTCCCACTGTACCGAGTTTGTGTTTTGAGTGGACGTTAAAATGCAACTGTTTTATCTATTGGACCATGTGTAATTCGAGGTTTGGGGTCACAGCCAATCGCACTCGAGACCTCCCGAGTTTTCCCACAGTTACTGCCAGCACGATCGGCGTTATAGTTGACATCTAGGAATCAGACTACAATAAAATAAACCAGGATCCAAATTCAATTAACTACTGAAGAAGAAGGAACTGACCTCTGATGAATAATCACCATCTGTTTAAGAGGTTTTCTACTTGAGATAATTTCTTTCTGAATTGAATTTGGAACTAGACATTAAAGCTCTGACCGATTCTGGATGGATTTAAATACCTTGCAAACTGGGGAAAGTTGACTCTCTTAAAGAAATATCAGTCCGAAAAGAATTCAGTTCCGTTCAGCATCCTTTATAGGTGAAACAAACAAGCCAGCGTGTTGGGTGAATTCTGCTGATGGATCGTTTTTCGATCCGATTGAATCCAAGTCAGGCGATTATCTATCGTTGATATTTTGATTATGTTTTCTTGAAGTCGCTGATCATCATTTGCATTTTTCGGAAAGTATCATATAACATTTCATGGCTTAGACGTACAACGCTACAATTCATCGCTCTTCTGGCGAACCGACGAATCTGATATATTTAAGTATTGAGAATTATGTGTTTGAAATTTGCCTTCTGTTGTTCCGTGCACATCAAATTCAATTTGTGATTGAATATTTCATACATATACACCAGGACACCGAACGCCATTTACATAAATGTTATTATTTGATGGCTACAGAGAAACAACGGAACGCACATTTCAAACGCATAATTCTCAATACTTAAATATATCAGATTCATCGGTTCGCCACTAACGCGACGAATTAACATAAATTCATTATTTAATATTTAACTATGAAAACAAAATCAAACTAACAACCATAGATAACCCAGTGGTTTGGAATCAATCGGATTAAACAGATTTTCGTGACGATTGTGTGTGCGTGTTTGGGGGTGCTGTCTCGATTTGATCATTTTCCGAATGCTAACAGATTTTGAACTGATATTTCTTTTAGAGATCCAACTTGTTAGACTTTTGGGCCTTTATGTCAGGATCTGGATGACAACACTGGTTTTAACTTCATAATGTGATACGTTTATTGTTCTTTAAACATATCATGTACAAAACTTAAGATTCCGTAATTAGCTCGCGTTGAGGAAGCCGTGGTCCTAGCTTGGCTTGACACCTTTGGGAGCCAACCAACTCCCAACTAACTTACATGACCCTTGTTCTAGCCTTAACCCAAGGCGAACATGGCTTTCTCTTAACTATCTCCTTTTCATTCTTGCTTATATCCCCTTTCTAGACAAAAGATCTCACAAGATTACACATCTGGCTATTGCCAGATTAAGTCTTCAGTACAGATTGCATTACAAGACATTACATAATCGGGCCAGCTATAAGTTTTTATTATGGTAAGACTAATGATTGCAATCTGGACAACGGTGGATGTCTACAGCCGACATACAGATATTTTAATCAATTCTATGTTTCTCGAAATCTTAACTAAAGATAATTATCCAAATTTTAGTAGATACTTCAATTTTGATTGGCCCAACACTAAAATCAATCTACTAATATTATCCAATCAAATTACTAAAATTTGGATATTATCTTTGTTAAAATTTCGTGAAACAGGCCCATGTTTCAAGATGGCACGATAACTATCAATAACATCTGCCATTATGTAACAAATCTTCATAATATTATAACGACCATAGACTTTATATATGTTAAAATAATAAATAGGAGTAGATTTTAATAAGCCGTTAAAAAATGAGATTGTAAACAAAATGAACGATCGGGATGGGCGAATTCATCTCTACTGATTATATCATAAATATATGAAACATGTTGAATTTTACACAGAATTAAAATGAGGTGATGAATGAGTTCTTTAATAAAAGTTTATTTTTTCTCTGATGGTTTCCGACACACAAGTACAGGTATAGATGAATGGTTCACAATATATTCACTGACGCTACCTAGAAACGTTCTTCTGAGACGACCCCTACCACGTGTTCCGGTCACAATTAATGTGGCTTGTTCATTCTCAGCTTGACTGACTATAGCATGTCCAATATCTTTATTCATCAGACGGGTTATTCTACCATTTACCTGAAAGTAAATAATATTATAACAAATTATTCATAAAGGGAGGTAAGTACCTAGTGGCGTAACAGGAGGGTCGGCGGCCCTTGGGCGAATGTACTATGGGGGCCCTTGTCAAATTTTGTTTTTTAGTACAATGTATAAACTGTTATCAATTCGGACATTGGAGACATTACCTGAGAAGAAATCAAAAGTTATAAGACGTCCGGTAACTCTTGCTTAAATTCTTGATGAAATGGCCACAATTCAGAACTAAAACCATTTCTTATATCAGAACTGTAAAGTTCTATGATTTTAACTGCGCAAATGCCTATAATTCTTCGTTTGATAGCTCCAGAGATTCGCTGGATATATAATATTAAACACAACAGTTACCATCTTTGTCCCTCGAATCCTATTTTCAATTGCAGTTTATCAACAATTGGATAAAATACATGACCTTTGAACCCCCTTTCCAGACCCTGAATGAGTAATTTGACTAACATTTTCAATATATTTTTTTTTCCAAAACAAAAGACGTGTTTGTATCAGTAATTTCCGACATTGAAAATAAACTTGGTATAATGTAATTTTAGAAGTGCTGCTGTAGCACCTCGGACAGGAAATTGAAAGAACAAGTACCCTTGGGGTACATTTGATTAACTTGCTGTGGGTTTGTCACGAAATAAGAAACCCATAATTACATTAGCTTATCAAGCGAGCAATATTGTTTTCTTGACACAAGATAACTGACAAGATTACGAAAATGGCCAACAACTTTGGATTTGTATCGACTTTCTGATTAAATTTTGTCACATAGCCTCTCAACGGATTTACTTAATATTTGAAGACATGGACATGGTGATACATATTCTACGACAGATATTTCTGTTCTGATTTCAATTATAATGTTGAAACCTTACCCAGACACCGAATAGTATTTTCTCTGATTATTATTGCATCGTGGGTTATACTTTGTTTTTTATGCGCACATTATCCTCCATTTTCCTTACATCAACCAGATTGAAATGAATTGATCGATATTTCTGAGGAGGGCTCCGCGACCCAAAAGTAAACGATTCTGGAATCAGTGCCTTTACGAAGATTTCATCGATCACAAAATAATTATTAGGAACCTTTTGATGCTGACACGTGGGCCTTTGAATTGCGATAACTTATTTAATTCCAGACGTTCTCTGTTCGGTTGTTTCAACAAACCAGAAACCTGAAAATCAATATAGACTTTCGGAGTGGTCTTAATCATAGACCTTTTCTTTTAATGGCTTTGGTATAACCCAGGTTTTCTTCCTACATTTGAAGTATTGTGACCTGCTGACCACACATGTGTACTAAGCTATCCTGGAATAGCCATTAAGCAAAATAAATACCACAGAGTTGCTTAATGCCAACAAACCAGGACCGATAATAAATGGCATTATCCAGGTTGTTTCGATTTGAAAATCTAGAAAAATATCAGTATGTTTTTCAACAGATAAAAATATATTTTACAGCTTTGCATCGTTTTAGTTTGAATAATGTATATGGGGACCAGTAAAGGTTTTAGCTCCATGTGTAGCAACAGTAATCACACCCTACCTCGTAAACGACACCCGTAGGTCATACACATGGATTGGCGTGGACGGTTTAGTTTGAAGTTTTAGTCCATTTTCTTTGCCTTTCTTGTAAAATTTGACTTCCAAGAATCAGCAGTTTTCAAAAAACATACTTTCAGTCGCGATCTCAAGTATGATCCGAGCAGTGCTTCGTTTAATTAGCCCAAATCCAATTAAACACTGCTGGACTGCCTGATGATTCATGTCCTAAAAAATGACTGGTTAATAGTCGGTTTAACAAACCAATCCATTGTAGCGTAACAAATCAATTGGGAATAACCCGAACTCCAAATATGTTAACTTAAAAGTGTATAATAATGACTGACAATCGCGGCTACATTACGTTACCAGGTACGTCACACCCCTCGAAATTTATTATGAGCGATTAACCAGAGAATTGCAGAAAAAAAACTCTTTGTGTGATAAACGAGGCTATCCGAAATAGCTGCAAACGTAAACAGTGGATAATCGTCACATTTAGAATCTATTTATCAGACGAACAAAATTTTCACCATCTTTTAATACATTTAACCAACTGTTTGAAGTTTTTGAGAAGACCCCCCAGATCAAAGAGATGGGCTGTCATGTTAGGTATTTTGTTTCAACAAACTGAATAGAACTAGGACTGCTAGCAATGATACTCAGGAGAGATTTAATAAACGAAACAGACACACTCCGTCGGACCCAATTTTGTGCTCCAAGCGCAACAATCGCTATAGAGGGATTTCTCGGGTCATTGCCTCAGGAATTTGGACCTCAAGTTGAGAGCAGAATGTCACCCTCATGAAATTCGTTTATTTGTTCATATTTGGAGAATAGTTTTATAGAATTAATAGATTTAAGAATTATAAATAGGATGTCATAAAAAAAAACCCGCAGAAATGTGATTCTTGGAGAAAAGAGCGAAATCATGTAAGAAACGTGAAGGTAAGAAACGAAATTTTGTCCCGGAAGTGCAACCAAACATCCCAAATCAGACCGGTCTCCGTGACCAACGTATAGCTGTATAAGCGAGCTCAGCGCATATCAACACAAATTGGTTAATCACCGCACCGTCCTTGGAATTTGGACAGCCGATCTACCCTGATAATTCTAGCTCATTAAATGAAATGAGATGGGGTTTAACGTCCTACTGTTCTGCTCCGAACTGGGCTAACGAAGACGGGCATACGCCATGGCATACAGTGTGCTATGAGGGAAATTTTGCTCGGACAGCGGTACTGCGGCCTACTGTCAAAGGATCTTTTACGTGCACGCCAATGTGTACACGGGACCTCGGTTTTTCGTTCCATCCTAAGGACTAGACAACTGTCCTTGTCAGACCCTCCGTCCTGCATCACTGACAAGGGGGAAACCACGCCAGAAAATCTGTATAAACTTTCTCGGCCAATGCAGGGATCAAACACCCGATATCCAGGCTAGCCAGCCAGCGTCTTACCAGCTTAGCCACCGTGACCCCATCTAGCCCATTAAAATACACATCAGGTATCTGGCTTTAACGTGACCAGACAGGCATGTCACGCGAGACAATTTGACCTCATGTCGATATTTTCAGACACCCCTTCTGTGTTAAACGATGCAATTTAACACGAAGTGAAAATCTGACGTTGTGAGCTGTCAGGGCTCAAAAATATAAATCGACATCTTCCATCTTTATTCCGACCAAAACCGCGAGATAAGTATTCATTTTAGCCAGGTCCAGTCTCTGGATAATCGAGGTTACTTTATCAACTATATATCGCGCGTAAGTATAGTTCCGACTGTCCAATAATACGACTAATGGAAAGGGTTTTGATGTTAAAGTTACATGAGCCACGCGTGTCTTTGAGGATAGAAATGACCAATTAGACCACGTCAACCCGATATTTCGGTCATTTTGGGAGAAACATACATTAATATTTATTTTCTTCGTGTTACGTAAACGTGTACACTGACAGCGGCGTTTCCACAAAATCTTATTTGTCTGCATCGTCTTTTTGTCAACCAAACAGACGTTATACCCGATAAGCAGTGTCGGATTCAGCCTGCATGGGTTCCCTGGCTGAAAATATCGGGGGGCCCTTGAACCAACAGTGAAAAGGGAGTATATTCTGGTCATTGTCCGTCACACCCATAATTTATATACAGTAGGGTAGATAGATAGATAGATAAATTTATTTTGCACAAATTCTGGGACCCCTTTAATATTGGGGACCCATGGCTGCAGCTCAATTAGCCCCATCTTTAATCCGTGCCTGCCGATAAGTTGATCTGAACTTTGTTTGATAAGCAAAATATTAGTTAACAATTTCTCTGAATTTAGTTTTCTTGCTATTAATAGACAATGGCCTTCTCTCCTTTTCATTCCTGCTTAAAATCCCTTTCTAGACAAAGGATGATCAAAGAGGTTATGCAGCTGGCTATATTACATCATATACCAGATTAAACGTTCAGTACAGATTGCTTTACAAGACAAGGGACATTACATAATCGAGTCAGCTATAAGTTTATATTTTTGTAATGACTAATGATTACTATCTGGACAACGATGCATGACATGCGTCAAGATGGCACGATAACTATCAATAACATGTCATTATGTAACAAACGCGTACATGGAAAGCCGGCCTAACACTAACCAATCCCCAATGTTCTTAGGAATTTTTAAACCGTGTTTGATAGGTGAAACAATCCATTACTTTTATTTATTCTCTTTCCGGTCAAATTTCAAGATGAGAGTTTGGTAAGGAACAGGTGCCTAGTCGTTCGGATGGGACGAAAAACCAAGATCCCATGTATGCCATTGGTAATACATTAACGTTCGCCTGATATTTGCATTTGGAAATAACAGCTGGCGTTGGAATGACGTATACCCATCTTCATCAGCCTTATTGGTACAGGAAAGTAAGACATTTAGCCCCATTTCATGATCGCACAATTGACCTTCAAGCATCGATTTTGCTTGACTTCTATTTTGGAAACAGTCGATTTTGCTTGACTTCTATTTTGGAACCAGATTCTAAGTAATATTAAAATCGTCAACGAAATAAATCAGATAATAATACGATTAAAGATATACGAGTATCATTACCAGAAATAGACTTCAGTAACTGTTCCTCAAGTTAATCAATTTATTGAAACGATTCTTACACAATAAAGATGTCTGTTACACAACAATTCAATTATACAATGAATATTGGTTAGAACTAAACCTGATTAGGATTTCTTCTTTAAACATAAGATATCTTTCAGGAAATATTTGAAAACCATATCCATGACAATATTCTTGATTCTCCTGTTTCCATTCATCAACATATCTGTATCTTTTCACGATGCGAGCAGGATTAAATTGATTCACCTCTTTTGGCAGGCATTGGAAACATCTGATGTGAAATTGAAGAGAAGTTCTCTTCTTTTTAGCTGTTAGTCACGCCAGAAAGTGTGATTCTAGGATAAATTGTATGATTAAAACTTCTTTAAAAGCAATGTGTCCAATAGATTTTTAGCTTTCAGTGATAATTAGAAATTGCGGAATGAAAACAACCTCTCTCTTATTTTTCGGTTTTAATGTTAAAAACTTGAAAATTGTGATTTGACTAAGCTAATCTCCATTTGATGGTTGCTAAATTTTTGTGGCTTGTTTTGGTCGAATGGTCCGGGGAATGGACTTCCCACTAGATTGTCTTTCCTTGGACAATTAAATGCGGTGCTGACAAAACCGTTTCTCCCCTTATAAGAGGCATTATCATTTTCACCACTGCAGCTGGAGACAATTGGGAGCAGGGGGTTGGGGGTTGGGTAGATATTCAGAAAAGGCAGAAGTATCTGTCCAGAGAAGGGAAAACCACACCGGAAACTGTCAAGGAACTTTCTTGGCTAACGCCGGAATCGAAGACCGGACCTATCAGGCAATCTGACACGGAGCTATCAATATGTGATTTACAAGCGATTTGTAGTTTCTCCCATATTATTAGAACAATTGCCTCGTGTGCGCTTCATCGAAGAATTGCAGAATATGAAAAGAATTTGCTATTATAAATCTTCGCTCTGCAACCGCTGTGTGTATATAGTCCTATGCGACAGCATGTAATCCCTCGTGGAGCAATATTGTTGTTCAACCAATCATCAGTGCAAGCTAAAATACTATTTGATCTTACAAAATCATTCGCCATTTTGACCAGTCTCACGATCAGTGTTGGTAATGCCCCCGTCAGACCGGGGTGGTGTCCTTACTGCGCTGCTGCGACCGTACGGCGACTAGGAAATGCACAAGGTCGCCAGCAAACGTGAACACAACACAAGAAAATGTACCAAAATATTACAAACTTGAAAAAAGTCGCATTCTCATAGCTTTCCAGTTCAGATCGCAGAACCTTGGCGTCTGTTTTGAACATGCTCAAAACAAACGCCGTGACTCGGTGATCATTGGCGACCATGGAGACCACAGCACGTTAGCTGGCGTTTCTACCACCCTTATGGCGATCTTGACGCGCTCTAAAACCAATTTTCATCGCGGTAGCAGCGCAGTAAGGACGCCACCCCGGTCTGACGGGGTTATAATCCCAAGGCGGTCGCCCGAAAGTTGCGTGTACACGCAAACATTTTGCCGCCTGATTTCGACACCATCGTCAGTTGCGAAACATTCGCCCAAGTGTTCTAGGCTTAAAACTTGACAATATTGACCCAAAGTATAAATAGCGATGACAAAATTTATGCTCCAGTAGAATGGGGTCTTATGTCAACATATTTTCTAGGATCAATTATCAAAACGAACCATTGTATTTGTATTCTTAGTAAAAATGGTGTATGAATTATCAGTCAATGTTAGGACAATGGCGGCTATATCGCTGAAATAAATATGGTAATACTTGGTATCTATCGATCCAAGTTGATCGGAGATTAAAGTATTTATGAAAAACGCTTCTGTCATGATGATGATAAATTGTCATGTATATCCAGACCATAATCTACGATGGGAATCAAGCGACAATAGTAATAAATATAAAGGATCAGAGACTGATGTTAGCTGTAGTGATCAGTTTTACGTTTAATCAATTTATTTGTTCTGTGATATCACCCGTGTTGGACGTTAACCATTCAGCTATTGAGTAGAATTTCTTGCTCTGTGGTACAGCTAGCTGCTTTGGATTTACTTTGTCATAACCAGGGCATCAACCGTCTCTTTAGTCTGTGCTCCAAGAATATTATTCATGACATTGTTATCTGACATTAGATACTGCATACACGATTATAGATTAAATATGATTAACTAAGACGAACCATGACCCAGTTTCACAAAGTACACATAAGATACGTTTCATGAAACGAGCATCTGATCGATAATTAATCGCATTTCCGCAAAAATTTACACCCTTTATTTATTCACGAAAACTTAGATTTTCTTAAAATATATTTAACTGGGCTACATTGAACTGGAATGGGGTTGAACGTGCTACCCGGACAGCGTGTTTTAGCTTACTCCGCATCAAATTCAAAATACCAAGGGTTGTTTTACGTGCACTCGGTTTAGTATAAAACGGCCTCCTTTATACAATAAGATCGCTTTTGTATAATAAGACCATCTTTCTACTCACTTGGGATCCGCGGTGTATCAGTGAGTACGTTGGCTCGCTAACCCGGGGGTCCAATTTCCCTCATTGCACACTGTATGGTGAATGTCCGTCTCCATTTGCTCGATCGGAGCAAAACAGTAGGACGCTAAACCCATTTCATTTCATTTCTACTCACTCCAGATTTCTGTATTTTTGTATTTAATTCATCTGTTATTTCATCCATGTGTTTCTGCTGTTCTGTTATAACTTTTTCTAGGTGATTAGCATCGTGCCTTAAAGCTGCAAAAAAGTAAAATAAAAATGAATTTTTCTACATTCTAAAATTATTATAATTTTACAGTAAAATAGACCTTGATATAATTATTTCACTGGTTCCGGAAGTGACTCCATAGCTGTTAACGATTACCAACGAAACCGAAATAATGCCCGATTCTCAGTTTGTTCTAGATGAATAATAAAGAAAGTTATGTGTACTTAGCAAAATCGATAGGCATTTTGTTAACAATGCGAAGAGTTTCCACAATGTGAGAAAAAAAATGATGTAATAACTCAAACAATACGACCTCATCTAAAAGCGGTAATGTCGGCCATTGATTTTATAAAGTAATGGAAGTTGGCATCTAATATAAATACATGTTATATCACACAGGTTGGGTAAACATAATTACAGAGATAGTCACGGCTTATAAACCATCGTTTCGTTCCTTCGATTGCTTTATTTTGCGAGTGTAAGAGACAGGAATTGAAATGGGATTAACATGTTTTCACAAAGCGAGATAATCAAAACGGACAGACGCGCTTTCGATTTCCAATAGCCAGGAGATCCTTACAAAGGACCTCGGGTTTCCGTCCTCAACGACGAAATGCTTGCCAGTACCAGCTTCCTCGTGCTATATCCACTGACAAGGGAACTTTCTAGGCCAACACCGAAATGGAATCAGTTAGCTCATATATAGCACCATTTCGCACTTATTTATCCACTGGTCTACCGAATCTATGAATATACGATATCTGGTTTGGCCTGACATTAACATTTCCAATTTGTCTTCAGTCCGCCACATTGAAACAATCTGTATTAAAGATACATTAGTTAAGAGTTTAATAATGAGTTGGACATTTTTGCTATACCAATTCCAAAAAAAGATGATAAGAAAAGAAATTATTGAAAATTTCAGTCAAATTACTTTATTCAGAACGGAGTTGTCACTGTCCCCGCACCGAGAATTGCATATCGTTTGATTGAAAGACGATATTTATACCCCATTCATATATTGTCGATTATCAAATAACACTCCTAATGGCTACGGGACCCTCGATTGGCAGGCCTTTTATCGGCAATCTCCGGTAGTGACGCCAGTGACTAACGGTAAACGTTAGCTTGGTCAGCCATTTATTGATTTAAGTATTAAATAGACGACTGTTTAAATCCAACCTTGCAAGAAAGACTTGCAACAGACAGATTTAGCTCTTAACTAATGTATCTTTAAGCCGATTTGTAAAAATTACAATTATCCATAATTTTGTTCAAGTTTTATGAAATCATTCTGGTGCGATATGTCAAATGTGAATATTTTTAAAATATCTTTGTCTGGCATACTTCGGGTGCTATTGACATAAAACCGATCTTGTCGGTGATTAATAAGAAGCCTTAAAACAAACCAAAATCAATCACCAACACACTTGATACGGAGCAAGAAGCTGAGTTATATTTGTTTGCCGTGTACGGTATCATTATAAAAGCATATAATTCACGGTTACCTTTCAGTAATATATATAAGGAATAACAAGTAGTTATCAGTCTTGTTCCATGTTAATATAATATAGATCAATTTACAAGACATTTATTGTAATTGGATACTTGTTACTTAATGGTTTTAAAGTGCCAGTTACTTAAATAGTGTTTAATCTGGCGGGTAAAAAAAACCCAACATTAACTGAAAGTATGCCACCGTATATAAAATTTATCTAATATATGTTTTGCCTCATTTAATCTTCGACCGCTGTGGAAAGTAAGTGTCTATATCATGTTTTATACTGGACATTATACTAGTTGATAGACATTGTAATCCGTACAACTAAAACTAATACAAGTTCTTTACTATTGAGTGGGGGATTGGTTACTGGTCACCATATAGTACAAATGGTCCATTGCACCACATGATAAAAGAGGTTGGAACACCAGTCAAGAGATTCGGACTCGTGTCCGACTTAGGTCACTTCAATGACTTGACATGCGACTAGATTTGAAACGTTATCGCGACCCATGACGAGGGGGCCATAACTTTAACCTGGTGACTCATTGATGAATTGACGACTTGGGCGGACATTATGAAGAGTTGGGACTTAACGTGTCTCGGCACTGAAGTCAGCAACTTGCGACTCGGGACTCGACTAGGCCTCTGGCTGCGGCGACTTGTTCCCGCCTCTGCATGATAATAAGGATCTAATAATTAATCTATACGAAGTCATACAGAGAGAGAGATAGAGAGAGAGAGTGAGTTTAACAAACACTCGACCCAGACTAGGTCATTTAGGGACTAACATATGGTTTAATTTTATTTCAATAATTCGCTTGCCGCGTAGGTTTTTTTAGCAGACCCACGCCAGTTGACTCAATGACAGGGCTTATGATAAAGCGCGCACGTGCTAACCATTCGGTCATCCCCCCCCCCCACACACACGCATTAGTTATACAAGTCGTACGGATAGTATTTGGAACATAAAACGTAAAATGTGGGCTACCCCTGCTGGGGACGTCCCTGTGAAGGAAATATGTTGAAAGCATAAGTAGGTAAGTGAGTTGTTGTGTGCTTAGTAAAACTTGAAGGAGACAGTTAATGTCTAGTAATATGAGAAATATATAATTGTTATCCTGCTTTGTTTAAAATAAGTGTTGTAGACATCGTATTACAGATTAAATATGATCAGAATGCTAAGACTATAAATCAATATGTCTAGCTTGGTACAGTAAAAAGACCATACCGGAAAATGAGTATAGGGCCTGATACACACTTAGAAAATATTCAAATTAGGGTATTCAGATATTGATATGGATAAAAAAATATGATCTGGACACCAAAACACATCACTTAACTTAAAGGGGCATTATGAGAGATTAGATAAAGTGCTGATGGTTCTCATTTAGTAGTTAAAAACTTGATAATGTAAAGGGAATATGCTGAAAGGTTCAGTGAAATTGCTCCACTCTGAACCGAGATATTAAGAGTTTGAATTTTAGGCCTAGCCTCGATCATCATTACTAATCGATACCATGAAAAATCATAGCCTCGACTATCCATCATCAATGCGCGTTGAGCAGCAAATCGGATTCAAATCCAGTGAAAACCCAACACATAGATGGCATCGAGAGTTGATTAAGGTCTTTTCATGTTAATAGATGTCTAATTAATTTCAGACCCAAAGAAAGACCTGCAATAGGTAGATTTAGCTCTTGCATAATGTATTGGGACTGGGTGGTATTCAGATAGTGATATGGAGAAAATATGTTCTATTTCGTACTCGACACCAAAACACATCACTTAAAGTAGCCAAGTCTCTAACTCAATATCATCCAAAGTCTTACACGTTGAAAACACGAATTATTTGTCAATTCTAATCAACATTGATGCTGTAATCTTACCGGGAAATGGTAGGCTTCTGATATCCAATAGACAAGATAAACATTTTACCATTGGTACACGAATCGTGTACCATAGTGCGTTTCAGCGTCATTTGTAACAAGTGACCAGAAAGAACGAGGCTAGACATATTCAACAACTCTTGTCAAACGGGGATGTCATATGTTATCGGGGGGGGGGGGGCATGCGCAATAAACTAGTATAACCAGACGCTAGAAATTGGCAGTCGGTTGAGACTTATGCCGTTTTTCGCTGGACACAACTGATTTGAAATTAGAGTTAAAACGGAAATATTTGAATGTAAATAAGTTTATATACAACCAGATTACATTATTATAATGCGCTGCGACCCATTTGGGTCAATTTGTCGTTCCCAAATATTACCGATTTAGCTCCTTTAAGTTAATCTACAAACACCCCGGGGGACTTGGTGGTCCAGTAGTTTAATGGGTATGCTGCAAATCATAAGCTTTCTAAAAGTGAAATAATTCTGTGGAAGCAGAATTCGAATGTTCCTAGCTTCACGCGATAGCCGAGGAATGAATAAGTATTTAGAAGGTGCATTGACCGCGTTCAATATTTTATTTGAAAGGAAATGCTATATTGCTTGATGGATGTTTTGGCCAAAGAACTATAAATATGTTCTAACTGGTAATAATAGGATGAGAGAGAAGGAGAAATGGGGTTTAAAAACCACTCTACTAAAACTAGGTTATTTCGGGACTAAAAAGGTAAAAGTTTATTTCCATAATTCGCTTGTGATTGGGGGTCTTTAGAAGTTAGAGGTTGGACAGGTGACCCTACTCCATTTCACGTACAACCTTTGTACTGGTAGGAGATAACTAGTTTGGGTTAGTGATAGTGTTAGGGTTAAACTGGGCTGTGGCTGAAACGTCCTACACAAGCTTGGTACTGATAGGAGCTAACGAGCTAGGGTTAGGGTCAGGGTTAAAATCCTCTGTGACCGAAATATCCTACACTAATAAAATAGATAAAGTAATTTAATTCCAGGCATGTTTGACACCCTACTCGTCAGAACCTCATAAAATCAGCAATTTCCATCAACTATAGATTACGTCAATAGAATACGAGATAGGATTAATGGGCGTAAGTTAGATTAATAGTTATTGAACCTGAGGGAACAGAGTTACGTCAAATGATGCTTGCCTCTCACACGGTCCCAGCTCGGTTCAATCTAATAAGGGCGAATCTGGATTCCATCAATTATATTAAGAATTTGCAATTTAGACTGTTAATTTGTGGATTATATTCTTATAGTTATATAGTGATGACCCAGACATTTGATTTCAATTTTGACCAGAAAAATATTTAAGTGATTAAACGTTGAAAGATTGGCTTCATTCAGACACATCTATCCAGCAAACAGTTGGTCGAATGGTTTCGCTGGGAATCACTGTGGCTTAGCGAGTATGACGCTAACTCACAAGCCGGATTTGGTCCTAGTGTTGACCAAAAAAGATCCTCGGATTTTCCAACCTATTTTACCATCGTTAGTGGTGAAGGACTTAAAACCTCGGTGGGCGAAAAGCCGAGGTTTCGTCTATACCATCGACAGTGTGTTAAAGATCCTCTAACAATCGGAAATCTTAATTTAAGAGTAGCATAAGTTATATCATAACACACTGTATGGCATATGTCTGGTTCGTTCAGAAAAGCAGGATGTTAAACCCCATGAAGTTTTGTTTTCGTCAGTTAAAGATCTACATTTTAGGAACCGAAAGTTTGAACGGATATGGGAGCCCTTCGTAATTGGAAAGAGGTTTGCAATTGTTCCAAACATTTTAATCACGACGATGTCAAACATATCCTATGCGTTATATTAAGCGGGGGAAATAAGGGAAATGTCATATGCATTAGATCATAGAATGGAATAGATAAAATAAAAGATAAAATATGCCCAATCAATATAATGATTTAAAGCACCGTTGCTATTCACCCTAATAAGTACAGAAGAACCACACTACACGCAAAATATCCCCGATAAGACAAACTATACCGACATGTAATGACCGGCCAACGCCTACAGTAGACCTAAACCTAAATCGGTTCAACGTATTTTTTGTCATGAGGGGTCCATATATAACCTTCATTAGTTTTATAGTAGATCCGCCCCTGGCTATCGTCCTTGAAATCCCCCACTTTACTTGCAGTTGTCAGTAATTTGTTTAACGACTAGGAATTTAATGTAGTATGGATATCATTTGGTATACGTATCTATCCTGCCATGTTTTATTAATACAACACAAGTCACGTATTTTTGTTACCTAATCAAATCTCTATCGCTGCATTGAGACTTTAATTTATTTATATCAACATTACGTTATCCTCTAGAGACCAATTCTGGTTTTGGATATTTATTAGAATAACTCCATCATCAGCGGCTTACTTCGGCTTCATTTAATGCATAATTCCCTATAGTATACATAGTAATACTGTAAGTCTAATCTGTCAAAAAAAGCATAAATTGGTGGTTATTTTTGGATACGGAAGTGGTCGATTAAATGGCTCTCCTAACAATACTTTTCTTCGATTGCTGGCATAACTTATTTTGCTAGGCATTTTGGTATTATATTTCTGACAGAATATCGTATTGTTTATAAGATTACATTTTGATATATCCACTGTGTTCAATATTCCAATTAATATTAAATGATATATATTACTAGAAGGACGTTCCGAGGATGGCTGGGGGCTAGATGCGACAACCCAAAAAACTAAATCTAAAACTCTTTTGTACTAAACTGAATACGGACACGTGTTTATGTATATATCAAATAAAATTGATTCATATTATTCTAATGGATTAGATATTTTTATACAACTACATTTTCATGTGGACGTACATTGTCGTCGCCCCTGTCCGTTCGGACGTCCGTCTAGAGGTCACAATTTTTAACCGATTTAAAAAAAAAAACGTTCGAATATATCATCGTTACACCATAATTACGGTTTAGTTCGAATTTCGTGAAAACGAAACGAAACTGTCCGACTAAATGGCCGCTCCCTGTACGCTTGTGGTCCCTCTGTAGGTCCCAGAGGTTTCGATTCCTTTCGATAATAGTGAATATCGGACGTAACTTCCTAGACTATGGCCCCTGATTTGACGAAAAATCACTTTGCTTTAGCTTGTTCTCTGTCCATCTCTTGCAAAATGTGGGCGTATCTTGCAATGCAACCGCTTATATACACGTGTGCTTTATTTTGTTTTGTTGGGTTTTATTTGAAGGGGGGGGGGGGGGCAGGGGTCGAATGTGAATCATCAGTGTCGCTTTACGATGTTTCACTGTATAAATACTTAGATATTGAGTACTATGGACCAGGAACCGCACATGACGTCATAGTCGCCATCTTGGAATTATGATATTTCGAAGATCGTCGCTCCTATAAGAACAACGATAACAACAAGATGGGTAGCGCTTGGGGATCAATTCCTGATGCATAAGGCAGGAGTGTAGGATTAGTGCAGCGATTGCTTGGCTATACAATGTAAGGATTAGCGATTTTATCGAGCAATTGAATTACCTCTGTGCCACGCAAAGTCGCCGATTTCGGTCGTCTTTTCTTCGGGCAATATCTAAATTTTCACGGCTTAATCCACGCTCAAAGGTATTCAAATCGATTATTTAACATTTAATGACTTAAATATCAAGGATAGATAATCTTCCGGCTTTGATTCAACCAGATTAAAAAGAGATCAATCGATAGATGAATCCACAGAGGGATTGTTAACAAATCTTTAATTTATCATATCTTTGTAAATACATAAGGAACCATTTTAGACTGATATTCAAGTTTGACAATATTGTATGTTTGCAAGGGATTCAAAATCCGTCAAATGAAAATCTCTCAAAATTAATTATCGATTTTACCGTGGAATTGAATTGGTGCTTTAAGGATTAATTTTTGATAAGAATTAGTAAAGGCTTTGTGTGAAAATTGAAATTTAAACATGATTTTAATTTATTTACTGTGAATTAACAATAACCAAAAAACTATTCACTTCAATGAATAGCTATTAGCTATATCAACACAGTGAATAAATACTATTCACGTGAGTGAATAGCTATAGTTATATTAGCATAGGAAATAAATACTACTTACGTGAGTGAATAGCTATAGTTATATCAACACGGTAAATAAAAACTACTTACGTGAGTGAATAGCTATAGTTATATAAGCAGAGTAAATAAAAACTACTTACGTGAGTGAATAGCTATAGTTATATCTGCACAGTAAATAAATACTACTTCATCTGTGGTTCGGTGTAAATTCTCTACATAATCTGAAATGAAGATGGAAATCAGGTGTCACTAATTATGTAGTGTGTCAGGTTATTTCAATAGAGGAAGTTGAATTTGCTGACGGGGGCCGCGGTGGCTCGGGTAGCATGGCACAGGCACCCGCTGATTATCTAGGTCCGGACTTCCAACCCTATGTTGAACGAACAAATTGCTCGGAAATTTCCAGTCTGGTTACTCCTTGTCAGTGATGCATGACAAAAAAGTTCGACTGCATTGATTCAGTTACAGAAGAAACCAAACAATTCTTCATTCATATACAATTGTAGGTATGCTACATAACAGTTCTTTTTAAAGAGAAGGAGAGAGAGAGAGAGAGAGAGAGAGAGAGAGAGAGGGGGAGAGAGAGAGAGTATAACGTCCACTCCACTCAAACTAGGTCATTTCGGGACTAACATATGGTTCAATTTTAAGGTCACCTAATGTCGATGGAGTTTAATTCTGCCTTGAAATAAAGATTTACCCTTTGCTATTCACTTAAAGTAAAATAGCCAGTTCAGGAATTTGTATTTTGTACAGATTCTATTTTAGGAATAGAGACAGAATTATACTATTCAAAAAAAGTAGGGGATATTTGATTTTGGGGGCATAATACTAAAATATGCAAATGACTACGAAAAAAGTCACTATAGAACCTAACAGAAGAAACATTTCCAGTTACATGTGACGCCCAAACGCACCAATAGCTACCGCATGGAATGCAGGTGATGCTTGGGATCATCATGGGGGTCCAACCCAAGATTTGCACGACTCTGACTTTGAATGTTACAGTCATTGTGGCATTGAATTCCAGGGTGGAAACATCAGTTTAATTGTTTTAGTGACCAGAAAACAAATTTTGATATGCGTCGGCTTACCCAAAATGAAAGGTTACGTGCCCTTGGCATGCTACAGATCGGCACAACACAGGCGGTTGTGGCGCGGACGATGAATGTTTCTCAGTCTGTCATAAGCAGGCTATGGTCCAGATACCGTGATACACAATCTGTACAGGACAGACCACGCTCAGGTCGACCAAGGGCGACAACTCAAGCCCAGGATCGATTATTCCGTACCTTGGCCTTGAGAAATCGTGTCATCACAGCAAATCAGATCAGCGCTCGTCTTCAAACAGACACTGGTGTGAGAGTGAGTGGCCAGACGATTCGGAATCGACTGCATAGGTGTCACCTTCGCGCCCGACGTCCTCGCGTGATCCCTTGTTTGAGAGATCATCACATTCAGGCAAGACGTCGTTGGTGTAGGGATCGTCAACACTGGGATAATCGACGCTGGAGCAATGTGATGTTTTCAGATGAGTCAAGGTTCACTGTTGATTTTTTGGACAGACGTAGGAGGGTGTGGCGTCGTCGAAACGAGCGCTTTCAAGACGTTAACGTCATCAGACATGATCGATTTGGGGGTGGTTCTGTTATGGTGTGGGGAGGCATCACTGTTGCTGGAAGAACGGCTTTACATGTTGTTGCAGGGCGTGTTACAGGCCAGTACTACCGGGACAACATCTTGGCAGTCCATGTTGTGCCGTTCGCACGACGTCATGGCCGCCGTTTCATCTTCCAAGATGACAACGCAAGATGTCACAGGGCCAGGATCGTTACAGGTTACCTCCAACAACAGAACATCACCACATTACCTTGGCCAGCACTGAGTCCCGACCTCTCCCCCATCGAGCATGTCTGGGACATGCTTGGACAGAGGTTACGTCAACGTCAACAACGTCCTGCCAATGTCCAAGAACTTGCTGCTGCGTTGCAACAGGAATGGGACAATCTGGACCAAAATGACCTTAGACGTCTCATTAGGAGTATGCCACGTCGGACCAATGCTTGTTTGGCAAACAGAGGAGGATTTACCCGTTACTGACTTGGTTGTGATGCTGTGGTAACTTTGCTGTTTGACCCCGGGTATCATTTTACCCTTATAATGGTCAGTCTGTGCCTTACTTAGTCTAACGATCATTTGGAATAAATCGATGAATGTGAACTTCATTTCATTTTGTCATTTGTTTCTTCGTCAGTTTCATTAGGTGACTTTAATAACACTTAAAAATCAAATATCCCCTACTTTTTTTTGAATAGTATATAAAAATGTGTCAAACAGGTTTATTGACCAAATGGCTAAATAAGACAATCTTTCAATTAAGCTTCTTGTTTAAACTGTTGTGCCCTTAAGCTTTATATCAGTCTGGTTATTGGCTACCTAATAATAACTATCAGAAAAATGTCAAGCCACGCGACTCGAACAGACAACACAGACTAACTTACACTCAGCGACGCATGGGATAAATAGTAAATGGACATCATATAATCCTAAATGTCAATATCCAACAGTTCGATACAATAACCCGCCACAAGACATCGGTCAATACAGATCAGTACAGTGGAATAAACATGGCATGCGTCTTACACGACACTAGCTATAAGGTTGAATCTGGCCCTAGTTTAGGCAAGCAATAACGCCCATTGTTTAAATTGTAAAATGTATAAATTGTAAAGTTGATGAAATTGTAAACTTGTTAAACTGTAAACTTGATAAATTAATGTATAAATTGTAATTTGTAAGGGTAGAAACGGTTTCGTCAGAACCGCATTTAGAGATCCAAGGAAAGAGAATCTAGTGGAAAGTCCAGACTCTGTATCATTCGACCACCAAGAGCAAATAAAATCAAAGAACCATGAAATAGAGATTAGCTTAATCAAATCACAATTGCTAAGTATCATTAACCTGACAATAGAGAAATCGTTTTAATTCCATATTATGCATTTGGTGACAGAAGATCGAACAATTGCATTTTCTTTTCAGACCAAAGAAGTTTGAGTCATAAAGTGAAGATTAAACATGCATTATGCAAGAGCAAAATCTGCTTATTACAAGTCTTTCTTTAGGCCTGAAATGTTATCTAAATTATTAATTAGACATTAATTAACTTATCCAGACCATAATAAACTCTCGATGTCAAGGCTAGCCTTCGATGTTGGCTGGATTAGATTCCTATATGCCGCTAACGGCTATTGATAATTAAATCAATAAAAGCGGATAATCGAGACTATGCTGTTTATATTAATGATTTTAGTAATGATGACCGAGACTATGCACAAATTTCACACGCTTCTTTCTCGGCTCATAGTGGATCAATTTGACTGAAATTTTCAGCAAATTACCTTTACACTATCTAGTTTTTAACTATAATAGCGAGAACTGTCATCTCTTTATCTTATCTCCCATAATGTATCTTTAATTTAGTGAATTCCCAATTTCTAAAGATCATTGAAATTAAAGAAATTTCATTCATGAAACCGGTATAGGGTCGTTTACTCAAATCACAATATCGAAATATCACTGAAACCTAAAAATCTGGTATTTTCACTGGGTGCCAATATATTGGACAAATTGCTTTTAAACAAATTTGAATCATACAATTCCAGCTTGTATCACAGTTTCTCAACGTCACTAAAAGCTAAAAGGGAACCTCTCTCCAATTCCACATTAGATGTTTTCAATGCCTGCCAAAAGAGATGGATCGATTTAATCCGGTCTCGCATCCATCGTGAAAAGAAACTAGACACAAAGATACCTAAATTGGTGGAAATAAGAAAATAGGATTTACTTAAACGAATATTATCAAGGTTTTCAAATATTTCGTGAAAGATATCTTATGTTTAAAGAAATCCTAATCAGGTTTAGTTCTAACCAATATTCATTGTATAATTGAATTGTTGTGTAACAGCCATCCTTATTGTGTAAGAATCGTTTCAATAAATTGATTAACTTGAAGAACAGCTACTGAAGTCTATTTCTAGCAATGATACTCGTATATCTTTAATCGTATTATTATCTGATTGGCGATTTTAATATTACTTAGAATCTGGTTCCAAAATAGAAGTCAAACAAATTTGACTGGTTCCAAAATAGAAGGCGGGTAAAATTGGTGCTTGAAGGTCATTGTGCGATCATGAAATGGGGTTTAGTGTCATACTTTTCTGCACTGACACACTTAAAACACGCCAGAAAATCCCAGTGAACTTTCTCGACCAGCACCGGGAGCGAAACCGAGACCTTCTGGTTAGTGTGCCAGCGTCTTACTCACTGACCCACTACAGCTCCCTCAAAAAGATAGTAAAATATACATTTAAATGGATGGTAAAAAAATACATTTAAACGGATCGTAAAAAAATACATTTAAACTATCTGAAGCTTATAAAGAATCGCAAATTGTTTGGAACAAGTTTTCCGATGAAAATAGTAATTTTAATTGAGAAATGTAGACCGATGCTGAACTCACAGAAAATGCTTTTAATCTACATGTCTTAAAGATTCCTCCTCGCGTACGGACTGCGTGACTTTGTAATCCCTTTCACGTGACTTGATTGAGGTAGAATCCATTTTCAGTTTGTATTTGTGGTTAGTCGTTGTCCATTTACGATACATATCGAAGCCTAAATCTTGGATTATCTTCTATGAGCTTCCTTTTCCCGCAGTTTAATCACAGTCTACTGGACGTTTAATTCTCTCGATGTTTTCACAACCGTTAACCATTACATCAACATATAAGAAGCGCTCCTTTTGTCACTCAAGGAAACTTGCAGTCTTTTACGGATACCCTCACATTTTTGTATTGTGCGCACCCCGTGCGTGTTGTTTGGAGAATCTCTACTTGGCTGCCTCTACTTTTCACCAAAACAGAAATACTTTTATTGGATATAACTACCTGATAAATACTGTCGTGGGATGTATCTTTAATTGAACACGTTTTTGAGGCATAATATGAAACGCATACTTGAACGGATTGTGTGAAATGTGAGTTGCACTGTTTTGAAAACTGCTGATGAAAAGGTAATGTATATTAAGGCAATTAAAGTCAATGGGAAGTCATTCAGACTGCTTCACAGATCGTTAACTATGATTTTCGGTGTGTACGTAGCTCAAGGCATCGTTTTAATTGGGCTTAAATTGGCGGGTCTCCATTACAAGATAAAAGAACTAG